TTCTGCAAAACAGCTTGAACACCTTTGACTTTTCACGTAGCACGTGCCACGATGGTCAATTAGATGCATCAAGATAGTAAATTGCGGGTTAGAATTGATGGGGCAGCCCAACAAAAAGACCACAGGTCAATCGGTCCAGCGGTTGTTGAGGTATAGGTTGTTTGATTATTAAATCTTAATCAGCATGACATACCCACAAAGAAAACAAGATATCTTGTTTTCTTTGTGGTTATGTCATGCTGATGAAGATTTAATAATCGAAACGCGCCCATGCACCATTTGTTCCGTGTTTTTCTACAACTATCCATGCATTTGTGCATTTCATTTTAGTGAAACCAGCAAGACGCCTTTTGGGGCGACAAACGAGCCAGCGCGCGAGTGAGCCCCCCACACATGCACTGTACAGAAGTCCGAGGGACTTCCAAATGTTCCAAAAATGCGCCACTGTTGAGTGTTGGGGGCGCCCCTCTTCTACTGGGCAAGCCCAACTTCTGCATGAGGTGCCTTATTTCTTGACATTGATGGACATGCACTTTTAGTGGATGGGGAAGCACCTGCACCCCCATGCATATAGAAAGTTACACCACGGGGGGCGGGGGGTCCGTAAGACTCCCCAGCCTTTTGGCCGCTGATCGGCTTGGCCGCTGACCAAACTTGAGCGCAATCAGCCCAGCTGTTCTTGAGATGTAGAAGCGGCACCCTGCACGTGCGCACGTGTAAAATGGCTCAAACTGGATTTTGCCCGGCACCCTTCGCACCGGTCCCTATAACCGTGTGCCAAGTTTGAGTGCAAACGGTCTAGGCGTTCTCGACATCTGGAAGCGACCCCTGCTCGTGCGCACGTGCAGTAGCACCTCAACCGTGACATATGACAACGCATTTCCCGGTAGGTGCCTACCCACATGACAAGTTTCAACACAATCCGGCCGGTAATTGCCGAGTTATTGTAATAAGAACAAACGTGACACCTGTACTTTGTACATTGCACGTGCAGCGGGTGGTCACTCACATGAATCAAGAGTAGGTACCCGATGTTTAGTAGAAGGGCTGCAGCTACCCTAAAAAATTACCGCAAGTCAAACGTCCTAATGCAGTGGTTGCTGAGATATAAGCCCACTTTAAGAAATTGGTAGTCTCAAAAGCGCTACTTCTGCAAAGAGCTTGGACGCCCTTGACTTCTCACGTGGCACGTGACACGATGGTCAATTAGATGCATCAAGGTAGTAAATTGCGGGTTAGAAGGGATGGGGCAGCCCAACAAAAAGGTCACAGGTCAATCAGTCTAGCGGTTGATGAGATATAGGCCTCCAAAAGCATTACAGGCCGGGCCGGGCCGCTCATACTGATATTTTCTCGTTTTATTGAAAAGACTTCGCTTCACTCGCTCGCTGGTAATAATTTTGCTCAATAATAACAGCCATTCTTAGTCCAGACAACCGTTAGTGTCAATTCTTAAAATAATTCGTCATTTCATTCTTTGCCTACTGCACTGATTTATCGTTGCGTCAGTTTACGACAGCTCGGTGAGTATTCGTAAGTTCACCATACCGTTAACATTATGTTCTTACGAAAAACTTAAGAAATTTTTAAGATGACACGACGTGAATCGCACTTACGACATTCTTACGAGAATTCTTAAGAAAAGGTCGACGTGAATCGCAAACTGTCTACGACAATTTTTTTATTCGTAAGATATTTTTGCTGTCGACGTGAATACCAAATTTTCGTAAGAAGTAGGTCGTGCGTAAGACAATTCTTACGAAAATGATCGACGTGAATACGGCCCCAGGTCTTCTTCAGAATAAGACAGTGTACACAAGTGTACGAGAATACAATAATATCGTAAGATCGCCTGCGGGAGCCCATACACTGAACTTTTTACCAAGATTGAACGATTCGTCTAGGCCCCGCTCAAGTTGCCCCAATTCGCGGCCAGACATGCAAAACATAGCCCGGAGAAGGACCGCTCCGGTTGTTTTTCAATAGAAAAACACAATTCTAACGAATAGTGTTTGTCTAATGAAACAACAACCTTCAAAACGATTATTGTATTCTCGTACACTTGTGTACACTGTCTTATTCTGAAGAAGACCTGTTGGTCGAAATATCAATACAGTAATATTTGGCTATTCAAATAATTTTAAATGTCGAGGAGAGGTCAATTTTTCATATATTTTCTCTCTCTAAGAGCCAGTGTTTTGTTCACGGAAAGACATTGATCACCACAGCGAGCCCAACACCAACCCACAGCTTTTATACCTATAAAAGTACCGTTCACTCAGCCATTCACACATTTCAAATTACCTACTCGAAAGCAAATATAATTACTGAAAAGAATAAATGCGACGGGAGGGTTCTCAACAAAAACTGAATGACGTTATTCTAATTCGGAAAAGTAAACGTTTCAAGTTGTCTCGGCCTTAACCCACTAAGTTCGTCAGAACGAAACGCAGTTTCCTTTTCTCCCGTTGGCTTAGGCATTTAGGTAATTATAAGAACTTAGCAACGTGACCGGACCTTAGGGCATCGATACAAATCCTATTTTTTTGTAGGTACACATCTTTCCTGAATCATGCCATCCTTGTCAATGAACAAAAGATTCAATTTCAAAGCAATAATTCACACGGTGAAGCGTGTAGGGCGAGCGGTACGTACCTAACTGCGTTTTCAGAAACCCCCACCCCGAGAAAAGCCGGAGGGGAAGGATTAAAGCTGATTTCGATGACAAAAAAAAAAAACGATAACAACTGACTGAGATCCCTATTAAAAAGAAACAATCGATGTCGTTGTTATATAACAAAACGTCAAACGACTGGCTGAAATACCCACTCAGCTTCCACGCTTTTCCGGAGGCTGTCGACCCCACGCTCTCTTGAAGTGCTAGTTCAACGGAGGTACAGCTTTGACTTTGTCACGATATCGCAATACTTCACGGTCACCTCTCGACAACCTACAAAAATGGCGCTTTTTGACCTTTTGTCCACGTTGAAAACAATGAAAAATAAAGCATATTTCCAATAAAAATGCATTATTGCATATTTGTGAACTTGCTTCATTCAATCTGGCATTGATTATGAGCACAGTCATTACAAGACTTATTTTCCATGCAAGCGAGTTGTGTATGGCTCATTCGAGAGGAAGCAAAAGTGAGTAAAAGTAAGCCCACAAGGCACACACATATTCGCTGCTGCTAAGAAAACGTAAGACAAAAACGTATGGTATACATAGCTGATTAGTCTCGCATCTAGCAAAAAAAGCTACATTGTCACGAAAACGTGATAATGTAACCCGACAATTTAATAATGCAATCAAGAACAGTTATGACGATAAATGAGCGGTCGGCGCCTAACAACCGCAGGCGGAGATTTAGTAATACTGCTCTAACCTGTCATAAATGGGTGCTCGAGACAATGAAGGCAAGGATTCGGACACCAGTGAGCGTGGCTACGAGGCACAGAGTGAGAATGAGAGTGCCGACGAGTCTTCGCCGCGCCGCCACAAACGATTCACAGGTCGGTCACGACAGCCACTGGACACTGCCGATAGCTCGGCGCCCGGCTCAAGCAGTCAGTCTAGCGCCGGCTACGGCTCCGTCGAGCGCTCAGAAAGTGGGCACGCGCTTTTCTACGATCCAATATTGAAGGCATGGCGCAGGGATGTGGCCGGAGTGCGCAAACGGCACAAGAGCACGGGACCGCTGACGCTCGAGGAGCTGACACCGTCCGTTACCAACCTGAAGCGAACCCACAGCGGCACTCCCATTGTGTATGACAAATGGCGTGGCTACTGGCACCGCGAGCGTCGTCACAAAACAGTCAACTTCAACAAGCTGACTCCCGAGCAGCAGGACGCAAAGCGGACAGCGAGCGGTACGCAGATCTACTACGACGAGCAGCGGTTGGAGTGGCGGCGCTGGCGTGATCACCCCTCTGACGTGCCGACGCCGACCAAGACGCAGCAGCTGCTGAAGCGCACAGGCAGCGGCTCGGCCATCGTGTACGACAGCGCACGGAAGGTGTGGAAGAGGAAGCGGAAGCGGATGGGTCCGCTGAGCTCGCAGCACCTGCTGGAGGCGCAGCGGGAGGCCGAGACCGGCTGGGAGCGGCACCTCGTGCACGATAAGGGAGCCTGGTACCTCGAGAAGAAGAGGAAGCACCTGCAGGATGGCGAGCTCAGCAAGAGGAATATCAAGGCGCAGAAGACCTCCAGCGGCACCAGTATCGCCTACGACAGTGTACACCGGCGCTGGAAGCGGGTAGTGGACTCGGACGACGCCACCACGAGTGGCGCCGACCGCTCCGAGACCAGCCCACGCAGCAGCCATCGGCACCACCACGGCTTCAAGCGCATCTCGTACGCTTACACTAAGAACAAGGTCACTGGAAAGTGGACTAAAAAGCCGCTCCCCGAGGAGGACTACCTCAACAAGAGGCTCCGAACGCCCGACGGAGGCTACGTCTTCTTTGACGAGGAGCGGTTGTGCTGGCGCAAGGCCAAGGTGGACGTGCCTGAGGAGAAGAAGCTGTCGTTCTTTGGACGCATACGTGAGTACCTCTTCGGGGAGGACGATGATGACGAGGACGAGCAGACTGAGGTGCGCGCCACGGCGCAGCACTTCCAGACGGGCTCGGCACAGTACAGTGCCTGGCAGCAGCAGCAGCAGATGCAGCAGCCCGTGACGCTGAATCCCCCCGGATCAGGGCCCGGCAGGGGAACGCGCAAGCGGGGCTCCTACAGACCGGGGCTGTGGAGGAGGATAAAGCGCTTCTTCGCCTCGCTGTGCCGCTTCCTCAGGATCTGTTGACTGTGCTTACTTCGTCAGAGGTATCAACCGTACCAGCGTGATCTGTAATACTTTTTGATAAAGCTGGCGAACGGTGTCTGATGAAACTGTATCCGCTGTGTGTCGAGTGCTTTTGTGGTGTGTGGAAACCATGTAATGTGTTTTCCCATCGAATGAACTTTGTCTCTTGTGCGTATAAAAGAAACGATGCCCGAGGTTATTTTCTGGACTTGCCATATATTTATTGAATTTAGCGATCTTCACACAAGTAGTTGATCACAACATCTATGGACATTGGACAAGCTTAATATATCACATAAAAATAGTAGCTCACAAGGTGTAGCACAATGCAGTAAATGACAACACAGAAAGTTTAGGCACCATGCAGCGGACACCGCTGGTTCACCGTATACAGACGCCTACTGCTTGGACGCCGTGCACTGCTTGCCACCAGAATACTGCGGGTGCTGAAGATGTCAGCAGCACGCATGATTATACAATCAGCTAACCATACAGCGACCTAATAAAATGTAAGGAGCATTGATTCGTCAAATGCGGTAACCAATGCCAGTAACCTCCTTCTAACCTTACAGGACCCAAGTCTTTTGGATCAAAGTTTATAATAACTAGGTACTGGCACGAATTACATCAGCTATTAGCTAAAATAATATTAGTTCATTATAAAAATAAATCTGGATCACACTAATCTATTTTCAATCGACGCGATTTATCCGCCCCCTCACACCCCTGCTGGACACAACCTCCATCACCCGGCAGGACTCGGCGCATGCTGCGCATCCCAGTCCGCCGCGGGACACAGCGGCACAGCCGCTGGATACTGAGGCCCGTGCACTACCAGAAAACGGCGCCGCCGCCCGCACCCATGCCCCATTTGTCGTTCTTTTTCTTGGAGGCGACCACATTGGCGCCGCTCATGGCTGCCAGCTGCGCTACGTTGGGCGCCACGCCCGGCGGCGGCGGCGGAATGGAGGGCCGCGTGCGTGCGTCGAACCGGGCACCGGCGTTGAACGCGCCCTGAAACGCCCGAAGTCGATAAACGGTGCCTCGCCTGGCCCAACGTGGGTATCTATTCTGTTGTTGTAACCACTTATGCTAGCTTTGGCAAGAAGTTTCATATCTATATTACACTTTTGCAAAAGCGTTTCGTGTTAGGAATTTCAATGCATTCTTCTCGTCATCAGTTTGAAAGTAAGAATGAATGAGCGTCAAGAACAACCTTTCGTACTGCTCGGCTGGAATGGACCTTAAGGGCCATGCGACCCATACAGTTTATTTGAGTTCCGTCGGACTAAGGAAGCAAGTTGAGAGTAAGAGTGGACAACTACTTAGATATCTGCTGCAAATACAGAATAACGGGCTTAAATCTCAACCCAATCAGCCAGTAACTATTTGATACGTGACATCAGAAACTAGCCATGCTCTCTGAGTTAAAACCTCATATCCCAGAAGAGAGATTTCCATATCACAATTGATTCGTTTGAACCATCGCCCCATCGTCGTTTCTACTCACCATGACGTGAACCTGCGAGCCGGGTCCGACGGGGATCATTCCCGGGGCCAACTGGAACGCCGCCTGGGCCGGGTACGCTCCCTGGCCGGGGTGGGCTCCGCCCTGGGGCGGGTACCCCACCGGCGGCGGGTAGCCGGGAGCGGCCGAGTACGGCGGTGGCGGCTCGTTCCACGGTCCGCCCTGGGCGCCGGGCTGCCAGAAACGACACAGCACGTTGACAGGAGGGACGGCAAAACGGCAAAGACAGATACCGACGTGAGAATTTTGTCGTCGCTGTTTTCTTTTCGGCTATGACGTGAATATAAGTCGAACATTTCAATGTAGTTTCATTTCATCTGTACTCCAGCTCAAAAACAACAAATAAACTGACTATCATCGAATGTAACTGAACAAATGTGATGAGACATATGATAAATCCAGTGACGCCCGTCCATATGCGTACCTGTGGCGGTCCCTGGACACTGTAGGCTGGCGGTGCACTAGGATACATCCCCTGCGACTGTACCGGGTAGGGCACTCCACCAGGCACACCTGAAACCAGCACGACACCGCTGAGTCCGAGTGTCAGAACCTCACACTCCACCAAATGATAGGGTCAGCATTTATTGTGGTCATAGAATAGTGTAGGAACATGCAATATGTTATGTGTGGTCACTAACTACTGGTCAGGTTCATTTTGTGGCCTCTCGCCCTCTCCATTACAACTAAACACAAACAGACAAAATGATCTGCCCCTTATTTGGTTGATAACCATTCTGATTTCTGAACACTAATCAACATCATGTAAAAGGTTAACCCGCGCCCCGTAGGGGGGGGGCCGAAACGGCCCCCCCCTGTCCTTTTCGGTCGATATCTCCTGAACGGCTGGAGATATCGCCACCAAACTTTCAGGACCCCTCCGGGCATCAATTTTACACATTGTGACAAAAAAAAATTTCCAGAGGCTATGATAGGTTGGCCACAAATGACGTCAGAGTGACGTCATGTTCTGTCATTTTCGACCGAAAAAAGACCTTCGCGAGAAGACCTGTCAGGACTACAGCTTTGAAGATACAGAAAAATGATCAAGACATAAAAGGTGTAGAATTGACAGGGCTACAAAACTGCTATCTCGAATTTTTGAAATTTTTGAGTTTTGACCCCCAAAAATCAAAAAAGCATTTTTTTGGATATATTCGCCAAAAAATCCAAAAAAGTTTTTTGAGTTTCGAAAAAAACCGGAATATATGTGATAGTGCCTACCGTCTTCTATCCACACACCAAATTTCAGATCGATACCTCGTTTTTTGGCCAAGTTATAGCGAAAAAACTGTTCAAAAATGATGACGTCAAATTTTCAAACTCAATTTTTGGCAATTCTAGAACTCGTAGAGCAAAACGAAGACCACCATTAGACTCCCCGTGACGAGCTGCATCGAATCGATACCCAGTTTATGCAAAAATATCAACTTTGAAATTTGACCTAATTTGACCTGACCTTGACCTGACCTTCACCAAAACGTGACCTAGGCTGGCCCCAAAGGCTGCCTAACCCACATAATCGCATTTGTCATGTAAAATGGACCATAAAACATGTATCACACGACACATTCATATTGTGACCCCCGGTGACCTGACCTCGCTGTGACCTGACCTGGTATCAGTGACCTCAGATAGCAAAGTATGTGTTTGACGAACAATGTACCATCGATGGTTTTCAATAAATTACCAATTTACTCGCTTTCACAGCACATTTCTTGAATTGCCTGTGAACGGTGAAAATCTGACCTTTGACCTGACCTGTGACGTCATCGGTTTGACCTAGGTCAATGAAATTTGGTCACAAGGTAGTTCCCGGGTGGGGCTATCGAACGACGTTTGAATTTTGAAAATCGGCCGGTAACTTTCCGAGATCTTAGGGGGGGCCGAAACGGCCCCCCCCTACGGGTGGTAGGGTCCGCCGGTAGCCCTACGGGGCGCGGGTTAATATTGGATACTGGGTCAAGATATTGCAAATGTGACTCCTTTTTATCTCCATGAGGTCATCTTAGGTCATAACAGATCACCAGCAATTTTATCTCCATGAGGTCATCTTAGGTCATAACAGATCACCAGCAGTTTTTCAATATCTCTTGAAACTTGAAAGTTACGCTCTACTGCTAAGTGATAAAAATGCCTTGGATATGTTTTGTTCATTCACATGTATGCAACATCACCTTTGTCTTTCCATATATGACACCAATTTAACATTATTGATAACAGCTCTGTTAGGTAGCAAAGGAGACATGGAAAACTTTGTGCAAAAAGTCAAAATTAGGGAAAAGTTGACCTGTGATGAACTCTGGCGACTAGACCTTTGAGTTTGACCTGACTGAAAGCAATGACTAAAACACTTTCTTTGTTATTTTGACACCCTTGCTTGATCCTAACCAAGTGACCTCGCATGTGCACAAAAGATGTGCATGGGAATGCAAGTGTGTGTAAAACAAGAGGCACTGTTTGCAATGGCTCTATGTTTGCAGAACTGTACTGTCTAGGTGTGTTTAAGCATCCCCATGCAGGAGGTGGATTTATGTTTGTGCAGACTCAGACTCCAGGCCTAAGTGGGCTCTCTTAGAGCACAAAGATGACTTGCCTTTCTTTCCTGACATTTTCAGCAGTGTAAGACCTGAAAAGATATCATGTCAGTGAATTTGTTATTGCATATCAAAGAAATATATTTACAAAATAATCATAATAACCCGTATGCTCTAGGACTTGACAATATATTGATATTATGATAAGTTAATAACCTATGTTGACATTAAACTCACCCCATTGCCAAACCAAAGTAGGGGAGGAGACTGAGAAAGGGGGCCATCACCACGCTTCAGCCCTTCAAGTGATGTCAGCTCCTGCTTATGGTTTCCAATTTGAATTAAAGTTCTCTTTCCAGTTGGTTGAATGAGCCAAACCAGGGTTTCTGCCTCCAGTCAATGGCCATTGCCTCGTACCAAAGGGACAGGCAATTTACCACGATATTCACTGTATATAGACAGAACTCGATATTCTTATCTTCCCCCAACATTCTTAGGCTTTTTAAACATCATTTTAATCCATAACTTTTAGAAACTGTATTTAAGCACTGTCATTCTTGCATTCAGTGGTAATTGCATGTCCAACCAAATTTAATGTTTCTCTCAATCTTGGCCGCTTTTCATGAATTAGGAATCAATAATGAACTAAAAGTTTCCGACCAAAATATTTTTTTCTATGAATGTCCATTCGGTAAATGTCAAGTTTAAGTCCTAAGCAGATTTCATTGATAAATTTTTCATATTCTTACATTATTTGACATCCTGAATCCAAAAATGATACTCATTTGTCTCGCAAATAAAAGAAAAAACATAATCAAACCTGACCTAACCTTACCTACTTACCTATAACCTACCAACCTACAACTTACAAACCTACCCTAACCTAACCTACAAACCTACCTACCTACAACCTAAAACCTACAAACCTACAACCTAACCTAACCTAAAACCTAAGATTTTTGCTGTTTCATATTCGTATCAACAGCGTCACAATTGTAGTTAGGACCTAAACTTGACATATACCGTCCATTCACTGTTTACCTGCAGGTTGAGGTGAGAAGATGACAAAATAAATTGATCCCTCTCAAACTATATACGCTCAACCAAGGTATATAAAAACACTCAACCAAATAACCCTACGCTGCCTACGCTGCTAGAGTTCGTAGAACAACGTGAACTGGCGCATTAGTTACGAATACAACTGTCAATTGCATTAAAATGCAGCCATTATTGGTGATAAGCCAGCCACAAGCCAGCAGGCAGGGTAGGAAGGTATCAGTTTCGTCTAAACTAATTACCTTGCTTTACGCAAGACAGAATTTGGAATTATTTCAGGCAGTTATTATCATTTATATGTAATTTAGATGCAATTCTCTACATACCCTGGCAGGGCTCATTTTTTAGTTGTTAGGTACATACCTATGTAATGATTTTTGGTGTTCTGGGTTACACAGGCTACCTACCCAGCATAATAGAGTATTTTGCAGTTACTGTTGGTGTACCCATCTCAATTTCAGTCATATCTATTGTAAAACTGCTCAATTTAGTGTTGCCAAGTCCAGCCTATAGTACTTGGCATTATCAATGTTGTTAAAGGGACCCTCCCACCTTCAAATAAGTTAATGAATTGGCATGAAAGTGATGTCCCTTGGTTCAGAAAGAGCGAAAACGAATATCTACCAGATTTCACCGAAAAATATTCACTGGTTTTCAAGATCTTAGGCTTTTACTTTTGTTTACTTTTTGGGATCTCCCCTGTTACTAGCGACTTTATTTGGAAGCAATAATTTGGCAGCCCTAAAGTGCGGCAGACGTTGCGCGCAAAGCAGCGTATACCACCACGTGTTAACGATGGTTTTAGTCTAAGATTTAAAAATCGTTAGATCTCCGCTGACGTCACAAATTCTAAGGGGGCATTCCAATGCATTAGCCCCTTAGAATCCGAAAACTGCAAGTTTGGAATTCCATATCTTCGAATTAAAGCATTTTTCGATGTTGTGAGTGCCCAAACCGGTATTTGCAGGCCATGGCCACCAATTTGGCTATCTCAACTCAAAACTAATGTTAAGGTGGGAGTGTCCCTTTAAGTTTGATTGATTTTGCAAATCACTGCACAAACCAAGGCTTAACGTAACCATGGTTATGAATAATTAATAGATAATTGATTATTGATTAGATAATTCATGAATCATTAAGAGATAATTGATTATTAATTAGATAATTAATGCATAAATGTTTAGGACTTGCAGTGTTAGGCCATTACCAGATGCATCTCTGCCCTCTAGTATTGCACCCTGTTAACTATTTCACAGCCAACATTTCACTCAGGAAGAAGACTTTAAAGAGGCCAGAGGTGCATTCTTTCCTGGCCAAGCAAGTCAGCACTGGTGCCAGTAAGTCAGATCCAGTTCCACTTCCTTACAACATTTGCGTATTTTCAGCTATGTTGTTGATTGCAAGTTGTGTGCACACTACGCTATTGACAAGAAGTTTGGCCTTAATGTTAAATATTAATTGGTTACAAACAAACCCTGAATCACCAATCCCAATCCATTCTAAGATCAAATACATCAGATTTTATAAAAGTCCTTCCTCCTTGTCTATTATTATAACTTATAAGCTCCAGTTGTGGCACAAGTAATCCTTTTGCTGAAAGGGACATATTGGACAATGATGTAAATGTTAAAAAACAAACGAATTTGTACAAATCGAACCTATTCAAAAACACACAAAGCTTTTGGCTTCAACAGCCTTGATCATTGTGCCACAGGTAAGGTATAATCGGTACAAAAATGACATTACCTATGCTACAGTGATCAAGGCTGTTGAAGCCCAAAGTTGTGTGTTTTTGAATAGATTTGACTTGCACTAATTGGTTTATTATTTACATCATCCAATCTGTCATGGAAAATCAACAAAGGAACATATCATTATATGCATGCTATCATCCTTCTGTCCAACTCCTATAAAGGAACAATAACGTTTGCATGGTGAAGGTTGAAGTCTCCTGATTCATTCAATTCAGTTATGTTTAGGATAGGATGAAAAAGAATAGATGTATTTGCTTGTATTTGATGTATTTTAATTCAAATGACGAACTGAGTGCTACTGTTGTAACTTGTAAGCTATTTGCATAGTGACAATAAATCATGTGAAATAATAAAATATGTTGCTTGTGTGTCAATGTGTCAGGAAAGCACGTTCATCTGACCTGAATGCTGAGCTGCTGACAGTTGTCAGCGACGGCCGCACCCGGCATCATGCTGACCCGTGCCGCCGCTCGCGCTGGACGAGGTCAGATCCAGCAGTCCCTCATGTCCTCGGCTGCATCAGACCTCTCGGAGCGGCAGCAGCTGACCGTTAAACACGACTTGGACAGCTGCGAGCTGCTCATCGAGATGCCGGGCTCAGGTGAGACCAATGATCCCATCAGGCCTGCCCGGTAGCAGAAGGAACTATTCCGTTTGGCCATTGAACGTACCGCTGTTGGCAACTTGATAGGCCGATACGGGGACGGAACGTCGTGTTGCAAAAATATGTGTTCACAATAGAATCTACTATCTACTTGTCTGTAAGTGGCGACTTCAGCAGGAAGCCTCTCCACCATAATGTACATTTATACCGATCTAAAACCGTAACATGTGTAACTTAGTTGTAGTGTACATGTGTAGGCTGGGTAACATGTGTTTGGTCTTTGCTTTTTTCCTCCTGTACGATTTATGTATTTGATTTTGTAATGTTCACAACAGATGCGAAAGCCTACCTGCAGTACGACCACGGACCGGACGGTGTGGTCGACCTGCAGCATACGGTCGTCCCGGAATCCTTCAGGGGGAAAGGTGTCGCCAAAATCCTTGCCAAGGTATTCTGATTGAATTCATGCTTTGCTATAAAATGAGATGCAGATAAAGATCTGCTAGCTACTCACAAAGTAGACATTGAACGTACATATCAACTATTTAACATCTCCACTACTGTTGCTTAACATCTTAACCACTCGTATAACATTAACAGTATCGAAAATTGGACAGGGAAGAAGCGTGTTTTCAGCTTACCTAACAGGCTGTATCTTTCTCTCAATTAAGATCAGCGCCCCTGACTTTTTCGTTTCAGGCTGCATTCGACTATGTTGTGGAGCAAGATTTAAAAATGAAGCTATCCTGCTGGTATCTCCAGAAATACATCAAGGACAACCCGTCGTCGGAGCATGTAGCTCGAGTGGTAGAATAAGCCATGTCGGCTAGTATGAAACGTTGGTACCTACGTCAGGCTGTGTTCAGCGACGTTTGATCAGCCGTCAGGGGCGTGCAACGGGGAACAGTGAACTGGGATTTAGTTTCTGTTTATAAGGGCTTGACGTTACTTAATCGGCACCCGTCGTGGTGTGTTTGGGAAATGACTAACCTTTAGGTATAAGGGCGTGTTTTATTTGAATGCGCCCAAATGTATATTTTTTTATTCAGTTAGTGTACAGCAACACGAAGAGCTGACGTCAATATGGAACGATGTCAGGAACGGCAGAGAAAACGAGGCACAGTTGTGTGCAAGGCGCAGAGAGTGAAGATGGACCTGTTTCTGATTTTACACTGGACAATATATCGCTTATGAAGAAGCTCGGGCTTCTTTTCCACCTCGTTTACCTCGAATCCAAAGGGCACAGTACCTGCAGGCGGTATGCAGTACCAGTGTTATTTGCTACGTGCTAGGTACTAAGAGAAGTGCAATACGTTGTCCGCCGGACGATGCATTATGTATGGATCACGCCCCTAATATGCTACATCGCAACGGGTGTTTTGCTGTCCATTTCAAGGTGACTGAATGGAATACATACACATATAGAAAAGAAGGTTTAAAGTCGATTTAAATAGCTATGTGGCCGATTCAGTTGTGTTACACGGTGATTCATTCATTTTTAACAAGTCTGAAATTATCTTAAAGGGACACTCCCACCTTAACATTAGTTTTGAGTTGAGATAGCCAAATTGGTGGCCATGGCCTGCAAATACCGGTTTGGGCACTCACAACATCGAAAAATGCTTTAATTCGAAGATATGGAATTTCAAACTTGCAGTTTTCGGATTCTAAGGGGCTAATGCATTGGAATGCCCCCTTAGAATTTGTGACGTCAGCGGAGATCTAACGATTTTTAAATCTTAGACTAAAACCATCGTTAACACGTGGTGGTATACGCTGCTTTGCGCGCAACGTCTGCCGCACTTTAAGGCTGCCAAATTATTGCTTCCAAATAAAGTCGCTAGTATCAGGGGAGATCCCCAAAAGTAAACAAAAGTAAAAGCCTAATATCTTGAAAACCAGTGAATATTTTTCGGTGAAATTTGGTAGATATTCGTTTTCGCTCTTTCTGAACCAAGGGACATCACTTTCATGCCAATTCAATAACTTTTTTGAAGGTGGGAGGGTCCCTTTAAACGACAAAGGCATGAGCACCTAGGAAGGTCTAGTAAACCGTGAAACATGGGTGGAGAACCTGCCCCGGCCACCCCGGCCGTGGCCGGGGTAACTTTCAGCCGACCCCGGCGCGGCCGGGGTAACTTTTTCCTCTTTTGTAAATCCTAAAAGCTGTCTCCATACGAAAAAAAACTGCCATCTATAAAAGCGTCTCGCATTATTCTTATCTACCTTGAAAAGTTATTGAAAATTTACTTTATTTTCATTTTGGAGCTTCTATGTTTTTAAGTCTTTTCACGGAGCCCGACGTGTTTCATCAAACAGAAGTAAATCATATTTAAGGGCCGTTATCGTAAGATGGCACTGTAATAACATCACAAGACAGGACGAGGGTAATATCAGTGAGATAGAAGGACGAGCTGCTGGGGCTCAAGGCTCCCCCAACTTAACCCGGGCCAGGGTGGTGACTGGTGGCCTTATCCCGCGCCGTGCTGGGGGGGGCGTTTTTACGCCCCCCCCTCAGGTTTTTCGCAAATATCTCAAAAACGGCGGCGCGCAGCGCCGCCGTTTTTGGTACACGTGTTCCTACATCATTTCCGCACATGTTGTGAAAATTTCAGACCTAGGCCGTTCAAGGTCAGGTCACCAGGTCACGTCAAGTGACCTTACCTCAGAAAAAGTTCAAAGGCTCGCTATAGCTACACCGACTGAACGATCACTTTGAAACTTTCAGCGATTGATATGAGTAACAGTATGTATAAAATGTATATCTCGGATTTTTTATATCTGTGACCTAAGGTCAGGTCAATTTTGCGACCTCTCCATTATAAGTCAATGGGAGAAAATTGAAATGCGCCTCTTTTGGACGAATATCGTTCAAAACGCTCTCAAACATCGGTTCATAGGTAAACATGACACACTGAATAGGAAAAATGCACCTGTGACCCCTCTGTGTGCCCCTGAGGTCATCTCAGGTCATGAACGGTCGCCAGCAGTTTTTTGGCTATAACTTTTGATAGAGACGTGCTAGAGCGGTGAAAACACGTCAGATGTGTTCAGCTCGACGATACGGATCGACTGATATGCAACATGACCCTTTTCGGTCAGGTCATGACCTTGACCTGAGGTCAAATTTTCAAAATGACCTTTCAAGGTCAACGAATAGTTCATTCGACGCGTCTCGACGAGAGAAACACGATGCTGGCAAAAGTAATGTCATGGCGCTTATGAGTCAAAAGTTATTGACGAAAAAACGTTTTTCGTAAAAACGGCTATTTTTGGAGTTTTTGCCCTCTGGAGGCTAAACCGTTGACCTGAGGTCAAATCTGAGGACATTACTCAGAAAGGTCTGTAAAAGGGCTATCGAATGCGCTTTTCCGCGGCGCTGTAGCTCTATCGGTTCCCGAGATAGCCGTTGGCAGTTCCCAAAATGTTGAAATAGTCAACATTTTACCTTTGGTGACCTCTGGTGACCTGACCTTTGACCTGACCCAAAAAATGACCGAAGTGTTTTCGTCCTTATTTTTGACGCTCTTTCGATTGCCGCTTACCGCGTGTCGCTACGTGGCCCAGGAGCCGAGTTAGACGGGGGGGCGTGAAAACGCCCCCCCCCAGCACTCGGCGGAAAGTTCAGGCCACCAGCACGGCGCGGGTTATCGTCGGAACGACGTTTGAAAGAGCGACAAACGTGATCAGAGAAATCTGGTCATGTTTTAGGCAAGCTCAATAATAAAATCACCATAGATCATCAAAAGCCAAATTTCTTTGAATTTAGCGTTCTCCGACAACTTTTCTCACAGTTCATGAACATAACGGAGCTTCAACACTGCAAACAAAACATTCGATTACTCGTTTAAGGCTCGGTCGCGAATAATATTTCAGGTGCGAGCTCAAATCAATAAGGGGGTCAAAACGGTCAAATTTGACATTTTGTTTTGTGTGGGGGTTGCAACTTCCAAGGAATAGGTAAGCTTTGCATAAAGGGCATGACGGCATTTTTAGCACGATCATCCAGCAAATTTGACCTGATGACCTGACCTAGCACTAGGTGACATGCGTCCGAAATTTTAAGGCGTGTTGCAAAATTGTTGTTACAATTACGAAATCTTCCGCACCTGCGTGCAGCAGGTTTCCCTAAAAACGTACAAACGGCAGACATCCATTATTCTATGCCACAGAATAGGGGTTTGTTGATAACCGTTGACAAATATTTGAGCATCATCGTCTTTCTGACTTTCGGTCGCCGGCCGGGGTAACTTTTTCAAACATTCTCCACCCGTGCCGTGAAAAATAAACATTTTATATCTTCGGTATGGAGCCCTTTCCCCGGGTAGTCCACCTGACCTGAACGTATGCTGCTCCGCTGACAGCAGTAGTTTTCGGCGACGGCGGTAACCGGTACCATGCTGACCCGTGCCGTGCCGCCGCTCGTGCTGAACGAGGCCAGATCCAGTAGTCCCTCAGCGGCTCTTCGGTTCTGTCAGACCTCTCGGACAGGCAGTAAATGGCCGTAAATCACGACGTCAACAACTGCGAGCTGCTCATCGAGATCGAACTACGATGAGTATATGTTTAACGCCACATTCACTAACGATATCTGTAGTATTCATTTGCTACATCTGGGTCAACACTCAACAGCAGGGCTGCGGAGTCGGAGTCGGAGTCGGTCGGAGTCGACAGTTGTGACCGGAGTCGGAGTCGGAGTCGATTTTAGAAACCCGAGCCGGAGTCGGAGTCACCGAAAATCTGTCGTGTCGACTCCGCAACCCTGCTAGGTCTGCGGAGTCGGAGTCGGGAGTTGGAGTTGGTCGGAGTCGACAATTCTGCCCGGAGTCGGAGTCGGAGTCGGAGCTGGTTTTTGAAAGCCGGAGTCGGAGTCGGAGTCCCCGAAAATCAATCGACTCCGCAGCCCTGCTCAACAGAATATAGCCGACAATCACTTGAGTGAGCTAACTTTCAAGGCATTCGAAATAATTTAGATTTGATCACTAATTAAAAAAAAAAAAAACGCTGAAAGAGTCGCACAATCGACATGGTACCGTCTGACCGATTTATAAACCAATTTAAGTAAAAATGTGTCATCATCCAGCATCCATGTGCCTTGCCCAGTATCCGCATCCGTATGACTTGAAACCGAAACCCCTAACACCGAAGCGATTTTGGTCAGCATTTCCATACTGACGGAATATCAGTCCGACTACCGCCGCTCAATTTATCATGTAATGCAATGCAACGCTCATCTACGCCAAACTTACATTATGGTCCAGTGTATTGTCACGTTCCGCAGTAAATAAATCATCTGACATTTCGATTTCGTTTTCAATGCGGTGAAACTCACACTGACGCTGCTTAGAAAACAATTGGACGGCCAGGACGCAGCCCTTTCGCCAGCGCCGCGCTGTGCACCGCCCGGCTGAGTCGTCTGCGACAGGTCTCTCTCTATGGCGGCGTCACTGTTCGGCGTCACTGCTGTCCGCTTGGCTGGACTCGTGCAGCAACACGTACTCTCGCGAGCTGAAGCCGAATTTGAGCACATCGCGTTCCATGATCTCCACGTACCTCCTGGGATCGATGCGTTTGTTGTTGACGTACGTGCCGTTGGCCGAGTCCAGGTCGATGATGTAGGGTCGGATGACGCGCGCCGTCGTGCCGTCCGACCGTTCGGCGGTCGTCAGTCGGTACTGCAGCGCCGCGTGCTGCTTGCTGCACGACGGGTGGTCGATGGGAATGTCGGCCACCTTACGGTCTCGGCCGAGTAGGAAGGCGCTCTGACGGTGTATATGCAGCGTCGGCATGGTCTCCTCGCCTTTGAACACGTACAGCCGCCAGTGTTTGCGCGGCTTGCGGGCCTCGGGAGGTTCGGTGTACTTGACCACCACGCCGTTACAGGTGTTGGTGTCCTCTATCAGCTTACCGCTGAGGCCGAAGTTGGGGAGCTCCTTTTCGGCGGCGGGTTCGGCCGGCTTCTCGGCGGTCTGCTGCAGACCCCAGCGCTCGCCGCCGCCGTCGGCCGGCGGGTCGTCGTCCCAGCGACACCGGCCCTGTCGGCCTCCCGGCTGCTGCTGCGGCCGCCGGCCGGCCGCAGGCTCTCCGCCGCGCTCCCTGTGCCGGTCGCGATCCCTCGCCGAATCTCTGTGGTGACTGCGGTCCCGCGTGTCGTCTCGGTCGCGCCGATGGTGTCTCCGATCGTCGTGCCGCTCCCTGCGGTCGGGGCGTCTCCGATCGTCCTCGGCTTCAGAGACGGGCTCTTGCTTCACCCGTACGGCACCAGACGGACTAGGACGCTGCCTCCTGCCAGAGAACACGACATCCGGACCAATGTCAAAACCCTCATTCACAGTATTGTCACCCAGCCATTGAAGTCATCGACGTTCGTTAAGTTGATTTAAATACCATCGAAACCAGCTAATCCTTTATCAACCTGCATCATTCTGCCAAGGCAACATTCACTCATGAATCGCCGAAAAATGAAAGCCTCATCACAAGCCCAGGAGGCCCGAGTGGGACAGGCATACCTAAGCGGGAACGCGTTGCATGCGAGCCTTACCGACGATGGTCGTCGTCTCGACGACGTGCGTCTCGTCGACTGGAGTCTCGGTGAGAGTGGCTATCGTCCACCGACGGAGGCGACGCCCTACGCCAAAAATAGGGACAATAGTCACCGAAAAGCAGATGTCGAGCTCGCGAGCATGGTAGAGTAGGCAATCATAGCAAAAGTAAAGTACGAGGAGTACAGAGTCTATACGCCCTGCGGTTAACGAGTAGGTACGATGATAAATATGATTTTACAACATAGCTGAAAAGATTTACAAATATATGGACGTTGGGAAAACACGTGTTGCTTAAGAGACCGCGCGTAAGTCATAAAGTCCGTGGCCTATGACCATACCTGCGCCGGTGTCCGACGTCGCGGCGCGAATCGGTGTCCGTCGTCTGCGAGTCGGACGGGCGGTCGCTGTCCTTTTGATGTCCAGCCTCGTGGCGTCCCCTCTCATCATCAACTGCTGATTCCGATTCCAGGCGCTCCCGCTTCACTCGGGACTTTTCTGCGCCCTTGCGATTGCGTTTTCGCCGCTTTTTATTTTCCTTCTCGTATTCTCCTGCAGCAGAAGAATCCTCGGAGCTTGAATCGTGTCTTTTATTTTGTTTTTTCCTCTTCTGCTCTTTTCTTGTGCGTTCTGTATCAGATTCATTTTGGGAACTTTCAGAGCTTTGTCTCTGCTTTCTTTTGTACTTATCTTTACTCTTCAATGAGAGTGATTTATGTGAGCTTGATGAAGCATCACTATTATCACTGATTGATGCTGAGTCTGAGCCTGATGATGACTCTCTATCACTTCTTCCCATGCTGAAAAAAAAACATGATTTGATTCATAAGCAGATGGTAACAAAATGCATAAGCATATTGTTAACTATTTTATTACAACTCAAATGATTGTAAACAATTGGCCAACATCTTTTTTCTAACATTGATGTTCAAACTATGTTGTTAAGTATGAAATAACCATTGCAGATCTGATTTGACAGGCATAGTTAAGAGGAATGCTTTGGTAAAAAGCCTTCCTTTACATCAAAATTCAAAAGGACACCAGAAAATGATTATATTTCAAACAAATAAATCATTCATTTAGCCATTTAGCCTCATGCTCATTGATCAGTCCAGGCACAGCACAGTTCATTGGGTAAACACAGCATGCAGCAGACAACTGACTTGCTCGAAACTCACTATTGATATCAAGGGAAAAGCTATGTACCTAACATCAATCAAACTTACTTGAGTACCTACCTCACAAATACGCAATGGACATTTAAGTAGCAAAGTTTGCTATCTGATTCATGAAAGGTAGAAGAAAGGCATTTTTCGAAGATTACTACACACTTTACCTATTAACACTAACTGCATTATACTAGTTGCCTGAAGCGAGTTCTAACATCTGGCTACAGTGGCTTAATCCTCTCTGATGACAGTCCTGTTACATGCCAAGATGTGGGCATTGAATACTCTGTCCAAACCCAACTCACAACCTAAACCTAAACCAAAACCAATACCAAACATTGCAAGCTGAGGATATTTAAAGGCCTTTGGATAATGGATATTCAATTCACCTACAGGTCATAGGTACATTTAAAAGCAACAGAATGAGCTAACAAACATGTAAAAATATAGGTAAACCTAACTACTCTACTTTTCCCATTTATGCATGCTTCATGGAATTGTAGGATCCTTTCAAACTAAAAAGAGCCTCAGCAAGCACCATTATTTCTGGTGAAACTCACTTCAGATCACGGGGATAACCGCAACAAAGGGTAAGAGTTTAGCAGGCGTCAGTTTTTTAAACCAAGTAGAGGCGCCGTTGGTTAGGTTGTAGGTTTAAGGCTGTAGGTGTTAGGTTATAGGTTGTGTTTTTGGTGTGTAGGTTATAGGTTGTAGGTAAGGTCAGGTTTGGTTTGATAAGAAAGCATCTCTGAGTCAAACACCACTCCACGGTTGCAAAAAAAAGTTTGATACCTGCTTTATGCCTACCCAGCAAAGCATGTGAACCTTGCACGTAGACAACAAAAAGCTATTGGTGACGCATACCCCACCATTGCCAGTGTAGGTACCAGCTATTTAACCCTCGCCCGCACATGGGGGGGGGGGGGGGTGGTTGCCACCCCCCCAGGCAGTCTTTCTGCTCTGCACTCAACATTTTTAGAGCTAGAAGGCTGATTTTTCGTATAGCTGCTCGTCTATCCTTTCTTGATGTCCACTGAAAATTTCAAGTTTCTGTGATTTTTGGTTTCGGAGATATGACCTTGTTTTTCAGGTCATGTCATGACCCAAATGGCCAATTCTCAACATCTTGCGTTTGCCATGGGCCTTGTGAGCTTTTGACACCCTGATTTCGGCCTTTTTTTTGCCAGTCTTACCTCCCACCTATCATGGAACATGTTGTTCGACGATGTACAGGGGTCAAGGTCAGGGTCAAGGTCAACCTAGGTCATCTAAGATAATTGTGTTTTAGGCAAGCTGAATTTACTTTTTGTGAATTTTTTTGACTGCATTTTTGGTAAAAGCTTCTCAGATCATGATTTCATGTGATATGGACCCAAAAACAATCGGTGCACACATCAGTATACACACAGACACACACAGACATACAAACACATATAATTGACCTTGACCTAACTTGACCTGAAATGACCTCAGCAGCAAAATTCTGGTCGGATAGTGTGACAAAGTGGTTCTAGCTAGCTTGGCACCAGAAAACAGCATCGTCATCGGTATTTGATAAGCAGCGCACTTGATATCCAACGGTGACCCAAAACAGCAACATTTTTTAGTTTGACCTGACCTGGAAGGTCAATGACTGACCTGAGAAGGTAAAACTGGGTATCATTGGATTCGTCTCTTCCCAAAGAATCTTTTTGGTCTTTACTGCTAAGCTCTATCTCCAACAGGAACGAAATGGCGCGGGGGGGGGTGGCAACCACCCCCCCATGTGCGTTCTAGGATGGGAAAATGGCATGTGCGGGCGAGGGTTAATAATATAGATTGTCTGCAATTTATCTTTGATGTGATAATTTTATGTCCATATAATTGTGCTAAATAAGAAGCCTTTCCTGGCACTATTGGAGGATGAAAGCGATCATATTTGTGCCCGTTTACCATATAAGCCAAGATATAAGCACTTTCGAATGACAATGCAGACAATTGCGGCGCAGGCCCAGCAAAATCGTTTTGACAATGAAAACGCAGCCAACAGCGGCAGCATGAAACCAAGAACAAATTACGAGTCGGAACTACTCACTCTCTGCGTGATGAAAGACGACAGTAAAATATATAATATATATAATAAAAAAATCGGCACCAAACCACCCCCTCAGACAGGCAAAGCGGTTATTTCAAGGCGCCTTCAAAAATGAAAACTTTTGACGGAAAAAGAAGGGCGTGCTGACGTCATAGGTTTTTAATGTGACTCGTTTTTTTACATTTAATTTCATGCTTATTAATTTTGTGAAGACGTATGAGCTTAAAGAAAGTTAGATTCCTAAAATAACAACTTTGAAATAATCGGAACCATACATTTCTGAAATGTGTGAGATTCTGATTTGCTCTTCTTCATATTTTATGACGTCAAAATAAATCTTTGCTTTACATTTTGAGTTACACTTGCATTTGCATTACCATTATTTTTTTCGCAAAAGGTGAAATAAATTATATTATTGGTCTTTTATCCCATTTTCCCTTGTTTTCTCTGTATTACTGGTAAGAACAGGGTATAGAACAACGGTAAAAACAACCCATACCCCAGCATAGACCCACTTGGGTGAGGTCTCTGGATGTATGTATGTTCAATGTTGGCTTATGCTGAAGCAACTCAAACTGTAGATATTGTATGAACTGTATTTCTAGAAAATAGTCAATAAATTTCATTCTTTAGGTACCTATATTTAAGGTGAACACTTTCATATGTAGTAGATTGCCTGACTGCCCAGCCAGCAAATTCTCAAAGCTGGCAACAGATTTGACAAAAAGTCCAACCAAGGGAACCAAGGTCCAACATAATAGTCCAACCTGAAGCCGGAACCAGATTCTTTGCAGTAACTGCAGTCTGCAGTCTGCGGTAGGTTATCATAAAACAGTGCTGCACACAGGCAGAGTGCTCCAGATAAAATGAGATCATGTCAAAATTGCTTTACTTTGCAGTGTGTTTGGCAGTCTTATTTCCCTCAAGGAATCCCAATGTTTTGCCCTGCCTTATTGTTATGTCAGTGTCCATTTTTCCTGTGTGCCCTTTTCTCTTTTCCTGATGTCTCTGTCTGTGTTCTCCCTTTTTTAGTATCTTTTTTCTACTCTCCTTTCTTGTCTCCTCTTTTCCTTCTCCAAATCGCATATTTCCCCTCCTTTTTCAATTTTCTCTCTCCTGATCAGCTGCCAGAGTCTTATCCCCTATCACCCCTAAGTGTCTCTTGTTCTCACCCTCATCACTTTGCCATGTTATATTTCACTCAATATTCCTGTTCCAGATAATGGATGAAGCAATGGGTGATGCAGCAGGTCATTCTCCTGGCCATGAAGCATTAGAGCAGATGTCATCTCACTTGGATAGTGTCAAAGTAAAGGAGGAGGTCCGTGTTAAAAAGGAATTTAAACTGAATGATCTGGAAGGACAACGCCGCAGTGCCTTCATGACATATAAGGTAGGTATGACCTTGATAAGCATTTCACCTTTCCTTTTTAATGTAAATACTCTAAAAAAAAGCATTTAGTGCATGTTACAACTGATAATGGATGTTCCCTGATTGAGAAGTTATCTGCAATATCCCCTTGTTGTTTCCTTATCTATGCACAATTTTTGAACACTCTTTAAAGGAAATGTCTAGCTCATAGCAAATCATTTTTTTTTACATGACAACTCTCCTTAAAGTTAACTATCCCTTGATCCCCTCCACTTAATTTTAACTTGGTAGGCACTCAAACTCCAAAGTAACTATGAACAACGATCTTCATCACTGCATGGCATCCCATTTTTGGCAAACATGCTGCTGCCAAACCCTGGATGCTGCTGCCAAACTGTGGACAGATCAACACATAGTGTTGTGTGATCGGTGGTTGGCATAAAATGTGGCATTTATTCTGGTTTTGCCGCCGGTTTGATACACGCGGTGTCATCCACAGCCGGCGGCCACCATTCTCACCAATCTGCAGCGGGGCAACGTGCAGGCCGAGGTGCCCAGCGTGGAGCCCTGTCAGCTGACACTGCACCAGCGCGCCGGGATGGGCGACCTGACGGCGGCCGACCTTCAGGACGGTGAGGCGGGGCCACCGGGCCCATAATCTCCGGCGTGCGGATCTGCACTTAGCTACATTTCCGTTTTATCGCTTGCAAACCCAATACAAGGTGTCATATTATTAACGTGCTGAGTGAATTAATTAGGCTTTTAAGTGTTGCGGCGAATTGAACTTCTGAGTCTCAAAGCGTTAGTGTCATAGAGGCGAATGATGTCTCGGTCGTATAGCTTGAAAGAATGAATTCCTTTCTTTAACCCGCGCACCGACGGGGGTCTGCGCCAACTTCGTACCGACGGGGGGGGGGGGGCGGATGACCGCCGCCCCCCCCCCCTGAGATCTCGAGAACGAAGCAAGATAGCGACAAGCGGTAAACGGCATCGGATACGCACGGACAAGGTCTACAATTTTTACAAAGGTCATTTTCAGGTCAGGTCAAAGATGACGTCACAGGGGTCGAAAAAGTCAAAATGGCGGCGCTAGATAAGGAGAGAGTTTTTCTCGAATAACTTTCGAATTAGTCACGATAGGAACAAACTAAGGGCATCATCGTGATCCTCTCGTCAATCCGCATCGAATGATATATATGTTGACCTCGAAAGGTCAAGGTCAAAGGTTGACCTCAGGTCACGTGACCTCGAGGTCATCTTGTATATCATTCTATGCGTCTTGACGAGCTGAACACAATGAGACCATCCGCGCGGCTGTATCTTGTTCCGGTACGGAGTTATTGGCAAAAAACCTTTGGTGACCTTTGATGACGTCACATGACCTTTCAGCTGCCCAACAGCAAAACAGACCAAGGTAGTGAAGGTTGATCGTATATGAAGTCATGTATGATATATGGGGCCATTCCGACCCGTTTTAGTGGTAAAAACAGGGAGCTGATTTTTCCCCCATTGACTTATAATGGGGAGGTCGCGAAATTGACCTGACCTTAGGTCACCGACATCAAAATTCCGAGATATACAAATTGTGGCTACTAATGACCTGATAACATCCTGCGGCTGCGACTTTCAAAGGCCTCCAACATCTACTGTAGCTCTGGCACGGTGACAAAGTTGCAAAAAAGTGACTTGAGGTTGGGTCATTCAAAGTGGCCTGGTGACCTGACCTTCAAAGTTAGGAGGTTCAAACTTGCACACCATGTGTAAAATTGATGAGGGAATAGTCGTGCCAAATTTCGCGGCGCGTAGCGCCGCGGTTTTCTCGCTATCCGCGAAAAACCTCAGGGGGGGATATCCGCCCCCCCGTCGGTGCGCGTGTTAAACGGACACTTCGTGGCTGTTGACACTTTCCTCTGCCGTTGTTTTCCCGTCTCTTGTCAGTTTGTGTAAACTGGTAAGTTATTGCTGACGTTGCCGTGGCGCTTGACGTCTTTCCTCACGATGTGGGCTGCCTCATCTCCGCAGTGGCGAACGTGGACGAATCTGACGACATGGGCTACAGCGCGCTGATGTGGGCGTCCGCCTACGGCCAGGTGCCCACCGTCCGCCTGCTGCTGGAGCACAAGGCGAACAGCGCTCGGCTGGTGAGTGCGCCCGGCTCGGCGGCAGAGCGTGCACCGCTTGCCATCGGTACCATGACCTCTGTGTGTAGGGGGGGGGGGGGAGTGTAGGATAAAACAGAATGTCTGGCTAACTGGCCATCCAGGGCTTACCAGCGAGACAGCGTAACATTAATATTGTCCATCAATTTGACGGTGCTCTCCGGCTGCTTATTTCGTCATGAACAGCGATCGTAACATTTTGATGTGTGTTGAATTGTGCGATAATCCGAGCTCTCAGTATAACGACCTCGTCCATCTGACCGCGATCACTTCCATGTGACCGTGACTACCACGTCTGACAACCACATCAACACCATAACCGTGACAGCCACCGTGACAACCATGTCTGTCTGAGCGCGCAGGGCCCGGACGGCGAGACGCCACTGATCCTGGCCACCAGCAGCGGCCACTACGAGATCGTTCGACTGCTCATCAACGCCGGCGCCGACGTCAACCACGCCGACGAGGTGAGTTGGAGTTACAGTGTACAATGCTGAACTGATGCTTGCCGGCTGTATTTCAGGTCAGTTCCTGGGGACTCAAAGCGCATATGAGGTTTGTCTGCATCGAGACGGCATCCATCCCCATGTCCCCCCGCTGTGACAGGACTGCTATGCCTCGCTGCACACGCGGGACAAAGTCACTGTGTCGCAATGTCGCTATGTCCTACTTACAGTACCACTATGTTCGCAGAACGGCAACACGGCACTAATGTACGCCGCCTTCAGTAATAGTCCGCACGCCGTCAACGAGCTGCTGTTCAGTGGCGCAGACGTGGCCGCCACGAACATTAACGGCGAGTCAGCGCTGTCCATCGCCGTCCAGCGCGCCAGCCAGCTCGGTGAGCGGCGAACGGGACGTGCCAGGCCGAGTCGCACGGTAACCTGCTGCGGCGGTAATGGGGATAGCTGATTGGAGGGTCATTGGTGAACGCAGCCGGGGCGGTCCAAGCACCAAAATTGATAATTAGGTGTTTACAGCCCCCCCCCCCCCCCAGCTCGTGACATCGGCGGTATGATACAAATCGGGGTTTGATGAAAAACATGGCTCAGAGACGCCTTTCCTCATGCTTCTGCCAGTGGGCAAGACAGGACCATGTCTCTCTTTTACGGTCGTGGTATTGAGACGCAATTACGCAATGTAAGTGACAACAGCTTTTAGAGATGGTTCAGTGTTAGTGATATCGCGAGAGAGCTACGCAGTTCAGTGGACGAGGATAGTGATTTGAGAGGATGAATAATAAATATTAAGAGTAATGGGAAATCGGTTGTACCGGATCTCAGCCCTGCACAATATATGTGGACAAGACCGGAACTTTGATGTCATACCCTGTGACAGACCGAGTCAGTCTGGATGACGTGATGGCCCACTATCCATCTGACCCGCTGCCCGTACTCTGGCGCACTCTCTATCTGACGCGCTGTCCTTGCGCACATTCACAGCTCAGGTGGTGCTGGAGCGGTACCTCATGTCCAAGGTGCTGCCGGCCCTGAAGGACTCGGTGCCAGACACGGTTGGCGAGACGAGGTGACCCTGGCAGTCGTAACGGGGCGGCGTCACGACGACCAGTGAGACCGTAGGCAGCCGGCAGGAGACGTACTGAGGGCACGGACACCCAACCGTGATACGGTTCAAACGGGGTCGCTTCGAACGGGTCTTAGTCACCGTGCACTGTGGCACAAGCGTCCTGTCATGGCGCGTGTGAGTCCCAACAGATGTCCGAATTATTAAAAAAAAACATTTCTTTAATGTGATGACGTAGTATTCATGTCTTATAATCATGTTACAAATGTCGTTAATACTATTTTAGTTTGTGACATAGCAGCATGTTGAGCTAACATTTATCATATACCCAAATGTGACGGTGATTAACTGTGCGGTAGTACTGACAAAAAGCAGTCTGTTTGTGAGCTCGATGTTCAGTCTCGTATCTGCAGATTAATGAGGGGTTCTAAGCGAGATGCGAGTTGCTGGGTAACTGATAGGCGACAAATCAACGTTTTCACGCGAATCATATTTTATTTTTAGCATGTTCACTGTCCAATAGTGTGTTTCGTTGATTCTGATATTGTCTGGGACTCTGCCAGCAGAGCTGATGTGTGTTTGCTGTCTGTGATAACATGTGCGAGACCGCTTGCTAGTTGCTCGGGTCAGCGGAAAACTTCGGGTTACGATGGCATCGTGATGCGAATACAAGTTGTATGTATGATACTTTTAGTGTTCAGGTATTGTAAGAGGTAACACATTCACGTGCTACTTCTCATCCATTGTCAAATGAAGCTATCTAGTACTGTTTCCCTGCTGAAGAACGTCAAGATCGGGAAATTTGACCTTATCGACGTTAGGCTACCTGAACCTTGGCCCAACCTGAAAATTACAGAAGTGCTGTCTTCATATTGATTTTGACGACCTTTGCGAATGCCTCTTGTCGCTTGTCGCTACGTTGCTCAGGACTGAAGACGTTGAAGAGGGTGTGACTGGTGACCGCTCCCTCCCACCCTCACCCCGCCTGGATGAGTTGTGATCGGAGCAAAGCCTGAAAAGCCGTCCTACTCCACACTACTAGCCTTGCTTGAGTATGTATCCTATGGAAGCCGACGCTGCGATGTGCTCCAGTACTCCTCTCAGTCTTGTCTTCCGTCGCCGCGCGCCAGCGCTCAATAAATTGGTATTGCAGTGTTTATTCCCTTTGGGAAAATCACTGGAAGCCATTGAAACGATAAACGATTACAAAAGTACTGGGCAGTGAGCAGGTCTCCTGTCCGTTCCTCTCCGGACCACAGCAAAGCACTTATCACAATTATTAGTAATACGCAGCTGTCATACACATCACTGCGATGCGATGCCTCTCCTAGGCATCCTCCCCGAGTGTCCGGCCCGCTAGCTCTCGCTGCTCCGCGCCAGTCTGTCCCTGACGAACCGGACCACCTCCCCGACAGCGGCGGCTCTGTTCTCCCGGGTGACCTCTAAGAGGCGGGCGTCGCTCCTGGCGCGCAGCTGGGCCAGGAGACCGCTCTGCGGTCGGCCTCCGGCCACCGGTATGGTCGCCACCAGCGTCACACCCGCGGCCGGGTCCAGCGCGGCGCGCACGGCGCTCTGGAACCGGGAGCTCAGCAGCTCCATCTTCCCAATCTCGTCCAGCACCAGCAGTCGATGGCCACCAGCAGCTCGTGCGGAGAGCGCTGGCAGTGCCACCCGCTCGAAGGAGGCGACGTCGACAGCGTACTGCCCGACCATGGGCCGCCGGGCGCCGCCGCCGCCGCCGCCACCACCGACTCTCGCCAGCGGCGCTCTCTCGCCGCCCAGGCTGATGACGTCGAAGCCGATCCGGCGGCCGTCTTTGCGCACCTCCTCGGTCACGAACCCCGCCGCCGGCACTGGCAGCAGGAGGGTGCCGGAGTTACCAGGGCAATCAGAGGCACTATGAACCAGCTTAAGGTGTCATGCCACTTATTCATTGGGTAGGTACTAATGGCCTGGCCATCCCCTCATTCCTGAGAAATGACACCGTCCCTGACCATTGACTCGGATTGGAGCGAATCTGAACTCACCTCCGCTGAGCTGCTCCAGGGCTTTCTGCACCACAGTCGTTTTACCGACACCAGGCACACCAGTTATCAGAAGGTGGTTCATAGCAAGAGATGCTGTCAGACAGCAGACTTAAAGGCAGAGTCTACACTTATCACTTAAGTAATATCCTTCTGAGATTACTGAGCTACGACGGGGAATACCTAACCACCTGTCAACTACAAAAAAAAATCAAAAGCGTCTTGCTACAGTACAGCAGTTTATATAGCTTTGAGTACAGCACAGCAAACTCAGACCCTCCCACTGACCACTGTATTACTATTAACAGCTGTATGATCTCTAAATCAGTTTTAAAACTTTTTATGATAATGCTTGAATTTGATGCATTTTAAAGAAATTGAAATGAAGTGATATAAGATCCCTTTCTCTGAATTATATTAACATAAGTCCACTAGAGCAGCTCGTTGCTTTTTTTGGCTTGCTCACTGAACTCTATAATGGGCTTGCTGGATGTTTATCGTCTTTCCTGCGCCAGCAATGTATAAAGAAGTGAATGCGCCCATATGAAGGGAACTGGTTTCCCATGAAGAAAAAACTTCACCGATGCCTTAAACCGAACCGCGCACAGTGATGCAAATGGGGTTCACGAGTGGCCATGAATACCCAAAAGTCAAGTTTACCAAATCGAGTTAATTGCGATATGGCCGAGTAGACAAATGTTTGGGGCATCTAAAATCACATGGTTTTCATGTTTTTGTCAAAACCGGCCTCGTGTATAATCGTCAGAAGTCGTGACATTTTCTAGGTCTTAAAATGACGGTCAGACACTCGCAAGTTCAAACGCCGCTGGTTTGCGTTCATTTCGTACAAATTGAAAAAATTATGCATGAGAATGATCCCCAAAGCCTTCTGCTTCTAATGCCGGGTCACAAAAAGCCGTATCTCATTCACTTTGGCGGTAATCTGACTATTTATCATTATGTTGCAATCGCAGTTTTTTACTAAGAAAAAAAAATGCTTTCGTTTCACCTACAGCACTTAACACAGTGTGTGCCCGTTAGTTCACCATACCATAGCCTTCCCTAATCATTTCTGAGTCGCATCGTGAAAGAATTAAGGCGCTAGCACAGGGCTGACCGGCGCTACAGAGGTTTTTGTCCGGGCTGTCGGGCGCCTCAGTGGGCGCGCAGTGGTCGGGTGGGTGCGCACCGCCCGGCGGCGGCGCGGCCGCCCGGCCCCGCCCGCTGCGCCGCGGCACCCGACCGTGCCGGACGAAAACTTCTGTAGCGCCGGTCAGCCCTGTGCTAGCACCTTAATTCTTTCACGATGCGACTCAGAAATGATTAGGGAATGCTATGATATGGTGCACTAACGGGCACACACTGTGTGAAGTGCTGTAGGTGAATTGAAAGCAAATATTTTTGGTAAAAAACTGCGGTTGCAACATAATGATTATCTGGCCACCATCAGTCTCAGGGGCCTCCTTTGGCAAGTATTGATAGAAGGGCCTCTCAGATCACCAATCTCAGCGGCTTGCTCTGGCTAGTATAAACAGAAGAGTATCTCAGACCATTAATTTCAGGGTCGTCTATTCGCTACTTATGAATAGTAGGGGCTCTCAGACCCTCAATTTCAGGGACCTCCTCTGCCGATTATGAATAGTAGGGCCTGTCAAACCACCAGTCTCATGTGCCTCCTCTGGTCAGTATGAAAAGAAATGCCTCTCAGACCATCAGTCTCATGGGCCTCCTCTGGCTAGTATCAATAGAAGGGCCAGTTAGACCATCAATCCCAGGGGCCTCCACTGGTTAGCATAAATAGAAGAGCCTCTCAGACCATTAATCTTAGGGGGCTTTTGTGGCCAGTATAAATAAAAGGGCCTCTCAGACCATCAGTCTCGGGGGCCTCCTTAGAACAGTGTGGATAGAGGGGCCTCCTCAGATTCACTAGGACCTCTATGACCACCAGTCTCAGGGGCCTCCTGTGGCCAGTATGAATATAAGAGCCTCTCTGACCATCAGTTTCAGGGGCCTCTTCTGACTAGTGTGGATAGAGGGCCCTCCCAGACCACTGGTTTCGGGGGCCTCCTGTGGCCAGTATGAACAGAAGGGCCTCACAGCCCATCAGTCTCAGGGGCCTCTTCTGCCTGGTGTGAATATGAGGGCCTCTCAGACCATCAGTCTCAGGGGCCTCCTCTGCCTAGTGTGAATATAAGGGCTTCACAGGCCATCAGTCTCAGGTGACTCTTCTGACTAGTGTGGATAGAGGGACCTCCCAGACCACAAGCCTCAGGGGCCTCCTGTGGTCAGTATGAATAGAAGGGCCTCTCATTTTTATCAGTCTCATGGGCTTCCTCTGCCTGATGTGATTATAAGGGCCTCTCAGACCATCAGTCTCAGGGGCCTCCTCTGACTACAATGTAGATGGAGGGGCCTCCCAGACCATCAGTCTCAGGGGCCTCTTCTGACTATTGAGGATGGAGGGGCCTCCTCTGACTAGTTAGGGTAGGGACTAGGGGGCCTCCCAGACCGCCAGTGTCAGGGGCCTATTCTGACTAGTATGGATAGAGGGGCCTCCCAGACCGCCAGTGTCAGGGGCCTCCCCAAACCAGTGTGGATATTGGGGCCTCCTCAGATCCACTAGGGCCCCTCAGGCCACAATTCTCAGAGGCCTCTGCTGACAAGTATGGATAGAGGGCCTCCTTGGACCCGCTAGGGTTCCTTGGAGTCCGTGCGTGGGGATTCGTGGAACTTATTTTTACCGAGTTTGTTTATTCTGGAAGGTGACGACGTCCTCTCAACTCGAGACGGGAGGGCCTCGAGTAAAAAGTGGGGGGGGGGGCCCTGGCACGTACCCAGGATTTCGCCCAGGAGGGGGCCACCTGCTTCCGAAGGGGCCCTTAGGTCACCCGGGGGCCCCCAGGCCGCCCAGGCGAACAGGGGCCCCCTTGGCGACTAGGGGCCCCAGGCGATCAGGGGCCTATGCGACCAGAGGTCCCCATGCGACCAGGCCCTGGCTACCAGGGGCCCCCTAGGCGACCAGGGGCCCAGGAAACCGGGGGCCCTCGGATGACTGCAGGGGCCCATCGGGTCATCAGGGGCCCCTCGGGTAACCAGGGGCACATAAATGAAACTTTGATATCAGTTTTTCTTCCTAGTAAAAGACGTTTTATCCAGTGTTTGAAAAAATATACCGGGGCCTGAGGGGCCCCCTGAGCGCCTTCGGCGCTCAGGAGGGGGCCATGGCCCCCGTGGCCCCCCCCCCCTTGGGTACGTCACTGGGGGGGCCAAAACACATGGTTGGCCCCCCCCCACCTCAAAAAGTGGGTGGGCACTTGCCCACCTGGCCCCCCCCCCCGGTTCCTACGCCTATGTTAAATGATAAATAGTCAGATTACCGCCAAAGTGAATGAGATACGGCTTTTTGTGACGTGGCATTAGAAGCAGCAGGTTTCGGGGATCATTTTCATGTATAACTCTTGCAGTTTGTATGACATGAACGCACGCTAGCGGCACTTGAATTTCAAGTACCTGACAGTCATTTTACGACATCGAAAATGTCTCGACTTCTGACAATCCTACACGAGGCCAGTTTTGACAAAAACATTAAAATCATACTTTTTCAGACACCCCAAACATTTGCCTGACTGACCATATTACGATTTATTCGATTAAGTTAACTTGAATTTTGGGCCTTTTTCGTAATTATGGCCACTCGTGAACCCCATTTGCATCACTGTGCCGCGCCGGGCCGGGGGGCGTTTGAACACCCGTCCCCCCCCCCTGCGGTTTTTCGCAGATTGCTCCACGCCGTTTTTGGCACACCTGTTTGTGCATCTTTTCCGCACATGTTGTGAAAATTTCAGACCCAGGTCGCCTTAGGTCAAGTCACCAGGTCACGCCAAGTGACCTCACCTCAGAAAAATAAGAATGCTCGTCATAGCTACACCTACTGATCGATTGCCTTGAAACTTTCAGCGGTTGATTAGAGCAACATAAGGTATCTATAAAATCTTTATCTCGGAATTTTGATATCGGTGGTCTAAGGTCAGTTCCTTTGCGGCCTCTCGATGAGTCGATGGGAGAAAATTGAAAAGCGTCTGTTTTGCACGAACGCTATTCTAGACACTCTCAAACATTGAGATGTAGGTAAAATTGACGCACTGAACCGAAAAATGGCAACTGTGACCCCTCGTTATGTCCCCGAGGTCATATCAGGTCACGAACAGAATCTAACAGTTTTTCACTAATAACTTCCGATAGAGGTGTGCTAGAGCGCTGAAAACACCTTAGATGTGTTCAGCTCGACGTTGCGGATCGACTGATATGCAACATGACCTTTTCCGGTCAGGTCATGACCTTGAACTGAGGTCAAATTTTCAAGTTGACCTTTCAAAGTCAAATTATAGTTAATTCGACGCGTCTCGACGAGAGAACACGATGCTGGCAAAAGTAACGTCATGGCTCTTTTGAGTCAAAAGTTATTGCCGAAAAAAAAACGTTTTTCGTAAAAACGGCTATTTTTGGAGTTTTTGCCCTCTGGAGGCTAAACCGTTGACATGAGGTCAAATCTGAGAGCATTATTCAGAAAGGTTTGTAAATTGTAAAAGGGCTATCGAATGCGCCTTTCCGCGGCGCTGTAGCTCTATCGGTTCCCGAGATAGCCGTCGGCAGTTTCCAAAATGTTGAAATAGTCAACATTTTATTTTTGGTGACATCTGGTAACCTGACCTTTGACCTGACCCCAAAAAATGACTGAAGTATTTTCGTCCTTATTTTGGACGTTCTTTCGATTGCCGCTTATCGCGTGTCGCTACGTGGCCCAGGAGCCGCGTTAGAAGAGGAGACACCCCCCCCCCCCCCCGGCCCGGCGCGGAATCTCGGAGCACCGGCCCGGCGCGGGTTAAGGCGTGCAAACTTGAACTGCAAAGCGCACTAGGCACTACTGCACTGCATTATATATTTTAATTGATTAATTCTATCCATGCTGCCCGTGCCCCAATTTCAATTATGTAAATGAGCTGTTGAACCATCACATTCACGGATCCGCTTACAGCTTATCTCTAGACGGCTAGAGTTCAACAATTGTCAAGTCTGTCCACAATCACATTCAGCCAGAGCCTGCATTACCTCAATTCAGCCAGCCTGGACCAGATTCACGACACCTGTGCAGGGGCTCCGCCACAGGGGGGTACGCGGGGGTCCGGGGCATCACCTGAAACTAAGTTCCCATCATTGATTCCCATCATGTCACACTTTGCACGGACTTGGAATAGGTACTTACCTACGGTCCGCGCAGTCTCGCCATCGCGGCGTCGCTGTGAGAGCGGCGGTGTCGAGAGGCGCGCCGACTGCCGGGCCGTCCGACCTCCGCCGGCCGAGCCGAGCCGTCCGTCACACCGACCGGCAGAGGCGCGGGGACTGCGGTGGGGGTAGGACCTCCCCAGGGCAGTACCGCTGCGGTGGGTTAGACCTCCCCAAAGGAGTGCGGACCTTACCTCTCCCAGAGGAGTGCCGCTGTGGTGTCGGTAGGACCTCCCTAGGGGAGTGCCGCTGCGGTGTCGGTAGGTCCTCCCCAAAGGAGTGCGGACCTGACCTCTCCCAGAGGAGTGCCGCTGCATGGTGTGGACCTGACCAGTGACCTCCCCAAAGGAGTGGGCGCTGTGTTGTGAGCCTCACCGCTGACCTTTGAGCTATAGCCTCAATAGGACTCACCGCCACGGCAGTCTGGATCGCACACCGACGCCGTTACAGCAAGCATAAGCCTGGACCGCCATCAAACTCACGCGACAGAAGCAAATCGTCTGTAAAGGACTTGAAGCCCCGTAAAGACACCGCCACACTCCCGATGGACGGTTCGGGTACATCGGTGCCGCTGTGACAGATCTTCTGCAGGCGGCACCGGTGACTCCAGTCGAAGATGGGGCCGCAGAAGAGACGGGTGACGTCTGCGGCTCTTCTGGTGCTCCTCCTACATCCTGCATACCTCGCTTCAGGTGAGCGTAGGTCAAATACACCTTTTTACGGCCAACTATAGAAATAGTGCACACGCAGTTCAGTAATAGTGCAACCGAGTTCGACAGTTCGGCATAGTACACCGCTAGGTCGGCCGAGTGCGTGATATTCGGTAATAGTACACACGTTTCAAAAACAGAGCATTCAAATTAGAAGAAAGTACGTTTAAATTAACCCGCGCCCCACTGGGGGGGGGCTATTTATAGCCCCCCTCCCGTTTTTCTGCAATAACTTCCAAACCGCTTGACGGATCGACGCCAAACTTTCAGTACCTTTGGTTGCATCAATTTGACACCGTATGTCAAAATTTGAACTTCGTAGCTACCATAGGTCGGCCGGAAATGACGTCAGAGTGACGTCATGTTCGTCCGATTTCGACGCAAAACATTGAACCACGGCAATCGCTCCCAAGAGCTCAGTTTTTAAGCTAGCTCCAATTTCTTTGCATGAAAGGACTCAGAATTGACCGCGCTATCAAACTGTTATCTCGGATTTTCAAAATTTTGAAAATTTTGAAAATTTTATATAATAATATTCAAAATTTATATTTTTATATTTTTTCAAAAAGTTTTTGACTTTTTGGAAAAACCGGAATATATGTGACAGAACGCATGATTATGACTAACTCTAGCAAGTTTTAGCTAAATATCTTCAAAAATGGCCAAGTTATACGCATTATTGCAAAAAATCACAATTATCAATTTTTCAAATCAATTTTTCAGTACGTATTTGACATCGTACACCAATATAAATGGCACCATCGTGTTCCTGAGCTCAAACTGCATCCAATAGACACCTTTTTTGTTGAAAAATTTTAACTTCAAAATTTGACCTTTTTTGACCTGAAAGTGACCTGACCTAAGCTAAATTCGACTCAAAATGACCTCGAAGGACACAGACGACATCAAATTCGAAATTTATGGCCTAAATGGACCATAAAACATGTGTCACGTGACCGACGCATGATATAATATTTTCGTGACCTGTGATGACCTGACCCTGACCTGAAAATCAAGGTACAAGTTTGGTACCCTCAAGGTATCTAGAGCATCTGTTCACGAGTGTGGAAACCAAAAATGAGCCTGATCTGACTTGTAAGACGGCGGCCAGAGCCCAAAATGTGAACAAGCCAAAGTGCTAATAATTTTTACTTTGACCTGACCTGTGATGTCATCGGTGACCTCGAGGTCAATGAAATTAGGTTTCGCTCGACAGTTTTTCCGGGGCTATCAGACGCCGTTTGAATTTTGACGATCGGCCCAGTAGTTTCGGAGTTAGGAGGGGGGGCTATGAATAGCCCCCCCCCCCCCCCCCCCCAGTAGGGCGTGTTATACACAGACCCCAGTGGGGCGCGGGTTAAGTCAACCGTAGGTTCAATTTCGTCATAGTGCACGGTTATGTCATGTGGCATGATATTCAGCGTCTCGCAAAGCAAAGCAATTTAGGTGAGGCTCAAGCGAATTCGCTGCTGGATTGGGAAATTATTTTAGAAAGCCCCTATCTGTGCATGTCAAGAGTTGCGCGAATCTTGGTCAAAGAGCTGTTAAAACGCAGCTTCAGCTCTCAGGAACTAGCTTATCATTAGTCTCGCTCTAAAAATTCGGTGACACGGTCACGTGGCGGTCACGTGGCATTGCCTGAATCGGCCGCATAACTTCGTTGCTGGGTTCAAAAAGATCAGAGATGCTATAGATTTTTGTCATCCCCTTTCAGTATCGTGGCGGATTACATTGAACAAAGCCGAAAAAAATATTGCTCATGCCGAACTTGAAAGCACCCGACGCATTAGGTGCACTATGTTTTATTGAAGCTAAGGCAGCCAGATGACATCTACATTACATACCCTGGCTACCTTTTGCACTAAGAACAATGCAGCTGGCTGCGTGACTTTTTTGGCGTTGCTGACTACCTACGAGTGTCATTGGAGGCTCAGGTAGCGTGAAATGTCAAATAAAAATTGTTGTTTCTTACAAATTTATGCAATGCCGGTCCTACTGAACAGTGCCTAAATTCTCAATTACATGCGGCACCCCGAAATTGAAACAATCTGAAGAATGATATGTGCTATGTTTAATATGCCTGAACCTGGGCCACTTTTACCTGCATTACGACGAAATGGCTGCACTATATGACGAATATCGTGCCGCGACTCAATGACAGTATATGATTGCACTATGCCGATACTGTCGAAATCGCCTGCACTGTTTCTGAAATGTGTGCACTGCCGCCTTAATTGGGCGTAAAAAGGTAGGATATACCTAGGTAGGAAACTTGCACAACAATTCGAATCAGGGTGGGCGTTCGTGCTGACGTCCACGTATTTGTCATAAGTTTATCGTCAACTTTGTTTATCGCAAATTTCGGTATCAATTGTGACTAGGCATCACAAATATTCTAGGTAGGTAAGTAGGTAGGTATAGTCTAGTTGGAGCTTAAAATTCAATTAGGGGCGAAACGCCGACGGAGCTTGTACCCAAGATTACTTTACTCTTGTACCTGCCCCAACCTCTTTTTCGCTCCTCGTCCTCGTACGTGAAGCAGTAAGGTCTTAACTTCTCAGGGGAAAAATCGAGCGGTTGCGGCCTGTGCCGTTACAAGCAGCGAACTGTATCCCATATACTATGTAAAGGTCTGGGAATGACCAGTAACCATGGGTGGAGAACCTGCCCCGGCCACCCCGGCCGTGGCCGGGGTAACTTTCAGCCTACCCCGGCGCGGCCGGGGTAACTTTTCCACTCTTGTAAATCCTAAAAGCTGTCGCCATACGAGAAAAGAAAACTGTCGTTTTTCGGACGTTGACTGCCATGGGCGTAATACTGCAACTCAGGAAGGTATTTACACTATTTAGGTACTCAACTTACCATGCGGTGGCGTTGAGCCCTAGGACCCGCGTGTGGTTGGCAATGCCAAGATTGCTCTCAAATCGTGTTCAGTTTCGAAAATTTGGCGCGCCTTCGGCGCACTTTTTTAGAACCACTGCTTGACTTCACTGCCTTCGACCGGCCTGCCACAAACCGCAACCATACCGTCAGGGCGTAGCCGTCAGGATGCTCATACACCGAGCGTCCGTCACGCTGCGAGCTCGGACTGTTGTAACCGGAACGCGTGCTCTCGCCACGCGGAGTCCAACGCTCAATCGATTGAGCTACGAGACCGGGACCGGTCGATATCCCTGGATAGACTCCCTGTTTGTCTTATAAGAGGTTGAGCCACCCAACATTGAAAAAGACTGTGTCACTGGATGTCAGTGACCCATTTTAGTGCTTTGGTTCGAACGTTCAATTTTCTCTGTAAAGCTCCTACGAAGTGAGCCGTCATCTTTTTGTAGTTATTTTGAGACACAATAAAAAGCTGAAAACGCAACATTTACTCATAATGACTCATGATAGGTATGGTTTGGATATGTTGTGAAATTGCATAAGTTTAAGTAAAAAAATCACTTAAAAGAAAATCGCCTTTTCAATCATCGCCAACAATGTTATGAATGATACAATGTCGGATACAACGCTCACCATTGAACAAACACAACGTCCATTATTCCATTTCCATGGGTCAGAATAGGGGTTTGTTTATGATGATCGTTGACAACAACGTGAGCTTAGTCGTCTTTCCGACTATCGGTCGCCGGCCGGGGTAACTTTTTCAAACATTCTCCACCCATGCCAGTAACCTCTAAAGGTGCGTCAAAAACTCGACGGTCTCAACGGAGTGTGCTAAATGTGAGCGCAAACAGCCCAACCGTTCTCGAGGTGTAGAAGCGGCATCCTGCACGTGTGCACGTTCAAACTGGGCTCTAACTGACTTCTTCCCGGCACCCTACTTACCCGTCCCTAACGGTGTATGTGTGTACCAAGTTTGAGCGCACCCGTTTCAGCAACTCTCGAAACAAACTTGACACCTCTTTGTTTTTGCGCGTGGCATGTTCTTTGTGCATTGTGGGGGGTCACCCACATGCATCGAGGGTAGTCCGATGTTAGGTAGAGTGGATGCAACTATCTTACAAAATTATAAATATACTGCAAGGACAGACTCAGGGCTGCGGAGTCGGAGTCGGAGTCGGAGTCGGAGTCGGTCGGAGTCGACAGTTGTGACCGGAGTCGGAGTCGGAGTCGGAGTCGATATTGGAAACCCCAGCCGGAGTCGGAGTCGGAGTCACCGAAAATCTGTCGACTCCGCAGCCCTGCCAGGTGTGCGGAGTCGGAGTTGGGAGTTGGAGTCGATCGGAGTCGACATTTCTGCCCGGAGTCGGAGTCGGAGTCGGAGTTGGTTTTTGAAAGCCGGAGTCGGAGTCGGAGTCGCCGTAAATCCATCGACTCCGCAGCCCTGTGCAAGGTAATCGGCCAAACCGTTGCAGGAATGTATAAGCCTCTCAAAAGCGTTACAGCCCGGGCCGCTCCATCTGAGTTTTTTCGGTTACCTTCCCTCATTAAAATAGATTAGCTTTGTGTTCGTTCATAATAAGTAAGTAGATGGCTGCAAGAAACACTTCTTTTCGTTGTATTCTATGTATATTGTATGCTGTAGAAGCACATATGTAGTTTATTTTCATGATTTTTTTGTAACTTGTTATATGAAAGAACCGTCTAAGAACCCCTCCTCCTAAAATTGTTTTCCAATTCGCACTGCTCTTGGTAAGTAATTCAGTTTTCTTGTTAACATAAGCATATCAGATCCAAGTGACGACTAAGTAGTTAATTAATGTCGTTGTTATGACAGATATGAATTTAAGAAGTCACATAAAAACATGTTTTGAGCCATTAAGTCAACCCAGTAATAATGGTGTTCAACAAACTTTGCCAGTATTTTGCTTTATCAGTACCTCTACCTATATGTTTCACCTGTAAGCTGTATAAAATCACAGAAATAATTGTGTTTTAAATACGAGCATGGGACACCTTACCTATACCCTGGGCGTCTAAGACGGTTCTCCTTGATCACGATTACCGTTTGCCATATCCATTAGTGTTTTCATAATAAGCCACCTCGCGCCGCCACCCACAGTTCTGCGTGACTCCACATGTTTGTGAAGCCAACTTTCTCGGCTGTTAATTGCTGCTGCCAGTGGCACTTGCCATTTATTAACTCCTGCGCAGTAGCGGTGGAACACCTTCAATTAAGGGGGGGCGGCACTGCCGACTTTTGGTCCCATTCTTTCCATACAACGCCCATAGGGCTAATAATAAAATGGCAAAATCAAGGGGGATACGGTGCCCCGATGCCCCCCCCCCCCGCTCCGCCGCCTATGCTCCTGCACGGCTTTTTCCGATCTAGGATTGTTTTTTGACCATCGCTCCACCAGCTGCGATCCCTAAACAGTGACCAGCAGTCTCTCGTGTAAAAATCTCTGGGAGCAGCGACAAATTAGATTAATCGAGAAACTTGCCAACAACAGCAAATTCTGTTGCACTAACTTCCTAACACAATGCTACAGCTGCTCGGTATAATATCTAAGTTAATTGTCACGGTAGATTTTAAAGTGAAGTGAATACTACTTAAAAAATCTAAATATATCGCAATCTAGGTACGCACGTACTTTGGTGCAGGAAGTTTCTGGACGACAACTCAAAACAGCATTACGCTAATTTGAACTGAGGAATCAATGTTTTGTTGCTCATCAAAAGGTAGGTAGGACGTAGGTCGTAGGTATGTGATCACGTGCTGTTGATTCTCAATGCGGTTCCATATCAAACCATATTTGATTTTTTATCGTGCACATCTCGACCCTCGTTCATGGCTCATCAGCCATGCGGAAATTGGCAGTCGGCCCTGCGGTCTGCCACCAGCAAACAATGACATGGGCCGGCCGGCCGCGCCGCCAAAGGCCCGCTGCCGGACCTGCGCATTGTTGGCATTGTATGTCTGTGCAGAACTGGCCTGCAGAGTCGGTGCTGCTGCCTCAGAACGCCACGCGTGGCTTCATGGTGGTTATATTATCGTGGTTTCACAATGCAAAACAGAAAAACTTTCACATGCAGACCCACCCATCTCCAACGTAAATATACGCCCTCCCACTGAACCCTTATCATTATTTATATGATATAACACAACAGAGAACAGTGAATTAGCCTGATATCGTTACTTATAAACAGGAAAACGTTCGACATGTTTGATACCCGCTCTACTTATGATGTCACAAAATAAACGTCTTTAGGTAATTGCATCAAAGCTCTTTACGAACGGTGATCAAAGTTATCTGCGATGCTCCTTAGGGTCAGTTGCAGGATAACAGATAACAGTGCAAGATAACAGATAACAGTGCAGGATAACAGTGTCGTCCATAAGTCATAAGTCAGTAGTCACAACCGTCGTTTTCTATCATTTCTCTCTTGTCGACAGAGTTGGGTTTACATGCCGTCTATTGGCCGATAATATGCGGGAGCCGGTGGCGCCCGGCTGACCACCGTTACGGCGCTGCTGACCGGCGCGGTGGCGGCTCATGAATTGCAACTGGGCCGCCGGGCTATTGGAGCGGTGCTGAGTTATCGTCCACGTCGGCAACGCTAAAACTCCGGGACCGGCGCGACCGACCGTCGACGACAGGGCACATAAAAAGAGCCGCTGTGTGTATGGCAGCAGCGGCCGTCCTGCGAGCCACCGCAGCGCGGCGTGTCGGTATCCCTCCATCACATAAAATGAGCGTGGAAGATACGCCATAACTGATATTTAAGATAAGCTCCGGATTACTGGAATGACGAAGGCGAAGCCAAGGCCGTGCTAAACAGAGTAACACCTACCGGCCGTGAACTTTACCGACAATAGAAAATCCCGAATTATAGAGAAAATTTAAAGGCAAAGTTTAGGACACCGGTAGCCCAGCTTGGTCGTATTGGTATATCTGTCCCCGAATTCTAGGGGCTGCGGCTGTTCCCAACAACCGCACATCATATCTGTCATGAGTCCCTGATTTTAACCATTAGAATGACTCGAGCCCTCGCAGTATCAACGCCAGCAGTCCAATTTCGCGCCAGCTGAAGCAAGGGAACAACGAAGCCTTTCTACTGGCTAGAACGGGCCTAGATCTGCCACAATATTTTATCCTACAAATGCGTAAGTGTTCCGTGGACGTTATAACTATCGTAGGCTTCTTTCACATCACTGCCATGGAGAGCCTATGGAAGCTGACAGAATCTCCGTTCTATTTGCTGTGAGAGAGTCGGCTGACAGCCCCGTCTCGCCGGCATGGCCGTAGAGGCCGGGAGGGGAGCGGAGTGGTGTGATGGATGCTGTCGCCTTTCGGACGTCAGTTCCAATCCCATCACATCTGACCCGCTCTGAAGGCCACCTCGGCGAGCGCTGCCGAGCATCAAAAGGCGACGCGTCGCCGCCGACGACCGCCATTACTTCTATTAAAGCTGCCCTAGACGGAAAATCCCTTACAGTGACGCCGATCGTGACGATATCCGTCGCCCTAGCCTGTCGTGCTTTCCTGTATTTAAGGCCTTAGCTGGCGCTCATCTGAGTAGGTCAGACGTCGTGCAGGAACTGAGATAAGCTAATGAACTACAGTATCGTGGGACGTTGGCATTGAGCTGTTGGTTTGACATCTGGCAGCCAGTCAGACGCTACAGATTCATTGCCAAACATTTGGTGCTAAATGGCTGGAGTTGACTATTGTATTCTGTTTCCATTATTACGGAGCGAGCAAAGCGAGCGTAGTCTTTCCTTAGATTAACGGAAATTTCTGAGTATGAGCGGCCGGCCGGCCGTGCGGACGCTTTTGCGAGGCTTATATCTCAGCAACCACTTGACCGATTTGCATGCGGTAATTTTTGTAGGGTAGCTTCATTTCTTCTACCAAGTATTGTACTATTCTTGATGCATGTGGGTGACCCCTTATGCACGTGCCACGTGCAAAACGAAGTAGTGTCAGTTTTGTAATTGTTGCAATATCTCAGTAACTACATACTTGGCCGATTGCGCTGAAAGTTGGCATGTAGGTAGGCACCCACTAGGCACTGCAAATCTATGTGCCAGAGTTGGGGTGCTGCTGCACGTGCGCACGTGCAGGGGTCGTTTCCAGTTCTCGAGAACGGCTCGACCGATTGCGCTCAAATTTGGTACACAGTCAGAGATCGGTTAGTAAGGTGCCGTGCAAAAGTCAGTCGGGACCCATTTTGCACGTGCGCACGTGCAGGGTGCCGCTTCCAGATCTCGAGAACGGCTGAACCGATTGTGTTCAAACTTGGTACGTACATCGCTAGAGACCGGGTAGTAGGGTGCCGTGCACACTGCACAAGTCATTTGGAGGTACCCCTCGCAATTTCTCACGTGCAAGGCCCACCCTCTCGCTCGCTCCGTTAGTCGCCCCAAAAGGCGTTATACTGGTGGATATGTTCAAAACGCACCTATGCTTGCAGTTGAAACAAGTCATTTTCCAACATACCTGTACTTACCAGGGGTTTATTAGTTGACAAACGCGTTACATAGTTTAATCACGTCTTTCATATAAATTTCTCTCGTCACTCACTGAACACCGCCCCACCTAACCAGTTGCCTTCCTGTTCGTCCAGGTCGGATGGACTCCCACACAACCAGCGCGCGAGAGAACGACGAGAAGCGACTGATGGACGTCCTGTCTCGGGGCTACGACCGGGACGTCCGGCCCGTGTTCAACGCGTCGCGGGCCGTCATCATCAAACTGGGAATCACTCTCACCCAGATATTCGATATGGTAGGCTCGCGTGCACAACGGTCGTCGTATACGAGTACAATTTGCTTTGCTGCTCTCTTTTTTGCAAATGGTACCGAAATATAAAAAAAATGTTCTCTTCCTACTGACGATTTATCATAATGCATTGAAAGAGGCAGAGTGGTTATGTGCAACTGAGTATGGACTAAGGATGTAACCCTTGTTTGATTTCACACTTACGACAGCTTCTTTTTCAGGACGAAAAGAATCAAGTGTTAACTACGAATGTTTGGCTTGACCAAGTAAGTCGAGCATAATGAGATTTGAAAAAAAATCCGCGCCGGGGCCAATGCGGACGCGTTTTTATGCCCCCTCTCCAACTGTTTTTTTTTTTTGCATAGCTTATGGATAGTTGGCCAATTACACCAACTAAGTAAATGATTCCTTTGAAACTTTCCATTATTGAATAGGTCGTTAGGATATAAAAGCCGCCGGTATATTTCTTTCCAAGGCCTAACCCGCGCCCTGCTGGGGGGGGGGGTGTTTGAACACCCCCCCTTGTGGTTTTTCGCGAATATCTCAAAAACGGCGGCGCGGAGCGCCGCCGTTTTTGGTACACCTTATCATACATCAATTCTACACATGTTGTGAAAATTTCAGACCAAGGTCATTCAAGGTCAGGTCACCAGGTCACTTGAAGTGACCTCACCTCATAAAAACTTTCAATGTCTGTCATAGCTACACCGAGTGACCGATCGCTTTGAAACTTTCAGCGATTGCTAAGAGCAATAGCATGTACAAAATGTATATCTCAGAATTTTGATATCGATGACCTAAGGTCAGGTCAATTTTGCGACCTCCCCATTATAAGTCAATGGGAGAAAATTGAAATGCGCCTCTTTTGGATGAAAGACATTATAAACACTCCCAAACACCGAATTACAAGTGGTTTAGACACACTGAACTTAAAAATGGTGTCCGTGACCCTTGTTTATGCCCTGAGGTCATCTTAGGTCACGAATGGTATCTAACAGTTTTTCGCAAATAACTTTTGATAGAGGCATGCTAGAGCGATGAAAACGCCTTATATGTGTTCAGCTCGACGATACGGATCGACTGATATGCAACATGACCCTTTCCGGTCAGGTCATGACCTTGACCTGAGGTCAAATTTTCAAGTTGACCTTTCAAGGTCAAGTTATAGTTCATTCGATGCGTCTTGACGAGAGGAACACGATGCCGGTAAAAGTAAGCTCGTACAAGGCTTGGGTCAAAAGTTATTGCAGAAAAACTGTTTTCAAAAAAATCGGCTATTTTTGCAGTTTTTGCCCCCTGCAGGCAAAACCGTTGACGTTAGGTCAAATCTGAGAGAATTACTCAGAAAGGGCGTTAATAGGGCTATCGAATGCGCTTTTCCGCGGCGCTGTAGCTCTATTGGTTCCCGAGTTATGCGTTGGCTTCTTGGAAATTTTCGACATTCGACCTGGAAATCGGCGAAATTTTGCCTTCAATGACCTCTGGTGACCTGACCTTTGACCTGACCAAAAAATTGACCGATGTGATTTCGTCATTATTTTTTACGCTCTTTCGAACGCCGCCTTCCGCGTATCGCTACGTGGCCCAGGAGCCGAGTTACAAGGGGGGGTGTTCAAACACCCCCCCCCCCCCCCCAGCAGGGCGTGGAAATCCAGGACCCCCAGCAGGGCGCGGGTTAACATGTTTCCAGCTACTTACACCTAATTGTAGAGAAAACGTAAAAAGATCCTGATCGATCCCCTGCGTTATCGTATGTTACGATCGCAATATGAGACATCTTAGACACGTATGTTACGATCGCAATATGAGACATCTTAGACATGTCTCTTCAAACCGCTACAGAACTTGCGTTATAGTCATCAATCTTCAGTGATATATGTTATTTGTAATGCCCCATTAGCTTTTCAGGATGGAAACATAGCACATAGGGGAAAGTGGGGTAAGACGGTCAAGGTAGGTAAGACGGGCACCCCCTCTGCAGACCAAACCAATAGCGCTACGAGCGAGAAAAATTAGGACCAGAATAGCCTTTCCCACTACACACCGCCATTGAAGTCTGGTGAATTTGTGTTCGGTCAATAATCTTTTATTTTGATTTCTTTAAAACACTCATTTCATTGAAAACATTCATAATGTATTGTGCAAGCTTTTGTGTGCAGCACTATAGAGTTAAAAACTGGCAATCACTTGTGGCACACTCATATGCCTCCAGTGTTCATTCACCGCGGATTTGCTTTGTCTGCATCAAATTGTCCACAGAGAAAAATCGTGCTGAACTTCTGACATTGAGTTTGGGGTAAGACGGGCAACTATGAATCCGATGGGTCTGTAATGGTAAAAATATTTTTGTTGCTGTAGGAAAAAAAGAAGCATTTCTGATAAGAATATGTTCGATTCCGATACTCACAGACATGTTAGCAATATTCCTTCGGCACAGTTTATTCTCGAATAATGAATGTGAAAAACGGCTCTACATGGCTTCTGAACTAGGGCCTATATACGAGTATACGCCTTCTGCACGAATCTCGTATACTGCCATTTCCGAAGCACTTGAGACCAACGAGCGACTGTATCAATGCGGCTAATCTCGGGCATTTGCTGCGAGCTGTGCTGGTCGGTGAAAGAAGCTGGCCGTCTTGCCCTACCCATGTGACCGTCTTACCCCATGGAGTGGGGTAAGATGGGTTTTTGCAAGGTTTTGCAAAAATAGCTGCAGTTTATTTGTTGAGTCAGGTCTAAGTCTCATCTTCTGGCAAATGGAAGTAAAATGTCTGTAAAAGGTTTTCACTCAGTTTCCCGTTTCTATGATGTTTCTAACCGGCCGAAAAATGGCTCCAAAGTTAAGGTGCCCGTCTTACCCCACTTTCCCCTATGGGCGATGGGAGCTTATGTTTTCTCTGTGTGGTGTGCATGACTGTTGCAGCTAATCGTGTTTTGATTTGTCTCAGGAGTGGGAGGATGAGCTTCTGACTTGGGATCCGCGTCAGTTTGGAGGTCTTTCCGAGCTGCGTGTGCCCTGCCACAGAATATGGCTGCCAGACATTGTGCTCTACAACAAGTGAGTCCATCTCCATTTACGTCGCAAGTTTGTCTCAATCGAAACCTTAATTAATTTGACATGTAGTGCCTATACCTACACAACATATAGCCGATATGCAATGCATGATCGGTTAAATTATTTCCTGGCTCGGTTGGCATTACTTGCATTGTAAGTATTGCAGTGTATCATAATTTAAATATTTTATTTCTGTTTGTGACTTGTTCGGGCCTTTCCTTGAACTAAAATCAGTGATCATGCGGGTGCTCGTTAGACGCATAAATCGCGCTTCCCGGCATCCTCTGCACTCGACCTCGTTTGTTTCAGCGCGGATGACTACACGCGAGGCTACATGCAGAGCAGGGCCATGGTTCACAGCGACGGCCGCGTGTTCTGGCCGCCGCCCACCAAGTTTCGCTCCACGTGCGCCGTGGATGTTACCTACTTCCCGTTCGACGACCAGACGTGCATTCTGAAACTGGGCAGCTGGACCTACAATGGCTTTCAGGTGAGAACGAACTTACTAACAGTCATTTTTTCGCTCAAATAATGATTCAAAAAGCCAACACAAAAGTTCCACGGAAACGTTATACATCTGAACAGTGTGTCCCTCTGCTCCGTGTAAGGTGTACTGAGCTCTGCCGCGATGGAGCAAGCTCAGTTATCTGGGTGCAATATCCAGTCCTAGTCGTACAGCAAAGCAATAGCATCGGAGCTAATGTCCGCCCCCATGTAGCGGTCGTCTGAATTTCAAAACCTGCCGATCCTGGTCTGAATCTCACTTATGACCAGATCAGTCATGGAAGCGACCTCTGAAATCGGGACTCCGTGATCCGATTCCCAGTCGGATACTGTTCGTGAGCGCCATGGAAACATAGCCTGTGCTGGCTGAGTCTGTACCTACACTCTACAGTCTGTCACCCGCTGAGTTTGCCCTCGCAAAGTTTGTACCCGCATTCTGTGCCTATGTAGAGTCTGCTCTCGCAGTCTGTCCTCCCAAAATCCGTCCTTGCGTCGTGGTTGTCAGAGGGAACCGTGACTCAGTCCCCCGCCGGCGGCAGGAGCTGGAATTGGAGCTCGTTAGCGCCCGCAGGCCAGCCGAGCGCTGATTAAAGTGAGAGCGCCGCCGCGCCGGTCCTGCTTGGCGATGCCATTATAGATGTGCCGGCCAGATAGACGAAAACTACTTAGTTAGATTTCCTCTGGCAACATAATGAAGAGACGTCACGTCCGCAGAGGTCTAATCGCTTGCAGTAGGTACTTGATGAAAAATAAGAGGCGACATAAATGTGGCGAGGTTCGCGGTGGTTCTCTCATTTGCATTTACTCAACTCTTTTTAGGTGCATGTATCGGCAATAAATGTGTCGGGATAAACAGCTAAGTGAGCACAAATGAATGAATAACATCTACACCTCACTAGTCTCTCACAAATAGGTCGTTTACAACGGCATTACGTTGGCGTGAGCTTAGTTCTCCTACGCACTTCTGTTGCACTTATTTGAAGATTATTTCTGTAGGAAGGCATAATGATAATCCCGTAAGCTCGAGGTCAGTCGCAAGCCAGCAAGCTGCTTTACGGTACCGTCTTTTCTAGGTCCTCCTGTGTGCCCAACTATGAGCGCGTTGAAGCATGTGACATGATCTAAAATCTCCTCTGAAGGTCCAAGCATGCAACGATCTCCACAGTTCGGGAAAATCAGCTTACCAGCATCAAAGTTGGGGTGTTAAATTTGTTGCATCTAAACAAATATTGTGCCGTAGACGTAACGTCATCAGCTTCACTCCATTCCGTCTTGTAGCTGTAAGGGTGACGGCCTGCCGCCCGCTCCTTCAGGTGGACGTGACGAACCGCACCCAGGAGGTGGATCTATCCAACTACGTGCCCAACGGCGAGTGGGAGCTGCTCGAGGCGCGCATCAACAGAAACGTCGTCTATTACAGGTCAGACGGACCGGTCCTGCTCACCACAGTTTCTTGTTCACATTATCGTTGCGCGTGCGTCATGAGGTCAGTTTTGACGATCCTTTCGTCTGATGTCACCTGATGGCCTACGACATATGATGTCTTACGTCACCTGATGCCTGACATCACCTGTTATTAGAAATAACCTGTGCCTGACGTCAACTGTTGTCTGACATCACTGCATTCACAGTTGCTGTCCGGAACCATTCCCGGACGTCACCATCACGCTTATCATCCGGCGGAAGACGCTGTTCTACATGTACAACATCGTGATGCCGTGCATGATGATGTCGGTGCTGACGCTGCTGGTGTTCTGCATGCCGCCCGAGAGCGGCGAGAAGATCTCCCTCGGCGTCACGGTGCTGCTCGCCTTCAGCGTCTTCATGCTGGCCATCGCAGAGAAGATGCCGGAAACCTCCGACAGCATTCCGCTCATAGGTGGGAGTGACATCGCCAGAGATGGCTTCCTTGGTGATCGCACATGAAAATCTGCTCGATTGCACATGTCATGGAGCTGCCGATTGTTCAGTCACCATGGTCAAAACGGGAGATATGTTTTGATGAGCAAGAGAAATACGTATCGCAACATGAATTCTTAACCACCTCTCGGTTACTTTTCGCACTTATATTCGCACTTTCGACAAATATCGGTTGTTAGAATTACAAATTAGCTAGATGCCTGCGAGGGCTGGTAGTGTCTCATGATAAGAGTTGACTTGGTAAATGCTAAGACACAATATTATGCGAGTCATTTAGCATTGACTGGGGTTCGCCTGGCTGCTGTCATGATCATCACGACTGCCATTCGTCGCAGGGATTTACCTGACTGCTGTGATGGCTATCACGTCTGTTTCGATCGTCATGACCGTTGTGGTCCTCAACCTGCACTACCGTGGCCCGGCCAGGAACATGTCACGGTGGATCAAATACATCACGCTCAAAAGGTAGGTCCGTACCAGTCGAATTATGTTTAGATAACGGCAGACCTACACGCTACACAAATTAACAACTGGAATGCAAGCATGTAAAAAAAAAAAAAGATTTTTATTCCGTCATGTCCGTTTTGAGCCGGAAAAATTGTCGATCGCAATAAATTGTTCGGCGATGTGACCGGAAACCATCGTCCTATCACCAGTCCCCTGTTCTGCACCCATCCACGTTATGATCTTACTATTGACTCTCCGGTTGGGTGATAGCACAATAACAATCGATAAAGGAGAAAGATTGGTGTCTTTGCGCGATCTGTTTCCTTTTCATTTGCTAATGTATGTTTTGTATCAGCATTAGGACGTTCAGCTAGCGATCGATTGAATGAATACCGCGGTTAGGATGTGCAAAAGGGAGAAGGATAGCCATACGCATTGAGTGCAGTCTTTGGCTGATTTAATCATAAAAGTGAACTATTTTTATTGCTGACAGTAGGTAATCGTTAGCGTGCAGCAGCGTACACCCACGATATTTGCTCTTTTGCAGTTTGAGCTGCTGAGAACTCGACACAGACGGTTGTAGGAAGGCAAACAACTGCGTAAAGTCATTGCGAATGCCTGCCAAACGCCAACTGAATCAGCTGCGATAACTTATTTCCAAATCATGAATGAACCGGCAATGTGGCAGCCTGGTCTTTCCAGCCTTGTCACCAGGGACGGCGCCACAGGGGGGGCAGAGGGGGCAGCCGCCCCCCCAACTCTGAACACTGGGGCCCTCTTTCAGCCAGCAGGTCAGGTATGGGCGGAATACTCTCTGACTGTGCAGAAAGAAGACTTCTGGGCAGAGCTGTAGAAATGACTTCAGGAGTGGGGAATTAAGCCAAAAGGGGCCTTCTCAAGGTGCCGCCGCCAAGATAAAACTTACGGGCTTTGGCCCATGTTTTTGGAAAAGGGCCCAATTAAGCACAAAAAAGTGAAAGAAAATCATTTATTTTGTATCTTGGGTGATTGTGGCCCTGTCCTATCTTCCCAGGCTGTAGAAACGGCCCGGGCCAAAGAGGGCCCATGCCACGTCTGAGAGGGCCCATTCAATATTGAAAGGGCCCAGGCAAGGTCTGGGAGGTAAGTAACATATTATGTCTGAGAAGGGGAGGGCCCATACCAGTCATGACAGGGCCCGCAGCGGTGCTCAGATGGCCCTTGGAAGGAGTGCGAGAGCCTGTAAAATGCCTGAGAGGGCCCATACCAGCCGTGACAGGGCCCATATCAGTACTGAGAGGGCCCATAACAGTACTGAGGGGGCCATCGCAAGTAATGTGAGGGCCCGTACCTTGACATATTACTGAGGGTTATGTCAGTCAATGACAATCATGGAAGGGCCCCCAGCAGTATTGAGAGGACTGTTGCAATGACTAGGAGGGCCCGCACCATACCTGAGAGGGCCCATACCACTCATGCGAGGGCCTGCAGAGTGCAGCAGTACTGAGAGGGCCATTAAAAGGTCTGGTAAGGTCCTTAGAATGTCTGAGAGGGTACATAGCAGGCCGCCTCAGGAGCCCCCTAGTAGTATAAAAAGACCCATATCAAGCCTCTGAGGGTCCCTACCAGTCAAAAAAGGGCCTTTACCGGGCTCCAATGGCCATGCCAAACTGAGGATCTACCGAACTTCAGAAGGCCCATACCAGACCTCAGGGGCCCCAACTAGGCTTCAGAAGGACCATATCAGGTCTCAAGGGGCCAAGCCAGGTCTCTGAGACCTCTACTAGGCCTTAGAAGGTTCATAATAGACTTAATGGGGACCAGGCCACAAAGTGCCTATACCAGGCTTCAGATTGTCCATACTAGGCCTAATGGGGCGTAACAGGTCTCTGAATGCCCATTCAAGACCTCAGAGGGCCCATATCCAGTCTCGGGGGAACATAGAAACTAGGCCTCATAGGGTCCCTATGATATCGAAATCGCCCGCGAGTACGCCGCACTAAACCCTGACCGCCGGTCAACCTTCGGGGTCAACCGTACCATACTTGAGAGGGCCCATACCACTCATGCGAGGGCCTTAAAGGGACACTCCCACCTTAACATTAGTTTTGAGTTGAGATAGCCAAGTTTGCGGCCAGGCTCAGAAACCACCATTTACCCTGGTCGCAACCCCCGCAGCTTTATGGTGTTCAAGAAATTTCTTCCCTTTACTTGCAGGGTGGGACCAGCGTGGTCCCTATCTCTCAACCATTACGGGAATCTGATGACGTATCAGGCTTTCGAACGTCCGTTAAATGTTTGACTAAAACGTTTTGTAGCACGCGGTGGTATATGCTGCTTTGCGCGCAACAAATGCCGCACTTTCAAATAAAGTCGCTAGGAACAGCGGAGATCCCAAAAAGTAAACAGAAGTAAAAGTCTAATATCTTGAAAACCGGTCAATATTTTTCGATGAAATTTGGTAGATATTCGTTTTTGCCCTTTCTGAACCGAGCGACATCACTTTCATGCCAATTCATTAACTTTTTTGAAGGTGGGAGGGTCCCTTTAAGGTCAACCTAATCGCATTACCCCAGGCGCCGCTCCTGTGTCATGTGTGTAACGGTGTTTTTGGGCCGGCCCTGTCGAGCCGAGCTCCTGTTTGAGCCACTCTGTCCGTCCGAGTCACTTTCCAGCCGGGAGGCGGGGCATGATAAACTCGAGTATTGAAAACACGCTTTTGTTCAGAATTTTGGCTGCTCAGGCTGATTCAGGTTGTTTACGTGGAATTCGTTGGTCAGGATAGTAAACAGCTTCCAACAAAAAAGGTTACCTACAAGGCCCTAAATACAGTTACCTATTCATGTTACCACACGAACAATGTCTTGCCTGTTGTCGAACGGACCCCCTCGGTTTTTCGCGAATAACTCGCGTAAAGAGCGGCTGATCGAGACGGAACTTTCAATACCTTCGCGTTGATCAATTTTACACCTATCCTAAAGATTTAATGATCCTGACCCTAATGAACTTTAACCTGTGACCTACTTTTTTAGACCATGTTTGGCTGGAATCGCGATTCAGCGTATGTCGGCTCGCATGAGCCGCGCGTTTGCAGTCTTTTCGTGGTTTCAAGCGTTCAAACATGGGATATGATGCTGCTTCCATGAATTAGGGTGGGTGACAAGGTCACCGGAAGGTCAGGTCAGCTCATTGACCTTTGATGACCTCGGTTCACTTTGTTCGAGTTTTACATGTTTATAGGCTAGTTTTTTGAGCTGAATTCAAATTTAGCAGCCATTTGAACATTTACGAAGTAATTTTGGTGCTTTCGTAACATGTTACGAAGCTGTCAGAGGCGGTTGCCACCTACTTCGAATACGCGGCAAACCCCTTACTGGTTGAGCTGACTTGACCTGACCCGACCTGGCCTAAATAAATGCATGAAGATATCGTCTAGGTTCATCACTTACATGATATTCGTGATCATCACCTCGAAAAAACCATAGCAGCCATCCTTTACGACGTTCTAACATGTCCCGATTTTCCCGACTTTTGGGTCATTGGCCTGACCTGGAAGGTTACCCGATGACCAAGGACCTTAAAATTGGGTATCATCGGCTTCCTTTCGTCACGGGCAGCACGCTCGTTTTTTTTCTGCGAAGGTCTAGCTTGATCAGGGGCGAAACGGCAAGGGGGGCAACGGACTCCCGCCCATACGTTCGTGGCTAGAAAAACACCAATACGGGCGAGGGTTAAGAGTGTGTCTTTTAACACAAAAGTTATTGTGTAGAAGGCAACGGTGGTGGGAATGGTAGGTCAAGGTACAAATAAAGGCTTGCATAGTATTGACGGTATTGACGATATTTCGGAAAGTTTGGGCCCCCATCTTGTTTGGGCCCTTTTTCTGAAAACCTGCCCCCGCAAGGCAAAATCCGTGGCGCCGTCCCTGCTTGTCACTATTCATGTCTGAGTAGGACAAAGATGTGGTACGTGTTTAAAGCTCGTTCACACACAGTCAACCTTGGTGTCTCAATATCACCGCAGAATTTATGGGCTTCAGATCGGCGCCATTGGCCCTAACCGTGGTCTCATCAGGCTGGGATCGAGTACAATGAAACTAATCAAGACTCGCTCCCGCGGGCCCGCTGCCAGCCGATTCGCGTCGGCAGGCGGCGGTCGGCCGGCAGGGGTGGCCGCGGCCGCCCCGCCGCGCTGTTTTGCGCCGGGTGACCACAGCAGAAGCCATGGGCCGTAACCAGCATCTGGCACGCGCCGGGCGCCGGGCCGCCAGCCTAATGCGGCTGTTGTCTTCCTCCGGCCACTGACGACCCGCCGAGAAAGCGATTATCCATCTCCCTAACAGGGCGATCGATTGTGATTAATCATCGGTGGAGATGGTCCATAGAGGGCCTTTCCGACAGTCCATATAGACGAAGCATGTTATGGTGTTTGGCGACATTCATGGGCTGACCAGCATTCCATCATCCTTACCGCAATCGTCGTATTCGTTTTGTGATGTGGCGATCAGTAGTGGAATCCTCGTGGTTCCATGATCATCAAAAATGTTTTACGGCCGTTGGGTGGGTAGTGGATACGACTTGAAATAGTGATTAGTAGGCACAGGCTCAAAATCAGTCCATGATCGGTTCAGGATCAATTCAGACATCAGAATTACGTTTATACAGCTTTGTACATTCAGAGTGCGCAAGCCTAAATTTCTGCCATTTTTCCGGACAGTGTTGGAATAGTGTCATCCTGTATAATATCGGGCGAAACGTCAAGTTTCAAGTTCAAATTGAAAACTTCATAAAAGTTATATGTCTTTAGTCGGAAATAGATTACATGTGCGCCAGTCATTTTTAGGTTTCTATGCGTTATCAAATGTGAACTGAGACAGATTGAAAACTAGCGACATCGGCAGAACTTTGCTAGACAGTAGACTTGTCTGACGCGCGTCTGGGAAGACCCATACTAACCGTGCATGTGTCTGTATGTTTCAGCAGCGGCCATCCCTGCCGCAGGGGCAGCTCGAGGCGCTCACACCGGGACGGCCGCTCGAACCGCAGGGGCCACCGCGGCGCCGGCGGGCCCACCCAGGAGCGACTACCCGCCGACGGCTCGCCCGTGGCGCGCAGCGGCTGCAGCAAGTCGGGCACCGTTCGGCTGCCGCTCGACCCTCTGCAGCCGGCCGGCGGCGATGGGGCCGAGCCGCTGGGCGAGCTCGGTCACGGCCTGGTGCCGCAGTCCAACGGCGGCCCTCCGGACGGGCCCGGGCGACCGGCGCGCACCGCCCGGCCCCAGCGGGACGGCGAGGGCGGCGGCTCGGCGCGCGACCAGTGGCGGCGCTCGGCCATCGTGGCCGACCGCGTGCTCTTCTGGTTCTTTTTGGTCATCACGACCTTCTCCAGTCTGTTGTTCCTGGTCGTGCTGCCCGTCTACAAGCGGAGTCTTTACCAGCGACCCGACTGAGCTTATCTCATGGGTGGACACCGTCGCGTCGCTTTGACAAGAACAACGTTCCAAATCGCGTACATACCGTGATATGTTTCAGGAGAGATGTCCAGCGCACACTAGCGTGAAAGGTGTTATCAGGATAGGACAAATTAGCCTACTTGAAAAACATCCCGACAGCGGTAGGTCAGCCGAAGTACGAATGAGAGCTAGAACCGAGAAGAGCTAAATAATGCCTCGGGTGAACCTGCATGGATGCCGCTGCGCAGGTCATTGCGGTACGAATGGAAGACCAAAGAAACCCAGCGCTTGGGCTCCTCTTGCTGATGTCTTATCTGATGCTTGACGGAACCCCCAGTCCAGGAAATTGAATAGCACTGCAATGCCAGTTTTGTCAGACATGCGAACTGCTTTTGGCAAGCAGAAAGCATGTGACCTAGTCGCGTGTATTTACAACTTTCCTATACGCATGACCTTGACCATGACAATGAACATTGATCATTCTCCTCCGCTTACAGACTTTGATAACAGTATAGTGAAGATAATTTATAGACCGGAGTCGGTCAATGTTTTGCCTTCTCAAAAGCTGAAATGACTCTAACCGCATACTTCATATACGAGTATAATAAGAAAGCCCATAGATCTAAGGCGCTATAACTCGTTTTCATATGGCAAGTCGATAGCCGTTTTCACGACGGCCATCTGGTACACATTTGGTGCACATTTGGTGCAGATTAGGTGCAGAATTGGTGAAATTAGGTTCAGTGTATCTCTTAGAAGCCATCAGCTAGGGTTGCACTCATTGCTTGTATGCCTCCTTTGTCATGTTATCAGAGAGTATCATCGATTAAAACACTAAAATAAATTCATAAAATGAAGATATTTGCTGTAAAAAGGATAAGGTGCAGATTTGGTCAAATTAGGTGCATTCGCCGGATATTCAGATATGCATTCAGGTGCTTCTTAAGAGCATGAGTCGTTCTTCATCGTATATTGCAATTCATTCCCAGCTGGTTTTAATATTGCTAGACTGATGAGTTTTATAGAAGGAAGAATAGTTATCAGGATGACCAGCGTACCTACATACCTGTCGCCTGTCGGGATATTGGTAGGTCAGAGAATGGTTCCGGGTTCGTCTGTCGTGTCTCGGCCAACCACATGGAAGTGAGGCAATGCCCACTCGATCCCATTTCTGCGTATACATCCCCGTAATCGAGCGGACTTTTTAATTGTTTTCAGTGATAGCTGGTCGTCTAGCTTAGTTTTCCAACTCCCACCCTTTCATTGTGTATTACTTGATTCCATCAAAAACGGACAGAAATGGACATGACAGCTATCCTCGAGGTTGAGAGTAGCATTTAATCTCAAGACATCCTCAGGTTGTTATAGTCGGTTGCGTATATTTCAATGCAAACCTGCTGTGCAGCTCTTCGATTATCGGAGCCGCTGCTGACGAACCACGGGTCGTCTATGACTGAGGAATAACATAGGAGTGAGGAGGAGCATCAATAAAATCGTGGAATTCGTCTTGCTGTGTTTCTTGTCACCCTCGCCTGCATATTGCCAGCCATCCTGCTGTATAACAGGGTTGTGCTTGACTCATGAGTCGAGTCAGAAATTTGACTCAACTCTGACTCAAATGAGTCAGATTTGAGTCGAGTCGGATAAAATGCTGAGCTGTTGAGTTGAGTCAGAGTTGAGTCAGACAAAAATATTAAGGTGTTGAGTTGAGTCAGAGTTGAGTCAGTAAAATAACTTTTGACATTGAGCTGAGTCAAAAACATTTAGGAACATGAGTCAGCTGACTCAACTTTCTAGAAACAATATATAGTATAAGTTTTTCATTCTCCCCCGCTTAACAACTTAGGCCTAGCCCTGCTGCCGGATTTTTTCACCCCCCCCCCCCCGCTCAACAACTTTTTTATCTGAGTCAATTTTGAGTCAACACACTTCACTCAACAACAAAAAAAAATTGAGTCAAGTTTGAGTCAACTCATATTTTCATTGAGCCGCTTGAGTCATGAGTCGAGTCAAGGGAAAAAATCAGCTCCTTGTTTGAGTCAGAGTTGAGTCAGGGCATTCTGAAGCTGAATGATGAGTCGAGTCGGCAAATTTTTTTGAGTCGAGCACAACCCTGCTGTATAAATTTGCTTCTTGGCCTCGATGGAATCATGAACAGATGCTTATTCCGGTAGTCGGCTGTTCAGCACAACACTCCATAGGCGTAGGAACAGGGTGCTGGGGGGCCACGTCAATTGAAGTTTTGCTGGACCCCCACTTTTCGTGAGGTTCCTACGCCCTAGGGTGCATCAAACGCCCCACTTTTTCGAAAAATTTCTGCAAACACCCTGTCACCGAAATTAATTTGTTACGTATCCTAAATGTATCAACCATGCCAAATTTAAAGAATTTCTGAAGCCATCTAGATTCTAGGGGGTCCGCATCGACCCTAAAGTTAACGAAATTTCATGAATTTGATCATTAATGGCACTTAATTATAAGTTATTTAAAATTATTCTTAGTTCAAAATATCTTTAAGCATCGCTAACAATTGCTAGTGCTATCCTAAAACTGTTCACCAAATCAATCTGAAATGTATCAGACTTCACATCTAAAAGTCTTAACCCTCGCCCGCATTGGTGTTTGGTGTGCGTCTAACGTACAGGGGAGGGGGTCCGTTGGACCCTCTTGCTGTTCGGTCTCTGATCAAGCTAGAGCTTCACTGAATTACTAGCGTGTTTTCCGTAATGGGAAGAAGTCGATGATGTCCATTTTTAAGGTCCTAGGTCATTGGTTGACCTTCCAGGTCAGGTCAATGACCCAAAAGTCGGGAAAATCGGGACCGGTAGGACTTGCTAAATTTAGTTTGTTGTAGGTTTTTTCGGGGTGCTGTATACGAATTTTATATTAGTTTTGATCAAAGATGATGTCTCTATGCATTTAGGCTAGGTGGGGTCAGGTCAGGTCAGATCAACCAGTGGGCGTCCTCATGCCAGCTATCCATAGTAGGCTGTAGGTGTCAACCACTACAGACAGCTTCGAAACATGTTACGAAGGCAACAAAACTACTTCGTAGGTGTTCAATGCCCAAACGCTTCAATGTCCACGCTTACGAGATGAGTAGACAATGCTCCTATCATCAGACGCTACTGTAGTGTCAGTGGGTCTGCTTTTTGAAAGGCCTGCGCTCTCTCCCGCCTTCCTGGGTCATGTTTCTGGTGCAACAACTATATAGCGCCGACCATTCAGCGTTGCATCCGCTCGTCGACGCACGAGGAACGGTCTTTCACAAGGAGATGAAACTCAGATATTCCATTCCGGTGACCTGAGATAATGTCGTTCACGTGGTCGTGACTACTGAAACCGCAAGGTCGTTGACAACGTCGGATGCACTACACCTGTCTGCGAAGGATGAGAGTCCAATAAGAGTTGCGACGCTCCACAGGGACTTGGTGCATGACTCCATCCTGAGGTCGACGAACAATTACCGACGGGAAGAAAGGCTCACTATAGTTGTCGAAGACGTGCTCATCAAATTACATGAAAATTATTTGCGGATTGCTCACAAAATACTCACGAGTCACTCTAAACCAATAATATCGGTGTTAACATTTACATCATTATGAGTTCGTCTAAAAGCAGGTCATGTCGTTGAATCACAGAACCGTAGACTATGCAAGAACCGCTTTAACCGAACAACTTCAGTTAATCATTGGAGCTTAACGAAGCAATTTGTCTTCCCTCCCATCAAAGGTCCTACTTCCTAAATATAGGTAATGTGTATCAGTGGGCTAAGCTGAAACTATTTATAGTTATTATTTTCGTGCTTAATTTCGGCTTATTGAAGAAAACTTGCGATGATCTCAAATACTCTTAGTGATGTCAAAAGACGTCATAGGCCCAAGTTGAATACAGACCAGGCATCAATCCACGAAAACGGGGCACAAAAATAGGATTTCAAGTCCTGAAACAAATTTGGATCATATTTGGCGCTAACTGAGCAGTTCCTGTATCATTACCTATGGGGCATGCATAACGGTAAATGGAGGGGTCACGTGACTGACCTGGACCTCTAACAGTGTCGGTGAAACACCTTCAATTATGGGGGGGGGGCACTGCCGACTTTTGGTCCCATTCTTTCCATGCAACGCCAATAGGGCTTATGTTAACATGCCAAAATCAAAGGGGGCACGGTGCCCCGTTGCCCCCCCCCCCCGTTCGGCCGCCTATGACCTCAGGCGACCTTTACGGAAAAGAAAATCAGAGGAAAAAAGTTGTACAAATTTGAAAGCTTGTGATTTCCTCAGTTTCGTCTCCCTGCGAAACATTCCCCGACTCTGAGAGCGCTGCGAAGCTATACAACATTTTTAGACCATCGAGACTTCGCGTATGACGTCATAGGTCACTGACCTGACCTGATATCGAAATGCAGCAAATGCCGAACGTTCAGGCTTAAGTATCAAAGGTCAGCTAAGCCAAATTAAAGTTCCCTAATCGGACGTGTTTCGACCCATCGCGACAAAAACAGCAGTGGTCGCACCAAGCCCCTCCATCGGGGAAGGTTAAGTGATGAAACATGTTCATAGCTGATGCGGACCCCCTAGATGGCATCCGATATAATTTTAATTTTGCACAGCGTCATTGTGCTACTAGTGGAACAAATTGAATCAACAGACAGATCGATTTGAGGACATCGGGGCGTTTGATGCACCCTAATGCGTGGTTCACACCGGATCCGTAATGACGCCGTAACCGTTACGGACGTAATGAGCTAGAGATTTCTCAAGATTCCCCAAGTATTGTGACTTTTGTAGACGAAGTTGAAATGTGGCAACCAGCCGCCGTAAACTGGCAGCGTCCACCGTACTCGTTACGGAACGTAACAGAAGTTGGGAAAATTGAACTTTTCGGCCCGACCGGCCGCCGTAATGACTTTTATCGACATGTATCTCCAAAACGGTTTGACTGTTTGATGAGCGGTCTTCTTTGGGGAGGGGCTGCATCCTTTCTACCCTGAACTGTGCTATTGATATCACTCATGAGTGCCTGTTACAGCACGTGTCACGTGCGACGAGAGAGGTTCCAAAAGAGCTCGTCATACCATAACTCGGGAACGGCTAAATGGAAACGGTTCAATATTTGTTTGTTGTTTTGGCTGGGTGCACACTACACATCCCGTGACCTTAGGACGATTTCGAATTGCCTCAGCGCGTGCGCACGTGCACACCCCTTTTTCACATCTCGAGATTGGCTGTACCAATCGCGCCCATATTTGGTATGCTGAATGACATCGTGTTTATATGCAAATTGCACAGGTTGACAAAAGCATTGATCTGCACGTGCGCACGTGCGTGCCCCTTTTTCATATCTGGGCCGATCGCGTTCATATTTGGTGTGCTGAATGACACCATGTACATATGAAGATTGAACAGATCGGCAAAGGCATTGGTCTGCACGTGCGCGCGTGCGTACCCCTTTTTGGCATCTTGGGATCGGCTGGGCCGATAGCGCTCATATTAAGTATGCTAAATGACACCAAGTTTATTTGCAGATTGCACAGGTCAGCAAAAGCATTGATCTGCACGTGCGCACGTGCGCACCCCTTTTTCATATCTGGGGATCGGCTGGGCCGAAAGTGCTTATATCAAGTATGCTGAATGATAACATGCTTATATGTAGAATTCACAAATCGGCGAAGGTATTGATCGGCACGTGCGCACGTGCGCACCCCTTTTTCATATCTCGGGATCGGCTGGGCCGATAGCGCTCACATTTGGACTTTGGTATGCTGAATGACACCACGCATATAAAGTATGCAGATTGCAAAGGTCAGCGATACATGCGCACGTGCCCACCCCTTCTCACATGTTGCGATTGATTGGGCTGGTCTGGGTAGCGGGTAGCGGTCTGCTCGTGTGCAAGTGCGGACCTTTCTACTTGAAAAAAATCGTATCAATTCGCCGACTAATTTTTAGGCATTATTTCATGTAGGTATGCCTTCAGTATGTCACAACCTACTTTGTATCTCTTGAGTGACGTGCATAAAATTCATGTTCCGTAATTACATTTCACTCGTTTATTTAAAGATAACATTTCCTTCGTAGGCCTAGCCTAGCCCTAATCATGTAGGTATGTTACAGGTCAAGTTCAAAGTCCACAAAATAAATTCCAATACATAGATTCTCGTGCCACGTCTTTTATGCAGTTCTGAGTCAACTTCGCTGCCCATATTGCCCCTGCTAGACTTGATGCTTGGACGGACACGTTGCACGGCCTCTTCGCAAGCCAATTGAGCAAACTGTACGATGCGTACGTTGATCTTGCCCATGGATAGCAGCGAAAGCGATTCACGAGTGTAGAAAATGAACTTCAGCGTTGACCAGCATAGGCATGTTTTCTTGTTTATGCCAAAACAGAATAAAAGATTCTCTGTGGAGTATCATGCCCACAATTGTAGTTAATTAACAATGATATTCCTCCATACAATTATAAACCGCTATGCAAAAGTGATAGGAATAAATTTAAAAAGAAGAGAGCAAAACCAATTAAAATTCTGACGCACCGATATTAACCCGCGAGTTGCTGGGGGGGGGGGGGCGTTAAACGCCCCCACTTTTTTCGCCGGGCCATAGCATGAAAACGGCGCGCCGCAGGCGCGCCAAATTTTGGGTACCTGTAGGGAATTGATTGAAGTTTATTGTGACAAAGTTTCAAAAAAATCAGTCGGAAAATTTTGGAGATATCGAGGTTTTAGTGACGTCATGATTTCTGAGTTTTCGACCAAAAACGGCATATGTTCAAAAAATCATATAAAATCACAGAATAGACATACAGACATGCCTTAAACGCTATTAGACTGCCAATACCATGATCAATCAAATGGCTATCTTCGATTATTGATTATCGTTTCGCATTTTCCAATATCTTGAACTGAATCTTGGCAATTTCTCGTGACTACTTCACGACCATGATACATGAATTTCTTAAATTGAACTTTTTGAGCCAAACACGTACACATATGATAAAATGAATGTCACCATCGTGTTCTACGCCCCAAATTACCTATAAAACATGTGTCACAGGCTGCGAATATCAGTTTTGATTTTCGGGGATATGTGCCTACCCGGTTGACCTGACCTTGACCCTGACCTATGCTTGACTGACCCCTATATGAAGCTGACACTCTTGTAGGCCTTATAAGATGGATTGTGCACCGTTTTGACAGAGTTTATGGCGAGAGGCGCCCATTGCAAAGTCCTGAAGTCCATGCTACTGAAAGCCCGATTTCAGGTGTTTGACCTGACCTTGACCCGACCTGTGACCTCAAAATTCAACTTTAAAGTACTCATCTGAAGCGTCTCGTCGCGCTCTTTCGTTTGCCGCCTCGTGCGTTTCGCTGCGCCTATTGGTTCTCGAGTTATCGGCTGGGGGCGTTTAACGCCCCCCCCCCCCCCCCAGCAAACGGTGGGTGGCGAAATACCCCAGCAACTGCCGGGTTAAGAAACAGCTCTAATGCGTGGTTCACACCGGATCCGTAATGACCGTTACGTTCCGTAATGAATACGGTGGCGATTAAAAAATATCTCGAAAGTGGAGGGCACAATGCAACGCGCATGCGTAGTTCGATTTTTTGACGCCGTAACGCCGTAATGGTTACGGATTCGGTGTGTACCGGGAATTGCCATCGCTGAGCGTCACCGTTCGAATCAAGTGCGCCAAAGCACTATTTTGTTTATAGGCAAGCGGAAAATAAGCTAAAGCCAAGAGCTGTTTTTAATATCAGAGCGCCAGAATGTAGACTTGTTTTACTCTCTTCCTTTTAATTTGTTAATTTCACTCTGACATAGCGGTCTGCAATTGTATCGAGTCATATCATTGTTAATTAAACGCCGGTGGGCAGAACACTGGACGGAGATTCTTGCACTATTTCTTGCATTACAAGAGGGCATGTCTATGACCGTCAGCGCTGAAGTTTATTTCTTACATTATTTGCTATTCGTGGGTGGTGGGCATACTAGCGGACGCCAGAATCTGTATCGTATACCCTCTCTGCTCGATTGGCTTGCCAAGAGTCAATGTGGATTCAAACGTCTGCAAATATCTACAAGTCCAAGCATCAAATTTAGCAAGTAGCAGGGACAATATGGCCGGTGAACTTTGCTCAGAACTCCATGAAACTCAGAACTCAGAACTCCACATACAAGATACAAAGTAAGCCGTGAGCGTTACACGCTGAGGGCATGCTCACAAGAATAATTATTGGCAGGTTGATTCGAGCTAAGGTAAACGGGTCCGCACGTGCGCACGAGCAGACCGCTGCCCTCGTCGACATTTGGAAGCTCCATAGCTGCTCGGCGATACCTTGGCTTAACCTACCAAAGATGCAATCCCAAGCGATCGGAAAATGTCATTAAAAAGGGTAATCATGCGCACGTGTGCAGACCAATACGCTCGCTGACCTGTGAGGTCTACTAATATGCATGGTGTTATTCAGCATACTTAATATAAGCTCTATCGGCCCAGCCGATCTGCGGTTATGGAAAAAGGGTGCGCACGTGCGCACGTGCTAGCCAATACCCTCGCTTACTACTACAATCTGCAGGGCAACATGGTGTCATTCGGCATACTTAATATGAGCGTTATCGGCCCAGCGGATCCCCAGATATGGAGAAGGGGTACGCACGTGCGCACGTGCAAATCAATGTCTTTGCCAACCCGTGCAAACTGCTTATAAACATGGTGTTATTCAGCATACAAAATATGAGCGCTATCGGCCCAGCGGATCCCCAGATATGGAGAAGGGGTACGCACGTGAGCACGTGCAAATCAATGCCTTTGCCAACCCGTGCAAACTGCTTATAAACATGGTGTTATTCAGCATACAAAATATAAGCGCTATCGGCCCAGCTGATCCACAGATATGAAAAAGGGGTACGCACGTGCGCACGTGCAAATCAAATATGTCTTCGCCAGCCCGTGCAACATGCTTAAAAAGTGTTTTTCACCATACTTAATATGAACGTTATCAGCCCAGCGGATCCCCAGATATGGAAAAGGGGTGCGCACGTGCGCACGTGCAAATCAATGTCTTTGCCAACCCGTGCCATCTGCTTATAAACATGATGTAATTCAGCATGCAAAATATGAGCGCTATCGGCCCAGCCGATCCACAGATATAAAAGGGGTACGCACGTGCGCACGTGCAAATCAATGTCTTTGCCAGCCCGTGCAACATGCTTAAAAACATAGTGCTTTTCACTCTACTTAATATGAGCGTCATCGGACCAGCCGATCCCCACATACTAAAAAGGGGTACGCACGTGCGCACGTGCATACTAATGTCTTTGCCAACCTGTGCAATATTCATATTTACATGGTGTCCTCTAGCATACAAAATATGAGCGCTATCGGCCCAGCAGATCCCGAGATATTAAAAAGGTGTGTGCACGTGCGCACGCGCTGAAGGAATTCAAAACCGTTCAAAGGTCACCGGATGTGTAGTGTGCACCCAGCCAAAACAACAAACAAATTTTGAGCTGTATCGCTTCAGCCGTTCCCGAGTTATGGAATGACGAGCACTTCTGGAACCTCTCACGTCGCACGTGGCACGCGCTGTAATAGGCACTCACGAGTTTTATGGATAGCACAGTTCCATGAAGAAAGGATACATCCCCTCTCCAAAGAAGACCGCTCATCAAACAGTCAAACCGTTTTGGAGATACATGTCAACAAAAGTCATTACGGCGGCCGGTCGGGCCGAAAAGTTCAATTTTCCCAACTTCTGTTACGTTCCGTAACGAGTACGGTGGACGCTGCCAGTTTACGGCGGCTGGTTGCCACATTTCAACTTCGTCTAGAAAAGTCGCAATGCTTGGGGAATCTTGAGAAATGTCTAGCTCATTACGGCCGTAACGGTTACGGCGTCATTACGGATCCGGTGTGAACCACGCATTAGCTTTAGCCCATTTTTCGATTGTTTATAAGCAAAATAGTTTTGGCGCACTTGATTCGAAGGACGACGCTCAACATGGCAATTCCCGGTGCACACCGAATCCGTAACGAATACGGCGTTACGTCGCCAAAAAATCGAACTACGCATGCGCGTTGCATTGTGCCCTCCACTTTCAAGATATTATTTAATCGCCGACGTATTCATTACGGCACGTAACGGTCATTACGGATCCGGTGTGAACCACGCATAAGTCGCCCATGTAACACTCCTCTGGTTCGTCTATGCTCAGCTTGATTTCGATCACATTCAGAGGGTTCAGCCTGTTCAGCTCAAGTTTTGAACCAATTAAAGCTTCTTAATTTCAGCGTATAATAGGACGACAATCACTGAAACCTCCGCATTCTAAATAATCCAAAATAATTCAGAGAGGAAACGGTCAGTTAATTTTCCAAACATCGTTCGACTCATAAGCCCTGCCGACCTGTTCGCGACCGCCGCCTGCTGGCTGGGGTTACTCCCCTCTGCCGTCGAGCCGTCGGCCTCAGCAGAACGTCGGGCTCGACGGGGGGGGGGGGGGAGAGCGGTAAAGTCGCGGGGTGTGCCAGACGCTGCCCAGGTGCGGTGCGCGACACGGTGCGGGCAGCGCGCGCCAAGTGCGTGCACAGTGTGCGCATAGTGCGGCTTTAGTGTGCGCGGAATCTGTCCGCAGTGTTTGCGGAATCTGTTCACAGAAAAGCGCGGAGTGCGTTCACAGTGTGCACACTGCACAGGGCACAGGCACTGAGTGCGCCGGGAATGCACGTTGCCCATTCGTGACGGTGTGGGTAACGAAACGTATTACAACGGGTGACAGCGAATGCTAACACCATCGTCAATGCCTGGATTCTGACCACCGACCAGTAACCACTTCATCTTTCCGGTGCTGCGGACAATGAGCGCTGCGACTTCTAACTCGTAAGTATCTGTCACAGCTAGTTATTTTGTCTAGCCATAAAGGCTGATCAAGAGATTACTGATGTAAAATCACATAAAAGTAAAAAGATTTGTTTTGTTTTAGATTTGGCGCCAGTAAGCGAAGATAGGCTCACAGAATATCTTACAAGCATTTCTCCAACAAAAAAGGCCAATAAGGCTCTGATGACTATCTTTCGACACAAGATGTACCTAGTATACGACGTGAATTTTACCGAATTTACCGACAATCGGATGAGCTATTATTTTACCCGTTAATTTCAAAGTCAGATATTTCACTTGAAACTAACCTCGCCGGACCTTCAGGGGGGGGGGGGTAATTTTGGTGGAATATTTTCACCGTTTCTTCCCTAATTAAGGTCAAGGCTGGCGAAAAATGAGCACGCGCGGCGTGCGCCGCTAAGAGACGTGGTGGCGGGGGCCCAATTTCAATGTCTCAGTTTAACCCTCGCCCCGTTGGGGGGGGGGCCATTTTGGCCCCCCCTGTGGTTTTTCCTGAATAGCAAGAAAACGGCGGCGCGCAGCGCCGCCAAATTTTCAGTACCTTCCCGGGCATCAATTTGACACCTTCACACCAAATTTCAAGTCTTAGATCACCTTAGGTCAGGAGTTATTGAGGTCAAACTGAGGTCATGTTCGAGCAAAAATGAGCAAAAAACATGCAATCTTGAAACGCTCACCAAATCTACAGTTATCAAGCAATTTCAAAGTTCTTTATATGGTCTAGTAGACAAAAAGCAGCGCTACAAAACTGCTATCTCGGATTTTCAAAATTTTTGGTTTTTGACCAAAAAAAAATCAAAAAACTGATTTTTTTAGAAAAACTAAAAACAAATCCAAAATTTTTCCGAATTTCGAAAAAACCGGAATATATGTGATAGTCCCGGCGCTCTTCTATATACATACCAAATTTCAGATCGATATCTCGTTTTTTGGCCAAGTTATAGCGAAAAAAACTGTTCAAAAATGATGACGTCAAATTTTTGAACTCAATTTTTAGCGATTCTAGACCACGTACGGCAAAACAAAGACCACCATTGAACTCCCCGTGACGAGCTGCATCGATTCGATACCCATTTTATGCAAAAATATTAACTTTGAAATTTGACCTAATTTGACCTGACCTTGACCAAAATGTGACCTTAGCTGGCCCCAAAGGCTGCCTGACCCACATAATCGCATTTGTCATGTAAAATGGACCATAAAACATGTCACTTTCATATTGTGACCCCCCGTGACCTGACCTCTGTGACCTGACCTGGTATCAGTGACCTCAAATAGCAAAATATGTGTTTGAAGAACATTTCCCCATCGATGATTTTCAATGAAATGCATTTTACTCGATTTTACAACGCATTTCTTGAAATGCCTGTAAACGGTGAAAATTGGACCTTTGACCTGACCTGTGACGTCATCGGTTTGACCTAGGTCAATAAAATTGGGTCACAAGGTAGTTCCCCGCTGGGGCTATCCAACGCCGTTTACCGCTTGTCGCTATGTTGCGTGGTTCTCGAGATCTTAGGGGGGGCCAAAATGCCCCCCCCCCCAACCGGGCGCGTTGCTCGGCAGAGCCCAACGGGGCGCGGGTTAACAGGTGACCTATGAGGTCAGGTCAAATGTGAAAGGATAGGGATCTAGTTGTGAATAACTTCTCCAGCAATTGTCACAGGGCAGCGACTTTGGGACCATCGTGTTTGTCATGCTCAGGCGCTTCGGCTGATGCGATTTTTGTGTGTGGAAGGTAATTTTAACCCGCGCCCTGCTGGGGGGGGGGGTGTTTGAACACCCCCCCTTGTGGTTTTTCGCGAATATCTCAAAAACGGCGGCGCGGAGCGCCGCCGTTTTTGGTACACCTTATCATGCATCAATTCTACACATGTTGTGAAAATTTCAGACCAAGGTCATTCAAGGTCAGGTCACCAGGTCACTTGAAGTGACCTCACCTCATAAAAAGTTTCAATGTCTGTCATAGCTACACCGAGTGACCGATCGCTTTGAAACTTTCAGCGATTGCTAAGAGCAATAGCATGTACAAAATGTATATCTCAGAATTTTGATATCGATGACCTAAGGTCAGGTCAATTTTGCGACCTCCCCATTATAAGTCAATGGGAGAAAATTGAAATGCGTCTCTTTTGGACGAAAGACATTATAAACACTCCCAAACACTGAATTACAAGTGGTTTAGACACACTGAACATGAAAATGGTGCCCGTGACCCCTGTTTATGCCCTGAGGTCATCTTAGGTCACGAATGGTATCTAACAGTTTTTCGCAAATAACTTTTGATAGAGGCATGCTAGAGCGATGAAAACACCTTAGATGTGTTCAGCTCGACGATACGGATCGACTGATATGCAACATGACCCTTTCTGGTCAGGTCATGACCTTGACCTGAGGTCAAATTTTCAAGTTGACCTGTCAAGGTCAAGTTATAGTTCATTTGATGCGTCTTGACGAGAGGAACACGATGCCGGTAAAAGTAAGCTCGTACAAGGCTTGGGTCAAAAGTTATTGCAGAAAAACTGTTTCCGAAAAAATCGGCTATTTTTGCAGTTTTTGCCCCCTGCAGGCAAAACCGTTGACGTTAGGTCAAATCTGAGAGAATTACTCAGAAAGGGCGTTAATGGGGCTATCGAATGCGCTTTTCCGCGGCGCTCTAGCTCTATTGGTTCCCGAGTTATGCGTTGGCTTCTTGGAAATTTTCGACATTCGACCTGGAAATCGGCGAAATTTTGCCTTCAATGGCCTCTGGTGACCTGACCTTTGACCTGACCAAAAAATTGACCGAAGTGATTTCGTCATTATTTTTGACGCTCTTTCGAACGCCGCCTTCCGCGTATCGCTACGTGGCCCAGGAGCCGAGTTAGAAGGGGGGTGTTCAAACACCCCCCCCCCCCCCCAGCAGGGCGTGGAAATCCAGAACCCCCAGCCGGGCGCGGGTTAATGAGTTGATCTAAGCACAAGGGCAGTTCAAAGCTTAGGTCACGAAGCTGGTTGAAGGTGATTATATTGCATAATATTTGTTTCAGGGGCCTTTCCAAGTAAATTGGTGACAGGTGACTTTTGTGACTCGATAGCGCAATTTGATCAGTTGCTATTGACGAAAACCCACCTCATGATGACCTCAGGCGACCTCAAGCGACCCAGTCATGCGCGGGTTAATAACGTCCCAAATGCCGTCACACAAGGTCCAAAATGTAAAAGTCAAGCATTGGCTCTTAGTACTAGGTTTCCGGCGCCAAGATAACAGTTTCCATATTTTACCCAGTGACATACTGGTACATACCTAAGTCCACGTGACCGATCTGACCTCAGGTGATTTTGATGGAAAATTGGAAATCTAGGTATGTACCTACAGCTTGTGAGGACTCGGGAGATTATTACTTCCTGCGGCTGCAAGTCTCATTTTTCTGCGAAAAATCCCCGGCTGTGAGGACGTTGCGAGGCTGCGACGTTTCTGGACCGTGTAAAGGTCCCCTTATGATGTAATACCTAGGTCAGAGACCTGACCTGACATGAGAATGCTGCTGGTGTCGCAAGATGCAGATAGAAATGAAGGTCAGGTGCCAACTTTCGGCTCTTTATCTATCGCACGTTCCGAGTTATCGCGATAAAAAAACGACAGAGGGTGCACCCCTTCTCAGCAGGCGAGATTAAATCAGGCTCAGGCCTGGTCGGAAAAGGTCATGTTGCATATTAATTAATCCGTATCGTTGAGATGAACAGCTCGATAAGTGTGTTCATCCTTCTACTTAGGATGTTATTACCAAAACCTCGAAACTACTGGTGACATTTTATAGCCTTAGGTGACCTTATTGAATAGGTAACCTAGATTGGAAACTTTCCCAAATGCACAAAATATGTTTCACGTAGCTGCCATAGTTCGGTTAGTAAGGTTTTGCCAGAAAAAAATCATCGTAATCCATCGTATTCCATCTCATCGCCGGTATGTCGCATCGCGGAAATGTAGCTGTTTTTGCTTGATTTCAGTTGATGCCTGCTTGCGTTTGAGGGACATGCGTTTTTGCATTGCCTCCGTAAGCTTATTAAAAACTATTGAAACAAATATTAAAATGAAAATTATTCAAACACATTATTGGACAGATATTCAAGTATTTACACACGGCTTAGGCCATACTTTGAGGTGTTTGCGCTGCGGTCACTTGCACCCACATGTGGCACTCACACCCACAAGTGGCCCTTTCCAACAAGCCGCAGCAGTCTAGCGTCACAAACGCCCAACCCTCTTCACCCCACAATAGACCACACCTGCCCGCATCGGCCATAGACCATCAGCCACGGCCTTCTGCACAGTCCGCACCATCGCTCACAGCGTGTGCAAAGCTGCCTCGGCGCGTACGGCCCGACACGCCCCACTCCCTTTTCTGATCGACTGCTCACTCAGGCTCAAGCTAAGCGTGTAACTCGGATTGCAAACGACTGCGCACATGTTTTCTTAGTTGTCCCGTCGCCTCCGATTTGCGCCCGTCCGACTAGCTATCGTTGTCACTAAGTGCTTCTGTCTGATTCCCGAACATTTCCGCTACAAGCCCCGCACCCAGTGGCTGACATCTGACACTTCCTGCGGCGGAGTTTGCGGGCAGTGGGTCGTTCGCCGTGCCACCGCGCCGCCGTGTTGTGGCGGAGGAGCCGCTGCCCGCTGCGCCTCTGTCGGCCGCTGTCGCATGTCGCTGTGGGGGGTTTATTTTTATCGCCGCGGGGCACGCCACTTGGCCGCCGGCCCGACTCCACGGCGGCGTGACTCGCAGCCCCCTCCGGTCGCCCGTCCCCCCGTGCCGGCGCGCCGGCTGAGCCCGGGTCGGAGGGAGAGGCAGCGACAGACTGGCCGCGGGAGTGCCAGTCATCCGATCCAGAGTCTCGAGTCGTCACACCAGCAGCGGAATGATCTGACTGTCGAAAACAGGTGTGCTTCATTAATGCATGGTAAAAGCACCAATGATCCCGCAATAGCCGGCATTTAGTATTATGTGTATGAGTTGTATTGCATCATGGTTTTCTGCAGCTATTGTGAGATGAAGGGTAAAATTATTTATGCTTGTGAACTCGTGATGGTTTAGTTAGATGTTTGGTTTTCATTTTCACTTTCATTTGAATCCCGTTGGTGTTTGGGCAGTTACGGAAAACCTATAGGTTCCTTTACATGTCGAGCTGATTGACTGTTGAAAAACTGTAGCAAGCTTGCTAGTTAGGGCAATGATTGGACAAGCCAGTTAAGGTATATACCATAATCGGTAGATAATTAGATCTATGGACTGCATTTTTGCTTAAAAACGTTACAGATCTTGCGCTTATCCATTGCATCGCGCACGGTAGAACTCATTTTATGCTAAACGGTACGTGTTTCTCTTTATGCATCCGTGATGATTACCACCCGTTATCACCTATAGTTTGGTGTTTACCATGGTCCGCTTGCTTCAAAGTCTGAGCGCGCGACCATTCCATCAATGATTTGGTCTGTTTGCCGACTGCAGGTCTCTGTATAAACATCTGAATCAAGTCCAGCCGGCCACCCAGTCGGCATCTTGTGTTAACACGGCTCCATCCTCAGCTGATGATCGCCATCCTGTTATTTTATCGCGCGGTGCGGCCGTACTCCAGGTGGAGAACGCTATCGCTGCCAGCCGGCCGTCGGCTGGGGCCCTGATTGACTAGCCACCTGGGCTGCCTAACTGGTGCCCCCCCCCCTCCCCCCAGTGGCACCCTAACCCACCGCCAGACGCCAGTGCTGACGTCACTACAGGCTGGTCCAGAGCAGTGGCCGGTGGCACCCCGCAGCACAGCTCTGCACGCGCCGCGCCGCGACACAGGTGCTTGGCACACACTCTGGCTGGCGGGACGTCATTAAAACGACCGCGGCGGCATTCTGAGACAAAGAGAGAGACCCTGTCGCAGGTGTCACCAAAGCGGACCACGGCTGCTAGCGAGCCGTCTCATGGCGCAACCAGTTCCAATTCCCTTCGCTAAAACTGGGATGATGACATCACCTGCGGTGCTTTATCTATGTATTTACCTTACCAATAATATCACACATTCGTTGACTCGGAAATGAAATTACTCAGTGTTGCTTGCATCATCTACTGCTCTTCTGCAGGCGGTGCTGACAGGTGAACTGGTGTGGGAGGCGGCGATAGAGTTCGGAACTCTCCTGTGCTGAGCGGAGGGTCGCCAGCGGCGGCTGGGCGACCATGGCGCCGGTGACAGCGGCCGCACTTCTCGTGTTTCTTCTGGCCGCCACGCCAGCCGCCGGCTACTACAACGTTACAATCGGTGAGTGTGCTGACGCGCCATCGATGGAAAGGAGTTGTTTTGAATAATTTCTTATTAAGCGTTGTATTTTTTTTTATAATCGAAGTTTTGTATTAAATAGCTAAAAACGATGTTCGTTAGGATTGTGTTTTACTAAAAAACAAGCCATTGTTATCAGACCACTTTGCTAAAGCGGCCTGAGTTCAGCAGTCGAACCATCAGGGTTTTCCAAGCCGTTTATTGTGTAGTTTAGCTGTTTTAGACGTGCCTTGTCGAGCAGCTTACGAGATCTGGCGCATCTTAGATGCACCTGGTGGCTGGCGTTATTGTTGCGCTGAGTTAGCGAATTTTCGTCAGGTTATGAGTGAGCTGGCTTGGTCGCCCTGCTACTGTCATTTTCTGGACCGCAGTGGCTGGCATTTGTTAGTGATATTGGGTCCAACTTCTCGGTTCCGCTATAGTCATTTATTCATCTAAAATTATAATCATCTAAAATAATTAGCTACGTTTCCATGGCACAAGCTTAGCCGATTTTGAAAAATGTATTTTCTCTATCATAGCATTATTAGGCATATTTTAAAAATGTAAATATAGGATTAGGTGCTAGCTAAAACCATATATACGTTTATTTTTTGCATAAGGTAAATAGTTTCCGAGAAAAACGCGCGTGAAATTTCGCTAAATCGACTTAGACGTGTCATGGAAACGTGGTGAATGTCCGTCTAGATTTTATGTATGTATAATAGACAGCGGTGCGATCAGTTTCACCCAAGACAATGCAAACTCCAGTTTCATGTTGGGCAAAGTAACTTTGCGGTTTTACTAGAAGCTCTCTGGGCATTATGCCAAGGACAGCACAGTCCGGCACCAAAGCCGTCGCTGTGCTGCTGGCTGCCGGGATCGGAGGAAACCTCGTGACCTGTCGTCGCCTGATGACCCACCGTCCACCTGTCCGGTCGGCATGCAGCGTTCTGCTCGGTGGTATTCGCCGCTGAATTACAGATTGCACCAGCTCACCCCTCGGCATGTGACCGCTCCCGTTTTCTGCTTCTGAACATCAGCGGTATCTCAGGGGCACACAAGTGTGAAGATATTTCATTGCTCAAACAAATAAACAATCGGGCTTATCGATGGATCATTTATCATTGAGATGACGTACTTTGCCATCAATTTATCAGCAGTAGGTCAGAGGAGAGATTTGTCTGGCCGAGTCCGTCAGATGAGCAGAACTAATGGTGGCGGACTGCGCTACAGACTGTGCCGGATTGTTTTCCTGTGTTGCGGTACAGCCTACCCATCCAGGCCAGCGCCGCGCGGAGCCAAGAGTGTCGAGACAGACAGTGAACTGGACTGTATTTAACACCGGCAACTGTTTTTTATACCTCATTGTAGTTGATCGTCTTAACAAAAAACATTTGTAACAGTTTACTAACAAGTCAGACCAATGACATACCTATGACGTCCGTCATAGGAAAAACTGAGCATAGAAAAAAAGTCGTGAATTCGTAGCGCGCTTCAGAAACAGGAAATATTTTGCAATAACTGCTTCAGAAAAACATAGTAAACTCCCTAGTCCTAACAGCTGGTTTATTTCAAATTTTGCATGCGAATATGCTGGTCACATGACTCATGAGTTCACCACTAAAAGGTGCTTACTATTTTTTTAAAGACGTTTTTGTTAACCCGCGCCCGGCTGGGGGTCCTGGATTTCCACGCCCTGCTGGGGGGGGGGTGTTTGAACACCCCCCCTTGTAACTCGGCTCCTGGGCCACGTAGCGATACGCGGAAGGCGGCGTTCGAAAGAGCGTAAAAAATAATGACGAAATCATTTCGGTCAATTTTTTGGTCAGGTCAAAGGTCAGGTCACCAGAGGTCATTGAAGGCAAAATTTCGCCGATTTCCAGGTCGAATGTCGAAAATTTCCAAGAAGCCAACGCATAACTCGGGAACCAATAGAGCTACAGCGCCGCGGAAAAGTGCATTCGATAGCCCTATTAACGCCCTTTCTGAGTAATTCTCTCAGATTTGACCTAACGTCAACGGTTTTGCCTGCAGGGGGCAAAAACTGCAAAAATAGCCGATTTTTTCGGAAACGGTTTTTCTGCAATAACTTTTGACCTAAGCCTTGCACGAGCTTACAATTACCGGCATCGTGTTCCTCTTGTCAAGACGCATCGAATGAACTATAACTTGACCTTGAAAGGTCAACTTGAAAATTTGACCTCAGGTCAAGGTCATGACCTGACCGGAAAGGGTCATGTCGCATATCAGTCGATCCGTATCGTCGAGCTGAACACATATAAGGCGTTTTCATCGCTCTAGCATGCCTCTATCAAAAGTTATTTGCGAATAACTGTTAGATACCATTCGTGACCTAAGATGACCTCAGGGCACAAACAAGGGTCACGGACACCATTTTCATGTTCAGTGTGTCTAAACCACTTGTAATTCGGTGTTTGGGAGTGTTTTTAATTTCTTTCGTCCAAAAGAGGCGCATTTCAATTTTCTCCCCTTGACTTACCCAGCCAGCAATTTTGCTCCGGGCCCAAGCAGGCTCAAGTGCGGATTGCCCGAGATTTTTAGTCGGGCTAAAGTCGGCTAGGGCTTGGGCTAAAGTCGGCGTATGACACAAATACGCCGACTAAAGCCCATGCTCTGCCGGAGGTATGCCCGCTCTGCGAGCTCCGGACAGCCGTAGTTTAGCCCTAGTTGAGCGACGATTGGCGTTAGCCCGATTTAAGCCCGAGCAGTGAATCCATTTATATAATGGAGATTACTCTGGGCCCGAGCGGGCTGAACTCCGGCAAGCCCACTCTGTGTGCCCTGTCTATCCCGACTTAAGCCATAGAAGTGAATGGGGTTTATACATTGCAAACTGCTGTGGCTTTGCTCGGGTTCGGCTCGAGTGATGGCTCCTGTTTTCTCAAGTCTCGACTTGACTTCATCTTGCTTTTGCTTCACACTGGATCAAGTAGCAAGGAGCAGCCAATGCACTTTCAGCAGGTTGTGCGGTTTCAATGCATATTTAAAATTGTTACGGTCACTCATATGCTCTGTTAACCGGTCATCGAGGCTCGAGCATTGCAAAAGGAAAGTAGTGGTTGACTTTGATTGAATGTATATTTCAAACGACTACAGACACGTCAAATGAAACACAAATACATGAAACAGTGGACTGCAAACTGCAGCAGTAATATGGCATGAGTCATGAAAAAACGCCATCAAAACTATAAAACAATCACAAGGCCCGCTAGCCTCCCTCCCCGTTCATAATACTTGGTTAAACACTCAACTGAAAGCATAAAGTAAGGACGGCAAGTAATCGCTCATAAGACATAAAGCAATAAGCAAACAATCGCTTATAAGGAACTTCACTCTGGTGAATGGGAGCTTTGGAGGCGTCTGGCTCCTCCACACACACACACACATCTGCAGTAGGTGGTCGGCCATCTTTCGGCGCAGTTTCCATATATGTAGGTATACCTACTTAATTATAAGCAGGCAGTTTCCGCTAAACCACTTGGCGAGGGCGACTGCGGCGTCCACCCGGTCCTGGTTTGTATAACTATTCCATTTTTTGGAACCATTTGCTCTAATGGTACGTACCTGAAAAAGAGATTAATTGGTTTAATTTACATTGCATGTTTGCTTGCAAAAATAACTTATTGATCCATTAATACTGTAAAAACACTTCTCATTGATCCGTATAAAATGTTCATTTGATTTTAAATGCGGACAGAGAATGAGCGTGCTCGGTGATAAGTAGATGAATATTTGTGTTTTGTATTTCATTTTCCTGAGTCAGAAGTGCTGGTATTTCACAAAGATATAAAGGCACGGAATGCAGCTTTTCTGAGCGAAGGTATAAGTCGCCAGGCTGAACAGCTATTCAGCTTCATGTTTGATGGTGTCAAACTCAGTCAAAATCATGACGTTTACATACGATCAAGCGCACCATTCAATACACTTACCTACCGTAAAACTCCATGCCAGTCCACTTGATAAGAGCAGTGAGCACTATCCCTTCTTCGCGCTGTCACACGCGCCCAAACATCAACCACCAAATGCCCCAACACCGGTGTGTCGTTTCGTCGCACAGCGCACAGACTGTCACAAACGCTGCACATGATTGGCGCAGAACTGCGCATGCGCGAACAGCCGAACAAGTATGGCTAAACTCGGGCTTTACTCCAGTTAGCCGAAGGACACAGCCAGCTTGATCAGCCCGCGCTCCGCCCAAGTTAAGCCTGTTTTGGATGCGCGGGCAGATGTCGGGCTGAGCTACTGCTATCCGCACGTGGGCATAGCTGCGGCATGCCCCAGCTCAGCCCTAGTAAAAAATGCATTGGTTTTGATCAAAGTCGGCAAACCCAAGCTAAGCCCAAGCTGCCCGACGCCTGCCACAGTTCAGCCCAAGCGAATTGCTGGCTGGGTTATAATGGGCAGGTCGCAAAATTGACCTGACCTTAGGTCATCGATATCAAAATTCTGAGATATACATTTTGTACATGCTATTGCTCTTAGCAATCGCTGAAAGTTTCAAAGCGATCGGTCACTCGGTGTAGCTATGACAGACATTGAAACTTTTTATGAGGTGAGGTCACTTCAAGTGACCTGGTGACCTGACCTTGAATGACCTGGGTCTGAAATTTTTACAACATGTGTAGAATTGATGTATGATAAGGTGTACCAAAAACGAAATATTCGCGAAAAACCACAAGGGGGGTGTTCAAACACCCCCCCCCCCCCCAGCAGGGCGCGGGTTAAGACGAGCCATTTTTAGTCAAGTTCACCCTCTACTTGTTTTGTAAATCACACTCTGTCGTTTGTTTCAGGAGGATTGTTTTACAACGAGGAGGGACGGCCGAACGAGCCATCTTTTCAGGAGGAAGTGTTTCGCCAAGCTGTCAAACGAATATCCTCCAAATACCGCCCATACACTTTCTCCCATCGAGTAGAGCGCCTTAGTGGCAGAGACAGTCTGCCTGCTTCCAGACAAGGTCAGTAAGAAGAACAACGGCCAAGTAGCACTTTCTTTAGCCAAGGCAACAGACATTTATGATAATGACTAGTTTATATGCATGGGCTCAGATGTTTATTGGTAGCGATGACCTGTAACTGTAGGTACAATGGTAACACGCACTTAAATACATATGCACTGGCATAATGTACGATTCTATGTCGAGCCAGCAAATTCTAAGACTTTACAACAGACTGTTCGTAAAAAAATTGAAAATGGCTTTTGCTGACCAAAACCAGTCGTATTATATCAGGACTGTCCTCTCACACCCTCCCAAACCCACTCTATTTTCCGTGCGTGTGTCCAGTTTGCGCCACGCTGGCGGAGGTGGGGATGGCGGCCATCTTCGGGCCGGGCCTGGAGCCGGCCTCGGGCCACATCCAGGCCATCTGTGACGCCAAAGCCATCCCGCACATTCAAACGCACCCGCGGGACGTCGGAGGGCGCCGCCAGTTCTCCATCAACCTGCACCCGCAGCCGGCTATGCTGCGGAAGGTGAGTCGTAACACGGACGTCCGAGATGGCTGCCGGGGGGTGCCGGTAGCGCAGGACTTTTGTAGTGCTGCCGCTGAGTGATCACATACGATGCTGCGTAAAAAGCACGGCTTGTACCTTATGTGTTGCGCTGTGATGCATTGGCCATGGTGGGCTGTTGATCGGATATTGAATGATTCAATAAGTGTTTAAAAGTTATAGCGCAGGCTACATGTTAACACGTAAGCTACGTCAGTTTATGGCTTCTGATGATCTTGTTTTCGAGTGATACCGTCCATTCGCTGCAGCAGTTTTGTCGCCGGATATACCTAATGCTGTGTCTACTTTTCAGGCGTTCGCCGAGATCCTGGCCAAGAACCACTGGGAGTTTTTCGCCGTGCTGTACGAGGACAACACGTCGCTGCTGCGGCTGCAGGAGCTGCTGCAGCTGGCCAGCTTCAGGCCCGAGCTCCGGATGGTGGTGCGGCAGCTGCCGGCCGACGAGCACTACCGCCACCTGCTGCGACAGCTGATGCACGACGAGGTGCGCCACGTGGTGCTCGACTGCGACATCAAGAGCGTGCCGCTGGTGCTCAAACAGGCGCAGCAGATCGGCATGATGACGGCCGAGTACAGCTTCTTCATCACCTCGCTGGTGAGCTGACCAGAGGTTCTAAGAGGGCACGCAGAATGGCGATCATGGTTACGAAGTTGATGATGATGTTGGTTATGTCGATGATGGCGACGACGACGGATAAATTGAACGCCGGGGTAGCCTCAGTTTTTGGTTTTTACTCAGAAGCATATGGTAAGTACTCAAAAGAAGTAGAAGTTACATATTTTGTGATCGGTCACGGATATGAATTGCTCCGAACTTGTGCGACGTTTCCAGGATTTGCACACGGTCAATCTGGTCGACTTCCAGTACAGCGGTGCCAACATCACCGGTCTGCGACTGATCAACCCGCGAGCACAGGATATCAGCGGCCTGCAGCCCCGCGGCCGACTGCTCAAGGTGTGTGCTCTCTTCTGACACACGACATTAGAGTCCTCACTGGTTCGTGGGGGAGTCGCATGCTTATAATCAACTGTGTGACTAATTTATGTGGTACACGGTTAGACTTCGGAGAAAAAATTAATACTTTCACATAAATATCCCATTTCTTCTCGTGCCTAATGATGACACCTAGACAGGCAAATGATTGTCAGTGATTTGCTTTTGTTTACAGACAGAGGAGGCACTCCTATATGATTCGGTGATGTTATTCGCTGAGGCATTTTACGACCTCATGAACCCTATGGAGGCTACTATTCCACCGTTAGACTGCAAGAAAGACAACATTTGGATGCACGGAGACTCTCTTATCAACTTCATGAGGCGGGTAAGCAGCTAATTGCTTATCGGAATAATTTTCTTCTTCTGAAACTGACTTGCCATATTCGTGTTTAAAATCGGAAAAATGTGAGCATTCGTCATCAATATACGTGCGACTCAACTGTAGCTGAGCAGTCGGTTCAATAATTCCAAATAAATCGCCTGTTATTTTCAGTTATTTTTTATTTTTTAGTTAAATTCTATTTCATTTTGATTAGGTGAAGCGATCTGGCCTTACGCGCCCATCACTTTCGTTGCCTATATAAATGCTTCAATGTCAGCACCATAATCACCTGACCACCACCACCGCGCCGCACCCTCAGGTGGAGAACAGGAACGGTCTGACGGGCCGGATCGAGTTCGACACGGAGGGCCAGCGCTCCCAGTTCAGCCTGGACCTCCTGGAGCTGTCGGACAGCGGCCTGACCGAGAGGGGCACCTGGACGCCCAGCGGACTCAACATCTCCAAACGGGTCGCTGCCGCCGCCAAGGCCGGCAACAGGACGCTGATCGTCACCACCATCCTGGTCAGTGGGAGTCTCCACTATCCAAGGCCCCATCTCGCCAGGTGCGGTAAAATTCGTTTGCGGTAAACTAAATTTACGGCATTTTAATCACCCTAAAGTTAGTTTGGTGAGGCCCTAGTAACTGGCCGTGAAGTCAACGCTCCCGTTCTAGAAAATGATGCCTCTCACTTATCATGTAGGTAATGTTGTGAATGTTGTGAACTCCGGTTTTATTCTCAGCTGTTTAATCACTGAATAATGAACACGAACACCGTAGTTTTTTGTTGCACTCAATTTTTGTTCTTTGTGGCATCCAACTCAGCGAGTGGTTCATACGTCGTGATGTTTGATTTAGACGCATGAAACATCACAATTAGAAAGTTCAAACTTTTTCAGAAAGCTCCGTACACCATGTACAAGGAGACATCCACGCAGCAGCAGGGCAACGACCGCTTCGAGGGCATCTGCGTCGACATCATCGACGAGCTGGCCAAGGAGCTCAACTTCAACTACTCGTTCCGGCTAAACCCTGACGATACTCCGGGCCGGGAGGACCCCGTCACCGGCAAATGGAACGGCATGATAGGCGAACTGCTCGACGGCGTGAGTCCATTGTCAGCTTGTAGGACATATAGGCAAAATTTCTAAATATGCGAATCATTCCTCACTATAACACGCTGTTTTTGTGGAGCCACTCAGTGACCATAAGTGGAAATTAAACGAAATTGAACCGCGTGGTATGTTATGTCCAACACAATCATTTATATTCCAATATTTGAGCCTGCCTTCTGCCGGTTACAGAAGGCTCAGCTGGCCATCACGGACCTGACCATCACAAAGGCTCGTCAGGAGGTGGTCGAATTCACAATGCAGTGGCTCAGTCTGGGTACGTCCATGAACGCTAACATAAACTTTGCAAAGTGTCTAAATGTGGTGTATAGTCAGTCAGGACAGTTATGCAAGGAAGTATCGATAGTCCCTAACGTGATTATGCATTACCACCTATGCTATACGAATATATAAATCTACAGGTTAAATTAATTTTATTTAGTTTATAACGTCTTTGAATTTATATTATATAAGCAAATTGTATAAAAACAATACATTTGAATCATTCTGCCTGTTATAACACTTGTTCGCCTCTGCTGGTCCGGCGACAGGTATCGGCCTGCTGTACACGAAGCCGGTGAAGCAGCCGCCGAACCTGTTTTCGTTCCTGTCGCCCCTGTCGCTGGAGGTGTGGATCTACATCGCGCTGGCCTACCTGGGCGTCTCCGTACTCATGTTCCTGCTGGCCAGGTGAGGACGTCGTCACCTGGAAGGCCATCGAGAACTTCGGTAATCGAGCGGCAATGATTCCTTGATTCAGAACATTTTCTTGCGGATTTTGCCAATGTAATTATGAATAGTTCATTGTGTGATCAGATCTGAGGATGCCTTAGCCATAAGCCCCACTGTGCCTTGGCGAATGGTATGCTTTATTAGCAAGAAGTGTGCTCGCTGTGCTCTGTTGCAAGTCTTGTGTATGCCAATCATGCGATGCAAGTTATTTCCCGGCACCCAAATTATTGCTTATGAGCCGATAACACAGGTAGATGCTAAATTCGATTTGGCAAATTAGTTCTTGAATATCGGCAATCGGCATGGCAACAAACAATACAACCTATAGAAAGCCTGTGTCTCTATGAATCGAATGTCGTTTACTGCTTCTATCAATTTTTCCTTAGCATAAGAGTGGGATGCCCGTTTAAACTAAGCTGGTTGCCTTGATCATATATAGGCCCCTTTTTGAATGTCACATGTGAACGACGTAAACGTTGAATGTCTTTAATCTAAACATATTCTGACGTCTTTTGTTGCTAACAGCTCATGCGTAACGAGATTTCTCATGTCTGGACATGATGATTGAGTATTGATGCATCCTAATGACAAGTGTACTGTATGCCTCTGGATGCCCTCATACACATGAACTACTAATTATACATATCTGGATGATGTAGCAATGTAGTGTACGCATGAGGTACCACGATGGTGTTCGGAAGAAAATGAAGCCATTCCCAGGCATGCGGCTGTGTGTGTGTTGACAAGGTCAGGCTGCCCTTCTGATTTCAGGTTCACGCCATTCGAGTGGGACCATCCGCACCCATGTCACCTGAACCAGGACATGCTGGAAAACCAGTTTAACTTTCTTAACGCCCTTTGGTTCTGTATTGGATCTCTGGTGCAGCAGGGCTGCGACTTTCTTCCCAAGTAAGGGCCCTGCCAGCCTGGTGCCTAGTCCTGCCCCGCCTCTCTTTTGTTTTGGCCCACCGGCTGCTCTCCGCTGTACAGAGGCCCCCGCGCTGCGCGAACGCTGCCGTTTTGGTCACCGCGGGCGCGGCGCTGACAGTGGCCACCGGCGCGCTGCCGCTATTTCAGGTTTAGCCCTTACGAGTGGGTCAACCCTCACCCCTGTAACGACGAGCCAGAGGAACTGGAGAACGAGGTCAACATCCGAAATGGCTGCTGGTTTACCATAGGTTCTCTGATGCAGCAGGGTTCCGATATAGCCCCGAAGTAAGGCCGCCACGCCACGCGCACCCGCAGCTCCACCGGCGTTCTTGTTTAGTTGAATTAGTTTTACTAACCCCTCAGCAGCGCTAACTGCACCGCTCGGACGTCCGGTTCACGTATCCGTAGTCCTCATAGATCTTCTCTATGTATGTGTTTTTGTGAGCAAGTAAGTTGTGACTGATCTGGTGCCGAGACTTGTGGCGCATCTCTCATTGTTTCTAACGTCTCGGCATCTGTTGCCTTGTTACAGGTGGCCCGCGGTAATCTAGAAGTCTGCTTAACATTATTACCGGTGGTATTTAATATGCTGTGATACACATTATAATTGCAGCATGCAACATGCCAGTCACATTCCAGTAGCAGCATAACGGTAACGAAATAGAGAACACGCGTATTTTGGCAAAACACGTACCTAGTTTTAGGCAATTTTAGAGAACACGTTGCATATGGCACGACACGATAATCAAAGGTTCGCACTGATAAAATGCAATACAGCATGCATATTGCACATGCACAACACGAAAAATGGTTTGCAGTATACCTATTTTGCGCAATTAACCGGTTCACATTTGTAGCAAACGTTACCTATCTGTATCGTTATTTCTGGAAAGAAAGCATTCGGCAAAAAATCACGTTTGAGGAGCTGTTTTCTTACATAATTACAAATAATAACCTTAATTAAGTATTTATCTTGTACATAGAACCTTTTTATTGTGGGTAGAATACCTATACCTACTTATGACAAGTGTGTAAAGGTGACATAAACTGATCTACGTGGCACTTACTGAGCTCGTCATAGCATAAATCATGTTCAGAATGTCCGTCTCATCAAAGTAGGGAGATGTAGGTAGGGAGATACAGGGGCATCAACATCTTCATGCTGACTTATAACTATCTGCAAATCTATGGATTTCATGAAACATGAACACGGGCGTGACACAGGAAATGTGTAACGGAACCATACATCTACTGTAACGTAATCCTATTGTGTTCGGTACATTGTGTGCATGATGTTTCCAGTGAAGTCAAGCAAATGTGCATCTAACTTTCTAATCAACCTTATCGATACCTTATTTGTCAAATTTCATTATGATTTACAAATGCGTAGTTTTGGAAACGAGCTGTTGTCTAACTGACGTAATTGTCATGTTCACTACTTGTAATGACATCAAATAGTTTCAGAAAGCGGAAAATTTTCGAAGAATCTTATATAGAAAGTTTTACACAAAAACGATTTACTATCCAAACATGTGAAGTTTTTGCTTAGAACTGTCAGAATGTGTACACAGCGCTGCTAAATAAATAGACTGCACGCATATGATAGTGCTTTATGAACCAATCATGTCGGCGGCAACCTAAGTTTTTGTCTTGAAAATACGACCTGCAAAAAAAAATGAAACCCTTGTTCCTCATGCTGACGACAATTACTATAAACATTAGTAAAATATCACGCAATGCTATCGATTTATTCATGCATAAAAATAGAGTAACTAAGTGCAATCAATCATTGTGATTGATAATTAATGTGAAATCTTCTGCAAGTAAAATCATATGCAGTTGCGACAAAAACAGTCGACTTCTTGTGCTCATAATACATTCAATCCTTGTACGTGCCACACTAACAGTTTACGATTATTACAGGGCCGTCTCCACGAGAATGGTAGCTGGAAGCTGGTGGTTTTTCACACTCATTATGGTAAGGATCAAAGAGGATTTTATGTAAAATATTAATGTCAATTTTAAAACTTTCCGAACAGTTCGTGCTTGTACTATGAAACTACCACGAGATGCTTTAGTTACATTTTCTTTTTGGAAGAATTCTCACTACAGTGTGTTCTAAACGTTTTTTTTTTTTTTGCTTTCAAGTTTTGAGGTCAGGAATAAGCTAGCTGCTTGCTGGCTTCAGTGATCTGGCTGAAATTCTGACAAAACCCCCCGGACAGGTGTCCTCGTACACTGCCAACCTGGCAGCGTTCCTGACGGTGGAGACGCTCGTCTCGCCCATCTCCAGCGCCGAGGACCTGGCGCGACAATCGGAAATCAAATACGGAGTCCAAGAGGGAGGCTCCACAGCATCATTCTTCAAGTAAGATGTACATACAAAACGCACCAAAAGGATATGGACACACACTCTCCTATCTCCCAGCATTTACATAATTATTTGATAAGGTACATATTCTTATCAAAACCAAGCCACATATAAAGCTGCAGAAGTTTCGGTTTAGTGATTCGCACGATGCACCAGGCACATGGCTGAAGTAGTTAACTAAGTTAGATGACGCATGAGTTTCACTTCTTCGGAATCGGCAAACTATTTCCTTTTAGGCAGAGCCGCACGTATCCCTTCGACAAGATGTGGAAGGTCATGGAGGATGCCGAGCCGTCCGTGTTTGAGAAGACGAAGGCCGGCATCGACCGCGTCTCGGAGGAGGCCGGCAAGTACGCCTACTTTATGGAGTCGTCCACCATCGAGTACAACATCGAGCGACGCTGCGACCTCACCATGGTACGTCCAATTCGCGGCATGGGGCTGCTCTGAAGGGCATTTATGGACATCGGTCTATTATGTTTGTTAAGTAACTGCATTGGAAGCGTTATTAAACAGTCTTGAAAGATGGGCAATTTGTTTGAACGCTGTTCCTTTGTTTGCGTACTTTTGCATCCGGTTCCATATTTTTGCATCTGGTTAGCATATTTTGCATATGATTTCAATACCTGAAGAAATACTGAATGATAACGTTTACGGAAATGCCCTTGACATATCTCTCATTGCCACATACACTGCTCGTGCACCAGTGGCTGTTTTTAAATGCTGCACCCCTTTTCAAGGTGGGCGGTCTTCTAGACAACAAGGGTTACGGAATCGCCGTGGGAAAGACCTCTCCAGTATCGGCTTCTGAGCTCACCGAGGTCATTCTGAAAATGCAGGAGGACGGCAGGCTGCAGCGACTAAAGACGATGTGGTGGAAAAACAAAAAGGACGGTGGAAAGTGTGATGTAAGTCGCGTTGACACATTTGAAATCAATTTATTCTCCTTCTTCATACATTTGCGTCTCGTTCCTGTTCTAGATTAGATATTTTATTTTTTGTTCTACGTCATTGCTTACTTTTTTAGCAAACAATCTCCTATACCGTGTCATATCTGATTTCCTGACATCGCTGACTTCCTACCCAAATCTGAGCAAACCGTCCTCCTTCCCCATGTCTTTGTTGACTGACCTCCAATTTGCCTGTGCCTCAACTGACTGACCCCCGTCCACTATCTAAACAGATTCTGCTCCCACTTCATGTCCCACTTCTGGCTGACCCTTGTTCCGTAATGTGAGCGCAGGAGCAGGTGGCCAAGGGCAATGTGGCCGCGCTGACACTGAAGAACGTGGGTGGCGTCTTCGTCTGTTTGATGTGCGGCATGGCGCTGGCCGTCATTCAGTCCTGTCTGGAGTTCATCTGGGCCGTGAGGCAGCAGGCCGCCGAGGAGAACGTAAGATACACCCCTCTCTTACCAACTCGATTTTCTCATAAGCCACTGCATTGCTAGTGTTATGTTCATGCTGAAATTATATATTTGGATTGGAATCCGTTCGAACTTAAGTGCATTCTTTCGACTCTTCTCTCTCAATGTTGTGCGTCATACCCATCTGACCCCCTTCCGCTCGGCAGGTGCCGTTTGCTAGTGAGGTGATGAAGGACCTCTCGTTTGTGTTCCGGTTCCGGGGCAACACCAAGCCAGTCCGCCGGCCGATAACCAGCGACGAGGACGAGGCTACAATTCCCTTCAGCACCAACAGCTCCGGACAGTACGCGGCCAGTGGCTACGGCTACAACAACCGCACGTGAACGGATGCCATTTACTGGAGCGATCACCTTGTATGAGAGTAGAGTGATTTGCTCAGGTCCAAGCCCAGGTCTACCCTGGTCTGGTCTGCCCGTCTGGTTATATGGCCTTGGGTCTGCCAGCCTTTGGTCTGCCGATTGCTGGCAGTGCCGACTTCGTTGGCGCCGCTTGGCGTACCGAAGTTGTCCAGAGATTAACGTCGAACGTTGACGTTAGGGGCACCATGTCGTTGAATGGTGCCGCCGGAGTTCGCTGTAGCCGTCTTGTTCATTTTGTTTGTCCCTCCAGCGATCTAGAAAAAGTAACAACGGGAGGCCATCTCAGTGCAATTATTTGCGTGAATGTGAACTGTGGTAGGGTAGGGATGAGGGAGTACAGTTTAACAATGTTTGAAGTTACTGGTGACAATTAAAGACAAGATATTATTTAAGCGAACTGCCTCCGACCCCGCTTACAGTGCATGTGCCTTACCTATAGGCTACCTCGTATACACTTCACTGATATCTGAAACTTATCATCTTAATAGTAACTAATATGATGTAAGGTTCCAGCTTAGGTCACCGAGGTGCCCACTGCTCTGGATGGTAGACAGAAAGAATAATAAAATATTGCTTGCCTTCCTGAAGGGGAGAGATCTGTTTATGCAACAGTTATGTGAGAGTTTTGATAGATCCCAGTAGTGTCGGGCAGCTGATTCAAGTAGGCAGCGAAAGATAATGATATGATTATGTAAAGAAATGATACCTATGCTAGCACGTAGAACAATGTGAGGCATCAACCAGCCTTCCTTCTCTTGTAAAATCGTTACCCTCACTCAGCTAACATCATATGAATAGTGGGCAGTGGCCTCGAGCACTGGCCACTCGCGTCCACACACAGAAAAATATTAACACCGTTAGCGGTGTAATTGCACAGTACATATCTGAGCACTTGTGGAAAGTTAATTTAGTCCCTTCCCCGCTTAAATTACTCGCGCTTCCAAATGAACACCAGGAAGAAGGTAATAGAACACTGTTAGGAGGGTTGGGTGTTTTGCTACGTGTAGTAAAACACCCAACCCTCCTAACAGTGTTCTATTACCTTCTTCCTGGTGTTCATTTGGAAGCGCGAGTAATTTAACCCTATTAGTGGCAGGCTCCTGGCTACCCCACATTAGTGGCAGGGGGGGCTGTTTACGACCCCCCCCTTGATATCTCGAGAACTAACCGGCCGATTTTCAAAATTCAAACGGCATTCGATTTGGCTCAACGAGATCTACATTTCTAAAAAAAAAATAAAATTAAAAAATGTCAATAGGGGGGGTAGAGGGGGGTAAAAACGGGCAAATTGCAGATACATTTTAGACTGTTTATCACGGCCAGGTTTCTGAACCAATCTTAACGCAACTTTTGCCGATCGATAGAGAATGAACCAAGAATTCACATGGATCCTAAAAATATGCATTTTCAAAAATCATAGGTGGATACAGATCATTGAGATTGGGGGTACACAAAAAGTATAGTAAATAAGGTTTTTGTTGGTACTGTTTCTAAGAAGGTTGGCAATGGTCTTGTTATGTTACAATTTTCTTATGAGAGAACGACTAAAATTGTATTGGTCATGCATAGGCGGTGTCAGGGCACCTATGTTGGGAGGTAAAAATAACCCCCCTTTTTGGACGCCTGGATCCGCCTATTATAGCAAAAACGTGTCAAAAGAGGATGCACAATAACTTTGTATATGTTATCACATGATACCTTTCATTCACTGTTCGTAAAACTGGTGCAGCATCGTGATCTTCGCCCAAATGACTCGCTTCACGAATAGGACCCCCCAATTCCCAGTGCTCTGGAGCCGCCCCTGGTAAAGTTATGAACTTGAAATTTTGAGGGAATGTGCCCAATTTAGTTTTAGGAAAAGTCAGAAAATTTCAGCATCGTAGCTTTAGCGGTTTCGGAGATATTCCCGAAAAACCTGAGGGGTGGATAAAAACAACCCCCCCCCCCCTGCCACTAATAGGGTTAAGCGGGGAAGGGACTAAATTAACTTTCCTCAAGTGCTCAGATATGTACTGTGCAATTACACCGCTAACGGTGTCAATATTTTTCTGTGTGCAACCTGCCTCCCAATCTGCCTTAGGACATTCAGTGAGGTTTGCATGTCTTGTTTTCATGACAGTACGAGAGCTGATATGTCAAAGTCGTGTAGGTACTACAGACTTCCAGCTTGTGTAGATAGAGACCTTCAGCTATTTAGTATATGTCAGCTTAAAAATTGGAACTCGCATGCATGCGAGTTCCGTTTCGACGCGTTTCGACGCGCACCCTGTGTGTGTGTGTGTGTGTGTTCGCTCAAATTTAAAGTCATGCCTGAATGCATGGCAGACGGTTGTGAGCATAAGGGTTATATATTGATATGTGATTGTGTATTACGATCAAATGTTACATCAGCAATATACATTGCTAGTAGAATATCTCTACTGCATTTTAAAACCAGTCCATAGCAGATCAGGACTAACCAGTAGATCTACAAAATGACTTCAAAAGTAAACGGATACGGCACCGAACTTACTTCTCTACAACAATTAGCTTCAGGTCTATAGCAATCAAAACTTTGCATCAAACACTTATCATAGCTTTTGATGACCCAGCAAACATACCTACACAAACAGCTGACAGGGCACCAAAGCGTCGACTTCAGCAAAATCTGCGAGTTTGGCCCTTTGTTTCTGTTCTTGTACACTGTACAGCCTTGTTAAAGTCCCATGATTCAATTATGTATACAATACAATAAGTTAACATATAGTTTAAAACCATCCGTAAAGGTTTGAATGTTTGTCGACGACTTCTGGCCTAAGTTCAACTATAATAGTTCGAAGCACAGATAGGGTGAATATTGGTCGAAACACTATACGACAGTTCTCGCTGTCAGCTGGGGGAGTCGAAATGCTGCACCACTCTATTTCTCACCTCCCCGAAAATCGGCGAACGCTTTATTTCTACGGGTGAACACTCCAGTCCTTTTTTTCTTGGGCTATACTTAAGCTCGTGTCTACATGTCCTTACGGGAAGGAATAAAGCTATAATCGGAACGGCGTACTATTATAGAGGTCGGTGGGTCTGAAGCTCGTGATGGGAGAGTCTCACGCTGCTATGATCTCGCTCGCGAGCGGTTGGTGCTCAGGCAGTCTCTGTTTTCAAAGCAAACAGTGGTGGCAGCGTCGAGCGGCAGTGGTGCCAAAGGTGCGTCAGGAGCCGTCGCCGTCAGCCCCCGGCCAACCAGGGGCCGAAAGGCGAGCACGTGACGCGCGCCACACTCTGCGAACGGGGATCACGTGACGCCGGCGGCCCGTCGGCCACAGACGAGGGTAAGCCCACAGCGGTACCGACAGGGTATATTGGTAACGACGTGCCTACCGCTACTTACAACAGCGGTGTGCGGGCTGTGAGTCACAAACAGTCGCTCAGGATGATGGGCGTGGTTTGCTCTCCCTCAAATCGATGCAACATGTCATATTGTCATTTTATCAATAACAAGTAGGTAGTAGTAGATAACAAAGTAGTATTTAACCATGTATTTCATAGTTATTGTGTTAGAACTACTCCGAGATCACATCTGACGCCACATGTAAAGCATTGAGATCCGTATCATGCATACAACTGAGATCTGATAATGCAAACATTATACAGAGCCATTGTGCTAACAATACGGTTATCATCGGAAAACAGACACCATTTTTGGGTTTCACCTGATCTGATCGTCAAACGATTCAGTTGGTTGCCAATTCATGGTACTTGAGTTTAACCCCATTTCGATGTAATGCATCGATGATGACGTGCTTACAGACATTCTAAATGACACTTCTCGCGTAAATATTTTGAAAAACGTTGGTAGTATATGGATGTTCGATGAAGTTCAATTCATATAAACTGAAAGCGGTAAGCACACATCTGAACATCTACGTTGCATAACACCTTAACCCGCGCCCTGGTGGGGTCTGTTTATAACGCGACCTGGTGGGGGGGGGGCTATTTTTTGCCCCCCTCGTATCTCCGAAACTACTGGACGGATCCACAAAATTCAAACGGCGTTCGAAAGGCCTGTCAAATTTGTCGAAGGAAACCAAATTTCATTGACCTCGGGGTCACCGATGACGTCACAGGTCAGGTCAAAGATGAAATGTTTCACCGTTCACGGGTCTGCTAAGGAATGCGCTATAACACCGAGGAAAACGCATTTTGTCGAGAATCAGCGATAGGGCGTCAGTTGCCTAGTAGATATGTTGCTATTAGAGGTCACTGACAATACCAGGTCACGTCACAGGTCAGGTCACCAAGGGTCACAGCTCAGGTCACATGAGCCCAACTTTACTAAGGTTGTGTGATGCATGTTTTATGGCCAATTTTTCATTTCCAACTCAATGGTGTTGGTTATAAGACTATCAGGTACGGCTTAGGTCACTTTCTGGTGAAGTTTAGGTCAAGGTCAGGTCAAGGTCAGGCCAAAAAAGGTCAAATTTTAAAGTTGATAGTTTTGCATAAAATGGGTATTGATTCGATGCAGCTCGTCACGGAGAGTCTAATGGTGGTCTTTGTTTTGCGCTACGGGGTCTAGAATTGCTAAAAATTGAGTTTGAAAATTTGACGTCATCAATTTTGAACAGTTTTTTCACTATAACTTCGCCAAAAAAAGAGGTATCAATCTCAAATTTGGTATGTGGATGGAAGGCGGTAAGGACTATCACATATATTCCGGTTTTTGCGAAATTCAAAAAACTTTTTGGATTTTTCGATCATTATATCCAAAAAAATTATTTTTTGATTTTTGGGGGTCAAAAGCCAAAAATTTCAAAAATTCGAGATAGCAGTTTTGTAGCCCTGTCAATTCTACAGCTTTTATGTCCTTATCATTTTTCTGTATTTGCAAAGCTATAGGCCTGACAGCTCTTCCCGCGAAACCCTTTTTTGGGTCGAAAACGGCAGAACATGACGTCACTCTGACGTCATTTCCGGCCAACCTATCATAGCCTTTGGAAAAATTTTTGGTCACCATATGTAAAATTGATGTCCGGGAAGGTACTGAAAGTTTGGTGACGATCGGCGCAGCGGTTCTGGAGATATATCGAAAAGTCTGGAGGGGGGGCAAAAAATAGCCCCCCCCCACCAGGGCGCGGGTTAAAGCCAGTATCTTACATCGTGAACATGGCATGTGCTCACACCAATTATCCACCACGCTATAACATATGTGGCATATTCATAATGATTGTGTATATTTTCACCCAATTCAAGCACTCCTCACTCCTCAGGCCAGTGACAGTGATGTCTATCTACATATTCCTGCATAGCAGAAGTAGTTGAAGTTGAATCTAATAGGGTAAAATGAGTTTGGGAACGATGGAATGCAGCTGTTCTTACATATTGTAGGTACACAAACGGTTGAGTTACATGTATTAATGCATAGTGAAAAGTCATTTTACCGCTTGGCCAACAACCTTTCCGAATGTAAGAGCACACTCGATTTGTGCTGCCATGATGATGTTCCCACATTCAGTTGCCTGCTTTAAAAGGAAACCTGGCACAGCTTCGGATACCATGTTTCAAGGAAGCACTTGATATGGAGCAATGAAATGTTTATCAATCGATCCCAGCTGCAGTCAATGAATAACCTATGGTAGATAAACATGGTATGGTACCTTCTACTGCCGCTTAGCTCCACCTATGGGCGGCAGTGGAGCTAGGACAGGGAGATGCCAGACTGTTAACCAGACTGGGTGCTAAAGTCGTTCATCTATAGCGTATCTGCCCCACCCGGACGGCTGCATGCTGGCGAGGGCATCAGAGTGGCTTCCATTCCATGATTTTAGGGTAACGGGCATACGGTCAACGCTGATAAACAAAAACAATCACTGGCGGGGTACCTTGCCCACGTCAGTGTTGCACACTCTACCTATTTTACCCACATGTCCCCAACTGAGCCGATCATCTCGTACTCGTCACTTCTTGTGACGAGATTGCCATCAATCCTGCATCACTCTGGATTAAAAAAGTTGTTTTATTTCGAATTAGTGAATTACAACGTAACCGTTTTCTAACACATGTAAATGAAGACTTGAATTACCTCAGCGTAAGGCGAATATCTACTTGTTTGTTTGGGATTTTTAGGGTAGCTAAATCAAAGGCGGAGCCATTGTGCGATCTATACGGCGAACGTCTGCGTCACCCAGTTGTCGACGGGGCTCTTTCAAGCTGTTTGGCGTCGGCCTTTTCATTTCCGGCTTCAGCTACACTGCCAAACTCATGGAGAGCTGCAAACCTTTAACTTCCATCTACCTACACATCTTTAACACGCGCACCGACGGGGGGGGGCGGATATCCCCCTGAGGTTTTCCGCGAATAGCGGGAAAACCGCGGCGCTATGCGCCGCGAAATTTGGTACAACTATTTTCTCGTCAATTTTACACATGGTGTGCAAGTTTGGACCTCCTAACTTTTAAGGTCAGGTCGCCAGGTCACTTTGAATGACCCAACCTCAAGTCACTTTTTTGCAAATTTGCCACCGTGCCAGAGCTACAGTAGATGTCCGAGGCCTTTGAAAGTCGCAGGATGTTATTAGGTCATTAGTAGCTACAATTTTTATATCTCGGAAGTTTGATATCGGTGACCTAAGGTCAGTTCAATTTCTCGACCTCCCCATTATAAGCCAATGGGGGAAAAATCAACTCCCTGTTTTTACCACTAAAACGGGTCGGAATGACTTCATATCCGATCAACCTTCACTACCTTGAGGTCTGTTTTGCTGTTGGGCAGCTGTAAGGTCATGTGACGTCACCAAAGGTCACCAGCGGTTTTTTGGCAATAACTCCGTACAGGAACAGGATACAGCCGCTCGGATGGTCTCATTGTGTTCAGCTCGTCAAGACGCATCGAATGATATACATGATGACCTCGAGGTCACGTGACCTGAGGTCAACCTTTGACCTTGATCTTTCGAGGTCAACATATATATCATTCGATGCAGATTGACGAGAGGATCACGATGATGCCCTTAGTTCGTTCGTATCTTGACTAATTCGAAAGTTATTCGAGAAAAACTTCCCATATCTAGCGCCGCCATTTTGACTTTTTTGACCCCTGTGACGTCATCTTTGACCTGACCTGAAAATGACCTTCGTAAAAATTGTAGACCTTGTCCGTGCGTATCCGTTGCCATATGTGTATGAACATGGGGGGACGGGGGGCCGGTGCCCCCCCCCCACTTTTCATAGTGGGGGGCCAGTAATGTTAACTGCCCCCCCCCCCCCACTTTTTGCCGAACTTTTTAATGTATTTGTAGGTATCACCCCGAAGAACAAACTTGACGGTTCTTTGGCCTGCCCTTCCATGAAGATTTCCATTTGTGCTTCATCGTTATTGAGTGCAATTTTCCTCCACCCAATGAAAGGTAGCTTTGTCAGAAGCAATAAGTGGCAGCTTAGGGACAGCGCGCGCTGCAAAGAGAGACAATACTGGCGCAGCAGAATGCGTTAACGGCGTAAACTAACAATTTATGTTAGGCGGCCTTGCATTAGTTGATCGGTTACTGGCATAGGCGTAGGAACAGGGGGCAGGGGGTAATGGTCCCTCACTTTCGAATGGGGGCCAGCAATGCTAACTGCCCCCCCCCCCCCCCACACACACACCTTTTGCTGACTTTTCACTTCTCACATTTCACGCTCGCTCGTAATAAAAAATGTTTTTGGATGCTTCTGAAATTTGCATGGGTGCCAACCAGTGGCGGATCCAAGGTGGGGTCACATGGGTCATGCCCCTTGGTGCCCGGGGGCACCACAGGCCTACCAGGGGCACCACCGACCTATCAAGGGCACCACAGACCTGACAGGGGCACCACCGGCCTGTCAGGAGCACCATCGGCCTAGCAAGAGCACCACTGGTCTGCCAGGGGCACCACAGACCTGTCAGGGGCACCACAGGTCTTCCAGGGGCACCAAAGGCCCTTCCAGGGGCACCACCGGCCTCGCAGGGACACCTTGGGCCTGTCAAGGCACCACGGACCTGTCAGGGGCACCTCAAGCTTGTCAGGGCCCAGGGGCACCACAGTCCTTTCAGGAGCACCACAAGCCTGTCAGGGGCACCAGAAGCCTAGAAGGGGCACCACAGGTCTGCCAGGGACACCACAGACCTTCCAGGGGCACCACAGGCTTGCCAGGGGCACCCACTGGCCTCGCAGGGGCACCTTGGAACTGTCAGGGGCATCACGTGCCTGTCGGGGACACTTCAGGCTTGTCAGGAGCACCACAGTCCTGTCAGGGCCCAGGGGCACCACGGCCTCGCAGGGGCACCACCGGCCTCGCAGAGGCACCATGGGCCTGTCGCTGGCACTTCAGGCTCGTGTAAGGAGCACCACAGTCCTTCCAGGGGCACCACAAACCTGCTAGGGGCACCTGCGGCCTAGCAGGGGCACCACAGGCCTGCCAGGGCAAAAACAAATAAATAAAAAATGAAAAAAGGGCACAACCAAAATTAAGTGGCCGAAATCAGTTGAGGTTTTAATTTTGGGTATAGGTAGGGACACTACTTCGATTCATGACCCTCCCCTTGGAGTTGTCCTGGGTCCGCTCCTGGTGCCAACGCGGCTACGGAGGCCAGGGGGACGCGTCCATGAGATTTTATTTCTGGACGGGAGTCTCCCCGAGATTTTGGTCGACTTTTTTCTTGTCACGTTTTTTTTTTAAACCAATTTGAGCATGCTTGCGAAAATAAAGTGGCCGAAATCCGAGGAGAAAATGGATTTTGGGGGTAGGTGAGGTTTTGTGCCTCTGGGAGCCTGCCCCCCCCCCCCCCACTTTCGAAAATGTTCCTACACCTATGTCCGTTGCCGTTTACCGCTTGTCGCTATCTTGCTTCGTTCTCGAGATCTCAGGGGGCGGTCATCCGCCCCCCCCCCCCGTCGGTACGAAGTTGGCGCAGACCCCCGTCGGTGCGCGTGTTAATGTCAGGCTCAGATAACATGCCATCCATAGTTCAAATGAATGAGGCCCAAAATCGGCAGGAGGCTTGGCTGGAGACTGGAGAGGATATCTGATTTTTCAGGACATCTCGCATGTGTTTGGAGGGAAACAGCATTCTGACAGGGTAACGAAAAAACGTTCATTCATGAAATATCGATGCCCCTCAGATCTTGCTGATACAGGTCATAAATATTTACTGCTGGGTAAAAAAAAAAAAAACAGAAATTGTGACGTGCTCGGCCGTCGTTACTCGACTGATGACATCACATGAGGGTACAGTCCGCTGACGCCACATCAGCGGTGCCGGCGGCGGTCTCGCTCGGGTCAGAAGCCGTCCGGCGGTGAGTCGGAGCCCAGGTAGCCGGCGGGCGGCCGCTCTGCCGGGCTGCGCAGCCCGAACGGCGGCCCGTGCAGCGTGCAGGTCAGGTCGGGCACGGCGGCGGCGGTGGTGGCCGCCCCCGCCGGCCCGCGTCAGGCGATCGCCGGCGGCGGCGGCGGCGACCAGCCCGTCAGCATCTCAGAGGGCAGCGCCGCCGGCCGGCGCGCCGGCTTCGAGGTGCTCTGACAGCGCAGCGCGAACCGCACCTCGCGCGCCATCTCGCCAAACAGCGACACCTGCCGGCCGGCGGCGGAACCAGTGGTTGGGGACCGGCCGGCTCTGGCACCACCGGGGTGGGCTCGGACTAGTGATGTCAATTACGGAAAATCTTGAAACCGATACCAAACCAAATACCAACAATAACCATGGAATAATACCGAAACCGAGCCAACTTGGTAAACTTAGCAAAAATACCAACTTTTTACCAAATTCACAGCCTCTTTTACGTAAGGGACGATTCACAATACCAACAAAACACCATATACATTAGCCTTGAAATACCAAATACCAAGTTGGTATCGGTTTGGTATCGGTATACCAAAAGTTGGTATTTGATTGACATCTCTAGCTCGGACACCGCGGCGCACCAGTCGGTGGCTGAACGAAAATAACATCTCCCTCTCCGTCATATTTTTATCCCTCGGCCATGAAATGGTCCCAATAAATAAAAATGACATAAACCAACTAAGATGTATATTGTATAGTTTCGACCAGGACCCAGGCTCTCCATGGCACGTTTCGTTTACGCATTGCCGTACTCACATGGTCTTCGTGCGCCAGCTTGCGCGACTTCCAGACGAACTCGCAGATGGCGATCATGCAGGCGGCGGCCATGCCGCAGAGCAGCACGACGAACACGCCTCCGACGTGGTCGAGGCCGAGCTCGTTGGCAGAGTTGGTGCCCGCCTTGGTGTCTTTCTGCTGCGACCGAACGGCGCGGCGTCAGAGGCCGCGGGCAGAGAACACAACCGATCGAGACGACGGGGAGGGGATGGGAGGACGGTGCAATGGAAAACTCCCATGATTCCCAGAATGAAATAATGGGAGGGATAGGTAGTTCATAAGTTCAATCATTGCTCAGTATCCTTTCCTACAGTTGCTTGTTGCATGATACCTGTGACATCCAGGCATATCGTGTCACACTACTCAGTTCGTATTTGCCAGCCAGAAAAAAAACATCGTCACCGATCGCAAGTTTTAATTAAAAAAAAAACATACTGTTGGATTCGATGTGACCTTTCGGTCCTGAAATTTATTGTAATATCATGTCTAAAAAAATCGCAGATGTATAGATCGACAACTGTGACTGCCAAACTGGTGTTTATCGATAGTCAGCGGAACGTTGAAAAAGGCAGTTATCTAATAACGCCTTGATATTCGCCCTTTAACTGCGTTGTTTTGTTACCTACCATCGAAAAAAATTGTAAATATAAGAAAATCTCAGCAAAGCAACCGTATCCTTATCCTCGATTAGTGCTATGTGTCTTTGCGATATCGTCTCCGCAATTGGATCCTCGTTCTCAGCAACCTCAATAGCTCATTGGCCGAGATAACAAAATTGCCTGTCATATCGATCCTAGCTGGGGAGGAGCAGTAGCGTTACCAAAGCTAGTGGATATCTTTACGGTCTGCTGAGTACAGTCCAGATGATTCGTTACAAACGTATCACCGGCATTTCTCACGAGAAGATCCTTATGGAGACAAGCAGCTTCAAAAGCGACTAAGGTAATAAACGGCCCACATATATCACCCAAAACCAGGGCACAAAACCAAAATATCTGGCTTGCTGAAAACAGCCGCTGGCAAGCGTCAGGACAGTAAATTGCTGAATATGATTGACAATAGTTTCTCTTGCGAACTGCATCTGCCGCGGCCATAGCTCACCTTACATTTGCCGCCTCCCTTTTCCTTCCACCACCTCGTCTTCAGAAGGTGTAAGGTGCCGTTCTCCTGCAGTATCAGTATCGCCGTGCTGATTGTTGATGTGTACGGCGAACCTAGAAAACAGGAACGCAGAGGCTGGTCAATTTAATGAAACGACATCGATCAGCGTAATTGCTGCATAAAAAATGAATCATTTTAAACGTATCACAAACAACACATTATATCTCCTTGTCATGCGATATCTTTCTTCCCTCTCAGATTCACTGGCATCGCTTGAACTCAATCCGCCACCATGAGCGCTCACCGTAGGGCGGGGGCGCTCACCGGACTGCTCACCGGGTCGCTCACCGGCCGACAGGGACGATCACGGAGCGGCAGGGACGCTCACCGGAAGACCATGGGTACTCACCGGGCGACCATAAGTTACTCACCGGGCGGCAGGGACGCTCATCTGCCGACAGAGGTGCTCACCGAGACCATGGGTGCTCACCGGGAGACCACAGTTACTCACCGGGAGACCATGATTACTCACCGGGCGGCAGGGCGATGCCGTAGCTCTTGGTGTCCAGCAGGCCGCCGACCTGTTGTAGGTCGCAGTTCCTCTCCACCACGTACTCGAGCTGAGGCGACTCCATCAGGTAGGCGTAGCGCTCGTTCTTGACCCGTTCCACGCCCTCGGCGCCGCTGTTGACGAATACTGACGGCCGGGCCGACTGCATGAACGACCACATGCGCTGGTACGAGGCGATCTTTGAGTCCCTGGAGATGTAGTTCAGTGTGGTCAGTGGAGTAGGAAGTGCGAGGCGATACCGGATTGTGCAATGTGCAGTCTGAAAATGACACGGGCGCTGGATGACAGTCGTGAACCGCAAGCGGCAGCACCGATATAAATCGCGGAAGCTTTTCTTTGAAGCACAAGATGGTCACATTGTAATCCTTCGATGAATATGTCAAATCACACATTTGGAAGCAGTGCTATGGGTGTTTTTGCCGTACATTTATTTTTATGTAAAATAAAATGAGTTTTTTCACTAAATGGATTTCATCAATAACATACCGGAAGAAGTTTTTCGTGGAACCAGTGGCTAGAGCCCCATACTTGATATCAGTCTGTTTGGCCAAGTCTTCAGCGCTTTCAATAGGAGAGACCATTCTCTCAACCGTCAGAAACGCAGCCAGGTTAGCAGTGTACGATGATATCTGTGAAAAATTATTGTGTTCAGTTTTTTTTTACCGGTCGACAAAGTCGGCGATCGACATACGCTACACACGAGTCTATCATAAATGTATAACATGCAGTCTATGCCGTGATTATACGACACCAGTCGCATTTAAAATAAATAATTGCATGCAAAGATTCCTGCATTTCAATTATTACGGTTCTGTTCGGATCATACATATTTACAGTCTCTCTTTAAAGTTCCGCGCGACAGTACGGCGGTGCCATCAAACCCGACCGAGAGAGTGCTGCTAAGTTTGAGGTCACCGAACCACTTGATCTGAAGGGTGGAGGAGGCCGTCGGGGAGAAAGGGAAGAGTGAGAGACTTGAACCGATTTCAGCCGTTGGCTCACCGATAGTTACTTCCCTCTGCATCGATGCTTTCAAGTTTCAAGAGAGACTGTACGGCACGCATATTTACCCAGCGTATGTAGGTAATATATTTCTCACCATGATTAGCGTGAAGAACCACCACATACCAGCCACCATACGGGTAGATATCGCTCTGTAAGCAGGAAGTGGAGCATCTCGTTATCTTTTTTCGGATCCATTTATAACACAGTGCAAACGTCGTTCAGCTGGTAAAAAGGGAACTAACTACTTCATGTGAATATACATTTTTATCTTTCCAGTAAAATTAGGAAGGGCACTCGGATGTTATCTGCTTTTGAAATAAAACATAAAACACATCTGATTTTTGATCAATTAGAAAGTAATCATTAAATGAATCGTCAGAACATCGGGTTTCCTCTAGGCGAAACATGTGACATAGCATTAGAGACCAACGACTCGACCACAATGTTCGTGCACGGCTCATCGGTATGAGTTCGTCGGGGGCCTAGCACCACGCTGATTGGATTACAAGCAATTATTTTAAAAAGTCGAGCGTTTGTTTGTTTTATTTCGCAATATATAAGAAAATTTTAGTTTGGGAAGAATATTTTGTTGGAAGCGAAATGTTGCGTCAAAGTTTTTCTGAAAGTTTTGTCACTCCAAGGAAACACACGAGCAATTAGGATGAACAATTTCCCTTTCAAGCTGGTCTGAACGTGCTGTTCAACTTCAACTTCATACGTACCCATTAATTGAAAAGTTCTTTAAGCTAACTTTTACAAAAAGAATAATTAGTGTTCGCTTGCTCACTTAGGCGCGATGTCGGATCCCTGCTGCATCAGCGAGCCGATGGTGAACCAGAGGGAGTTGAGCAGGCTGAACTGGTTCTCCAGCACGTCCGGGTCCTCCCGGCACGGGTGAGGGTTATCCCACTCGTATGGACTGAACCTGCGGTGCGGGGGTGGGGGTGGCTGACTGAACCTGCGGTACCGGGGTGGGGGTGGCTGACTGAACGTGCGGTACGGGGTGGTGGCGACTGACGGAACGTGCAGGCAAGGGTGCGGGCTGCCCCAATAGTACGGACTGAGCCTGCCGATCCGATGGACAGGACGGTGACAAGGATGCGGGGAGGATGAACGGCAGACCAGAGGGGAATGCTGGTGGGTTTTGAGAAAAGCACTGTGACTATCTGAACCTGAATCCCCAGAAGTACTCTCCACAGAAGTCCAACGAATCACCTGAAGTGGTAGCTGCATAAAAGAGGCACTTATTGCTACTGACATCCATCTTGGATAAGGATGAGTCCAGCGCAGATTATATCGGTTATGTGCAGTTACGCAGTTTTTTATAAGTGCCGTTACCTAGCACCTGAAGTTACCACACTGCACAGCTGGCCTTACCTGGCCAGGATGAAGAGCAGCACGGAGACGCCCAGGTAGGCGGTGGCCATGTACAGCCACACTTCCAGGGAGAGCGGCGCCAGAAACGAAAACAGCTGCACCGCAGACATCAGTCACATAGTGGAGAGGAGCGCTCAGAGTCAGAACTCGAAGAAAATGGAGCAAATAGAGCCAAATAGCACTGACCGAGTGTTGTTCCCGGTACCATGATTTTCCAATAACCAATCATAGGTCATTACATTTCAAGAGGTCCATGGAATACGATAATATATATTGTTATAATAGGTATGTATATACAAAAAAGTACCCGTGACGAAGTAAGCGAACCTACGTCTTTATACGCTAGAAATTCACAAGGGATACACGGGACAGAATAATAAAAGCGCTTACCGGTGGAGGCTCGTTGGTTGGCTTCTTGTACAAAATGCCGATACCTGGGAGAAGATAGTAAGTAATGCACCTGTAACCTGGCCATTAGCCACAAGGCATGCTAAGTAGGATTTCCTTTCATGAAAAAATTCGCCATGTATTTTTAATTAATGTCTATAGTTTATTATTTGTGAACAATAATCAAAAGTACGTTTTGAGTGCATGGAAAAGTACTAAAAATGTGCACACATGAAAACATCCTTTTGCCTTTTTATAATTATATATCCCTAGAACGCCTAGGGGGGGGGGGGTTGTATCAACCCCCCCCCCCTGAGGTTTTTTCGAAGTGCACGCTAAACGGCTTGTCGTAGCGGGCTGAAATTTTCAATACCCTCTGGGGCAACCTTTGCGCATCTTTTGCCGAAAAAAATTGATCGGGTCATGTCAGGTCACGGAGTTATGACGTCATAAGAGGTACAGCCTCCGGCCGGATTTTCACAAACTGAGTGCCAACGCCCGAGGTTTCCTGCCGGTGGTACGGACATCGGTTGATGGATCGTGATGAAACTTCCCATGCATGTTGGGGCAAGTATTGGCTATCATATGGTATAAGAAATTTGACCGGGTCAGGTCAGGTCACGGAGCTATGACGTCACAAGAGGAACAGCGTCCGGTACTATTTTTGAAAAGCGCCCGAACCACTATTTTGCTAATTCTTGTCACCTCAATGGGAATATGCAGCAATATTAGCTTCTATAGGGAGCAAATGGACCTCCCAAATCCAAAAATACAATCAGATTTCAAAAATTTAAATTTTGATTTTTCGAATTTCTGCCGCCGACTGTGACCTTGCCGACTTCCGGCGCTCCCAACGCGCCATTTTTAGAGCTAGGGAAACGAAATACATACCAAACGATAGAGAATTGATCAAGGAACACGATAGTGAAGGTTTCAAGTCGATATCTATCTCCCACCGTTTTGCCGCAATCGCCGCCGAAAGTTGAAAAAGTCTATTTTTCCGAAAATTTGACATTTGACCGGTCAAAAGTAGGTCAAATGTTGACCTAGGACCAAAAAATATACCACCAATCGCGAGATCTCGTTGAGAGCAATCCGTTGGTTTTTTCCGCTAAGCTCTACGACCTTCCGTTTCGAAACGCCAGGGGGGTCGTAACACCCCCCCCCCCCTGGTCGTTCGTGTTATGAGAAATGGCCCGGTCGTGCGAGGGATATAATTGCCTTTTTATGTATGAAATATCATATAACGGGAACAATGTCGTGTTTTTACACATGCTATAAACTATAATACACGGTGACTATAAATGTATATAAATACTATAATATTGCTATATATGTATATTATATAAATACAATAATAAAGGTTAGCTGTAAGGTAAGTTTGGCAATGATACAACAAGTTTACATAACCATCGTCCATCGCAGTCTGGAACAACTTAACTACATTTAGGTATGACAGCCACACAAAACAAGAACAAGTTCTGCGGCTCACCAAGTGTCATCCACGGCATGCTGAAGTCCAGCACCTGCTCCCTCTCGTATGTGATTGAAAGGTCCGTTATGGCCAGGTCAGCTTTCTGCGGCACCAGAGAAAATAAGAATTACTGCTGATAAATCCAATACGCACTCACCACAATAGACTTAGAAGGCAACTGATTTTGTCATGGATATTCGGAGCGCGTGAATCTCTCTTTACATCTGTATTCACTGGAGTATGTAACCCTCGTTTCTGTCAGTGACCTACACTGTCCGCTGTGACCGCTCTTATTTTCGTCTCCCTCTTCCAGCGCCCACTCGGCCCTCCCATTGGCGCTCGCGCGCGCTACCGACCAATTAGCGGGAGGCGGTCGGCGGCGGCAGGCGCAAATTGGCAGAAATTTGGTCCGGAATCGGATGAGCAGCTAATGGCACGCTTGGTCTGACCTCGGCCGCCCGGTCTAGCGGCGCCTAGGGAGTGCGGACTGGGGGCTGTCTCTGACTAACGATATCACGGTGGGATGGTTTTCGTTCTGAGGACAGGATAGACGACAGAGACTGAAGGAGGGAAGACTGGAGTCACATAGTTTGGAAGTAAAGAGGCAGATTATTGCGAGATATTAAATGGCCCACCTTCTTATGGGCTGTGCTGACTGCTGTTTGCTAATCGCAGCGATTTCCTGCACAACATGAAACAGCGTTTGTTATGTTTAAGAGCCGTTATGGCACGCTAAAAGAGGGCGTTAAGTCATGATTGTCAAAAGTGTCTTCATTCCTTATTGATGGGAGCATTTATGCTGCTAAATCGACGATTTGGTATTCAGTCGTGGATTGCCGCCGAGATATATTGGACATTTTGTGGGCCTCGGTTTAATTGATGAGTACTTAGGGAAAGTGCCGCCGGGTATCTGAAAAGGAAGAAAAACTTGTACAATTTTAGCCAAAAGCAGGCGTCTTAGTACGTATTGCATTCTTATGTGGTCTCCATCTGACTTTGCATTGGTTATGCTTATTTTAACGAGAGATAAAACTGCTGACCAAGTAACAATACCTATATTTAACACTGTTTCGAAAAGAGTTTTATCTTTTATGCGATCTCGATGGTGTAGCGCTTACTACGTGCCTTATGTTTAATATCAATGATATTAATAAATTCAATAATAGTCAGTTATGCAGGTAATGCAATGCTCCAAACTTTAGAAAGCAGTAAACCTGTTCAAACAGCCTACATTGTCAGCAAAGCTCAAGTTTTATCCATTGTTCAGGTCCAAAGCACCACCCGTTCCGTGCAGATGGTGTTCTGACCTGTTCCAGCAGGGCCTTGACCATGCCGCTGGCCTTGCCGGTCACGGGGTCGATGCCCCCGTAGCTGCCGCCCTCCACCAGGTCAAACTCGACGCTGAAGTTGCGCAGCCGGGCGATCTCGTTCACCAGGTCGACACAGAAGCCCTCGAAGCGGGCGTTGCCAGTGAGCGTCGGGTCGGATTCGTTCACCATCATCACATACGGCTCGTTCTGCGAAACAGACACGCCACGCAGCGTTACAGGCGTCTACAAACCACGTGATCGACACAGCTCGCCAGCCCGAGCTTTACGCGCCGTTTGAGATTCATTTCAGCGCCCATGCCATCGGCTGGCCAACGCGAAACGCCCGGCTTCCTCTCCTAGCAACTCTGATTGAGGCCATCAACCACAATCCGCCACACGATTGCTGAGCGTTGACTGAAGCCCATAGCCTCCTCGGTGCGCTCCGCTGCCCCGTTCTAGTCCCACCGACCACACTCACCAGAGCCATGATGACTTTGAGCGTCTTATTCCAGAGGCTGTGCTCGATCTCGCGTATCTTCTCTCCGTAGCTGCGTGTGTAGTTGGCGCCGGATGCGAGCGTCCAGTAGCCGACCTTCTTCAGCCCGTCCTGGAGCAGCTCCACAATGTCAAGTGTGAACTCGGTCCGGAAACCCTCGCGGTCGAACTCGATCGTGCCGGTGAGTCCGCCCGTGCGCACCTGCAGACGGAAGACATGGAGATGTGATTGGGTCAGTGTCGGTTGATTTGGGAGATTTCGACCAGGAGGCATTGCTATTCCACGGGTTCATGTCAGAGAGGTATTTAGTTATACAGTGATCAAATAAACGAGACGTGCATCTGCCACATCCAATCACACGGGTTGGCCATTCACGTACTAATCAATTTAGCAGTCAAAAACGAGTCCTCCTGGGTCGTTTTGTCCCGGCTACATCAGTATGCGCGTGACGGGGTCGGCGGCCGGCACGCGTCGCTTCTCGTACGTCGCTGCCGTCGCCCCGCCCCGCCCCGCCCCGCCCCGCCGGTCGCGTCCGTTCCGGCCGGTGTGCCGTCGCGCCCCCTTCCCGGCCTGCATATTCATCGGGCGCCTTTTGGCCGTGTCGTTTGGCCGCGTGCCATTGTATTCCTTTTCTTTACGACATCGTCTGCAGCGCGGTGATGGAGACCGGAGGTAAAACACCCGGCCGAGACGTCAAATGTCCGACGGCGCCCGCCCGCCCCACCGGCTGATCTATAGGAGACCCATGGGCGGAGCTGGACGGTGACAATAGACCGGGTGATACGTGCGGAACCGCGCACCGCCGGGCTTACGATTAGGATAAATCGTAACAGAATATGGATGGAGCAGCTCTGCGGGGAGAAGTGAGCGGCGTCTCGTAAGCCCACTTTTCCCGATGGGTGAGGTTTGGGCGAGCCGATCCTTTGATCCAGCCTGATCAATAGACTTAGGTTGCCATAATTTACGTGATCGAAACTTGAGCCGCATTTCGCTACCCACTGTTATGCTATTTGGGGTAAACGACGACATTACAGGGCCTCGGGTGGCTGACAGTAAATGGAACTGGCAAAGAGGTGGACAAAGTGGTAAATATGTGACATAAATATACCTACCATATACCTACCATAAATGCACCATGTTCATTGTTTGCATCTGCAGATGCACTAGCCATTGTTTTAAGCACATCTTATCTCCTCCTCCTCTGCATAGCGGGGCGATGCATATTGCTTCAATATTCAACATATTTCCTTTGACCTTTAATTTCTGCTTGTCAACAGAGAAGTTAGCTACTTTGACAAATAAACTAAAACTGACAGCATCAAAGCATTTCAGAAACAGGGTCGCGACATAAACTTGAGGACAATAGGCTTTGATAGTGCAGCGAAGTTGACGCGTTGAGTCAGAGCCGCGGAAACAATATAGCACCGACAGGAGGCGGCGGAAACTGCGCCAAAACTTGGGCGAGCATCCTGCCCGCGCGACGGAAAAACGATCAACATCATTCGCAACTTACACCAAACAGAAAAATCTTGTTTGTTCAACACACAACTGGTCATAAAAAAACCTAGCGACGTTTTGACCGAATCTTTTTCTCGTGACACAGTAACTGCTCAAAGGAGCAGCCTTGTGAAGGATAACAAATCAATTGATATGATGATGGAAGACAACAAACATTATCTAAATAAAAAGCGACATTTTTATTCAACATCGATGCTTGACTATTTTCAGCTAGCTTTGTCAGGACTCCATAGTTTAGCCTATACAGTGGGCGGAAGCTTCAGCGATTTTGTCCGCCTGCCCGGGCCGCTGTCCCACTCTATGTCGGGTCATTTGATTATCTAGTCTAGTCTCGCTCTGCCAATTTCGTGACACGGAATTTCCATAAACGACTAATCCCACGGTGCGAAATGGATTGATTTGGAAGCTGGAACCACAAAATTACGTGATGTCGCGCGAAATAGGCTCTTGCCAGAAAGTGGCCTTCCTTTGTACACCTAACGGATTCACACAAAATAAAACACAAGCACCGACGAAAATCAGGTACCGCAAGAGCAGCGTATGATAACATTATTGTAGCGTTATGGGCATGGGCTACCTAGCCTATTGCTTAATTTTTTTTCAAATGGAAGCTTGCTGCAAGATGGCATCATGACCATCCGCGAACAAAAAAGAAACACTTAGCCCAGCGTTATATGAAGAAATTCCTGGTGATTTTACGGTCCCATCAAGGCTCGCTGGGAGAAGACGGTCCCCATGGAGTGATGAATTGACCGACATCCGTTGCCCGGCCCTCACGGCTGGCTTCAGTCCGACCCGGGCCTAACGCGCGCAGCCCGGCCTCGGACAGCTGGATTACTGGCTAGTCTGAAATATCCGGGCCATTTTGAGCAGCTCAGAGATAAAGGGCGCCATGTATTGTATTTTGGATGAATAAGACATACCGTGGAAGTGTATTTTTAAATTTGCTTGAGAGACGATGGGGCCCGCTAAACGATAAAAATCCACAACACGTTTGCAATAAAAGATGATGAGTGTTGACTATATACCCACATGCATCTCGTTCACTGCTAGGAAGATACGTCAGCTACATAAACAATTTGGTACTTACATTACAACGTTTGCTCTGTCTCACTCTCTCCCTTCTCCTCAAATTCCCCGGTTAGTTTGGTTTTTGGCACTTAAACCATGTTAGCGTTACATAACAACCATTACAACCATAACAACCATTCGGTTGTCAGCTGCCTGTCTGCTGAGGATTTGCTTTATCTGAATCACGTCTTAAATCAATGACGAGCCTGAGTTTGGGTGTTTTCCGGACCGATCCGGAATTGATCCGGGCCGATCCGGGGTCGATTCGGACCGATCTGGGGTCGGGCCGGTTCGGCCGGCGATATCGCGCGTTCCGGCGTCAGCTGATGACCCTGATGGTGTCGGGATTGTCATCAGGCGGCGCTGATGACGCTCAGCTCTCGGCGGCCCGCTGTGGTCGGCCTCCCGGCCCGGGCGGCAGCGCTCAGACGCAGCCGGTGGTCGGCCTCCCGGCTGGGCGGCAGCTCCCGGCGGCCCGCTGTGGCCAGCCTCCCGGCCCGGGCGGCAGCGCTCAGACGCAGCCGGTGGCCGGCCGGGGACGGCCCCTCCGCCGGCAGCTGCGGCCGCGACCGATCGTAATTACTACAGCCTTACGTCCCACTGCTCCTCATTTGGCACCGAGATGGCTCCAAAACCAAGACAGACTGACGTTGATCCATTGCAGTGCGGCTGGTCTGAGCTGTCTTATTTCCCAGCTGGGACCCGCTCTAGCGCTGTTACAGTCGTCAAAACCGTCTGCTTTCTCTTTGCGACAGCCAGCCCCTCACCAGCCCGGCTGCTCCAATCACCCGGTTTTCACGGGGTCGGTGGCACGCCGCGCCGCGGGACTGCTAACCAGCTCAATCGTCTCGCCGCGCTGCGTGTGGGACGCACGGGAAATGCAATCTGCGGCGGAGGGACGGAAATTTGCCGACAGACCGGCGGAGGGCACGGGGCCGGAGTTATCCAACAAGGGCAAAAACCAATCATCCAAATTCCAAAAGCAATAGAAACTGAATGGGTGACGCATTAACTATGGAGGCTTCGCGTCGCTATATTGTGCTACTCTTTTTATTTGATGAAGGTTGATCTAAGATCAGTATCGTTTTTTATTTGCATTGAATAAATCGTATGAAATATCTATCTATGGTAACTTAATATGTACCGGTCCTCTTTTATAAAAAATCATGCAGGCAGACAGGTGCACATTCACTGACCAGTTTGATGAAGTTGACCAGTGAGTTGCCCTCGGCCCAGCTGTTCTCCGCCTGGCAGCTCAGCGGACGCACCGTCAGCTTCTCGTTAAAGGCGTGTAGGGCGTGCGCAAACACCCGAACGGCGTCATACATCAGAGCCGTCTCCGTCTGAAAGAACGGCAGGATATTGAGATGCATCGCTACATAGCTCATATCAATTACGTTACTAAATACGTAAATCACATTTCCTGCTATTGAGGCATTTCAGCCATGAAAAGCGCAGTCTTTCTAACTTTATAGCACTTTTTGCTAATACTTTTCGAATGTCTACTTTAGCTATGGTTGGTATCGTTACCAAGTACTCACCAAAATGCTGGATAGGTTCAAGTGGCTGCCACTAAATATTGGCGGTGGGGGCTGAAACAAAGACGACACTTGTCACGAAATGATTATTATTTACAAATAAATAGCTAGGTATCAGCAGCCAGCTGTTAACAAGTTTTTTTGCTCGTATAGTTTATTAGAATCCTATCGGATAGGCAGCGAAGTTTTCGCATTTTAAGGTATTTTCAACTTCTCCTGTGGGGCTAGTGAGCAGCAGGTCTCTTAGTTTGTCCAACACGTTCGCTGGTGCAGGGAGTGTAGTGGGTCGGCCACAAGCCCCTGCTCCGTCCCCAGGTCGGTGGCCGATCAGATGTCATACCAACCCCCCCCCGGTCGCTGGCCGGTCAGATGTCTCACCTGGCCGCCGGGTCGCTGGCCAGTCAGATGTCTTACCTCACTGATCGGTCAGATATCTTACCTCACTGATCGGTCAGATGTCTTACCTCACTGGTCGGTCAGATGTCTTACCTTACCTCGGTCTCTGATCGGTCAGATGTCTCACCTGGCCGCCGGGTCGCTGGCCGGTCAGATGTTTTACCTAACCGCGGTCTCTGGTCGGTCAGATGTTTCACCTGGCCGCCGGGTCGCTGGTCGGTCAGATGTCTCACCTGGCCGCCGGGTCGCTGGCCAGTCAGATGTCTTACCTCACTGATCGGTCAGATGTCTTACCTAACCCCGGTCGCTGGTCGGTCAGATGTCTCACCTGGCCGCCGGGTCGCTGGCCGGTCGGCAGCAGGGTCGGCCACCCGTTGTGCGCGGGCAGGGGGTCCTGCAGCCAGTCCTGGAGCAGGTCGGAGGCCACAGCCTGCGCCGGGTCCACCAGCCGCAGGGCCGTGATGTTGGTGCCCAGGTGGCGGAATGCCTCCAGGTCAACACTGTGCACGTCCTGTAGAACGGCAATTCGACGGGGGGACCATGTATGTGCAGAGTCAGACGTCTCCGACAGAACGTGTTTGAGATAGGGATTGTGTATGATCAGCACTGTACAGTGTACACACTTACACAGTATCCTCGTCTCATGTAGCAAAGCTAACTTCCCAAGCTATAACTGCGCTCGAATTGACTGTGATTGATCACAATATGACGTCGAGCGTGGCGGTAGCGCAGAATGAATAGGGCCACCGTCTCTGAGGTGGTGACTTGTGCCGCCGGTCTCTCCTTTTGCCCGCTTCGTCTCTCTATCCGGCCGGGCGGCAGTGGCGACACAGGGCATTAGCGTCATCAATCTCGGGACAGGGTGGCGGCGCCGACAGGGGTCGGGCAGGGGCGGCGGCGCGGCCACCGGCGTCGGACCGCCGCGCTGCCGCTCCTGCCGCCGCTGCCGGCGCCGGGTCGCCATGGTGACGTCAGAACAAATGGTCGGTCGCCAGCAGAGACACGAACGATGGAACAGATGAGAACACGTGCGCGTGGTGCGGCGATGGTGCTGGTGTCGGGTAGGTGGTGTCCGCACTGATGCTTATTGGAAAGGCAGACGGCTGAGATGCCTTTTAGCATTATCACTAAGGGGAATATGAGCAGATACAATGCGTGGTGGATGACAAAACTGAAAACACCAGACGACCACACCACTCCATCAGCAGAACTCTGGGGCGACCGAACACTTGCCGCCATTGAACTTAATCATTGTCAGTGAAAGTAAACCGTGTAAAATGGCAATCACTCCAAAAACGCCGTGTAAACAGCCGTTTACATGCCTCAGTGCAGAAGTAATCGAACACGCCGTCCCATTCCTCGCCATAACACTACCCACGCAGAAAGGATGAACTACTGCTTACCAAAGTGTCGCTCAAACTACTGCCCGAGTCCCACAGGAAGAGATTGTTGAATCGCCCACATCTCACCAGCGAGGTGATGAGGTAGCTGAAGTACTGGTTCATCATGCCGATCTCCAGCGCCTGGTCCAGGATCGGACGCAACACCAGCAGCCGGCAGTCGAGCACGATCCGCGTGTTGCCGCTCTTCTTGATCCTCTTGAGCAGCGGCCTGGAGCGCAGCCAGAAAAGTTGTCGTGCCGCGCCGGAGGGGACGGAGCGAAGACACTCGATCAGCGTAACTTCGGCACTGTCGAGCACCACTGCCCCCCCCCCCGGCCCTCCCAGCGCGCGCGGCGCTCTGGCACAGAGACACGAGTCCGACAAGTCTCGGTAGCGTTACTATGGAGATCATGTAGGCTTCACTGGGGAAACTTGACAGTAAGTTAGCTGGCAATTAGGCTTAAACATAGCAATTAGTATGGGTTATTGTAAAAAGTGTTGACAAAACAAATGGGTGGGATATTACTCTTTTGTATCGGACCGAGAACCATTTATGCTGATGGGGTAAAAAAAAAATACAACGTGTCGGTGATGGGACTACAATTGTTTATTCTTGCTGACATCCTAATACAGAGAGCGATAATGCACTGCTGCCAGCCACACAGCATGGCCCCGGCCCTGGGGAGGTTGTCCACGCCCACGCAAGACGGATTATCGCAATACACTGGGCTGTCCTGGCCGGGTGCGCGGGAGGCAAAAAACTGATCCATATGCATGAATCGAGGCGGTCCTGTATCGGTAATTAAGTTATTGCGTCAGTAATCCTAATGCTGCACATTTTCGCTTACAGTCTGTTGTTTTAGGACTATCTTAGAAAGCATCGTTATATTTATCGAGCTGTTAGTATGTAAGGACGGCTGCACGTAGCACTCACGCCTGCGGCTACCATCGTTTGGCATTGGCATCGTTTGGCAAGATGAGAATGCGCTCAATCGTGCATCGTCACATGGATCGAGTCATGGCTCATCACATCGTTCTGCGATATGACACGCCGATGAGTGGAGGGCAACGGCGTGGTCCCGTGTCTTTCGTCGGTTAATGATATCCGATCCCACAGTTGTTCTGTGGTTGCCTTATCGACCTGTGATAGCTTTTGCTTGCATGCTCGTAACAACGGTCATGTTGGACATCGTGACAGACATGTCTAATGTTTAGGAGTTTCTTACAATGCTGTGGTGTCAGGTGACGCGCTGTCTTCTGAGGGGTTTATCTGTTAGGTATGTGTCCAACATTCTCTGGCAAAGTAAGCAATAATGTGGTCAATGCACTTGTGCCTTCACACGATCTGTAGGTAAAAATTCTCTCAACAGCTTGTATAGTGCTGTATACTGCTGCGCCAATAGCCATAGATGTGAATGTACCATGCAGTAGCGCAGCCCTCAGCACCCCTCAGTACCCCTCGCCAGCCCTCGTCAGCCCTCAGCAGCCCTCAGCAGCCCTCAGCACCCCTCGCCAGCCCTCAGCAGCCCTCAGCACCCCTCAGCAGCCCTCAGCACCCCTCGCAGCCCTCGCCAGCCCTCAGCAGCCCTCAGCACCCCTCGCCAGCCCTCAGCACCCCTCGCAGCCCTCGCCAGCCCTCAGCAGCCCTCAGCACCCCTCAGCATCCCTCGCCAGCCCTCAGCACCCCTCGCCAGCCCTTAGCAGCCCTCAGCACCCCTCAGCACCCCTCGCCAGCCCTCAGCAGCCCTCAGCAGCCCTCAGCAGCCCTCAGCAGCCCTCAGCAGCCCTCGCCAGCCCTCAGCCGGTCGGCGTCGCGCCGTCCAGTCCCAGGGGCGTACCCCGCTGAGCGCGGTGGCGCCGCCGCTCATCTCCGGTGCTCGTTGAGCGATGGCCGCGGCGCCGGAACAGACGCCGTCTCGCACCGCCGGCAACTGTATCAGGGGCTGGAGCCGGCGACTGTATCAGGGGCAGACCGGAGCCGGAGACTTGTATCAGGGGTGCACGGCTCGCGTTGCCGGCTGTATCAGGGGCGCATGGCTTGGATCACCAGCTGTATCAGAGGACATAGCTCGTGCCGCCGGCGACTGTATCAGGGGCCGGAGCCGGCGACTGTTTCAGGGGCCGGCGACTGTATCAGGGGACAGAGTCAGCAATTACGAGTATAGCAGAGAACGCAGCCGGAGCCAACAACATCAGTGTATCTGCAGGGGCCGGCACCGGCGACTGGATCAGGGACGCCAGCCCGCACCGCCGACTGTGCAGGGGACACAGCTCGCACCGCCAGCTGTATTGGGGGGAGGGGCATAGCCCGAGCTGCCGCGCCACCTGCATCGGCGGGGGGGGGAGGGGGAGAGACGCAAAGTTCGGACCGCCCGATAGACGCAGACAAAGTGGCGTATGAGGTTATCCCTTATAGCCACTTTTAAAAATGAAAAATAAATACCAAATTGACGTTAGTTTGGTTAACGTTTACGGTAGCTTCGTTAGCTACACGTATTAGCAGTACAGCTATTCCATTAACCTATCAACGACATTTGTCATTTCATACTGCAGCCACTCATCTCTTTGTCCGTGAACTATAATAAACGACAAAGCTATCTCCATTTAGCAGCTATGCTCGGAGCTTCAATTGTTGCTGAATCGGAGGCAACATTTTCGTCAAGAGATGACAAATGTTTCGCTGATCTCATAAATACAAAGTGGTGACGCTGCCACTCTATTATAAACGGCGGACTTTTCAGGTCAAGTGGTGCTGACAGAATATGATATCGTAAGCACCAGAAACTGTTTCTGTTACACTACAGGAGCATGAAGCTATACGAACTCAGTGCCCATTTTTGCCCCTGATCGTATATGATCCAAGCGCCTATACCGAGAATTGTTGACATGAAAAAGAATCTAAGGAACCCAGCCAAATTTGTTGGTGTAGGTCAAAGGGCTAGTTCAAGTTCAGGGTAGATGATGGATTAGATTATCCCATATTTAACATTATTGGATTCCAAGAGTAAACGCGCAAAAGTTATCGAATACTTCGTTCTAGGATCTACATACCTAAGCGATCGAATGCTGGATTAGGTAAGGAGTTAGCTATATGTGCACCTATTTTTACAAGAGTGCAAAAATTCCACTTTTCACTTTTCTCCTCCCAGAGGAAAAGCTGATTATTAGTCCCTAGACCAGCCCGATAGGAAAACCTAAAGTAGGAGGCATGGATCAGGTAGGTACCTTATTGAAAATACCGGAGGAGTAGAAGAGTGGGGAAATGTCGCTAATTCTAACGGATCGAACCACCAATGTAGCAGACGTGACTTGATTATAATTGCATTTTTAAACTGCAACGATTTCGCTTCTACGTTCCTGAAAATTGTAACAGCGTTCAGGAGCGAAGAAACGGACCGTACCGATCAATGGTAGGTATCAAATGCCTATCTCAATCATGTTACAAAAAGTAGTTGTGATTATTCACTCTTCAAAATAACTACAAAATAACTTCAAAATAACTACAAAGTAAATCACTCTGCCTAACGAGTGTCATTTATTACATTGGTTGAAGACCAAAAGCTGTTTGGACAGTAGCAATCGCGTGGAGAAGTCCCCGGTCCCTGGAGGACAAGCGTCAAGCATGGCAGGCCAATTACTAGTGTTTCTCGTCTTGATTCGTATCTCGCCCCTAGCTTTGCTTTGTTCGAGGATAGCCTATTAGCTTCTTCTATCATTCCCCATCCTCTCTCTCTCTCTCTCTCTCTCTCTCTCTCTCTCTCTCTCTCTCTCTCTCTCTCTCTCTCTCTCTCTCTCCCTCTCTCTCCCTCCTCCCCCTCTCTCTCCTTCTCTCCCCCCTCACCGGTAGTCGGTGGAGTCGGCCGGCAGCTGCCGCAGTGTGATCTTGAACTCGGAGGAGGAGGGCGCCTTCAGCACCTCCTGCAGCCGCACCAAGCCGTCGATGTCCTCGTAGATGACCGTGAACGTCTTCCAGTTCCAGTAGCGGATCAGGGATTCGTACGCCTGGAAAGGAATACTGACAAGTTAGTGACGTCACTGGTAGAGCGAGCGAAGTGTATAGTGGTATTATGCATCACCGGGATAAAACATGGGCCGTGAGGAATGAAAGGTATTAGTGGGGCACACGGCATGAAGGACTTGTGGCATGGAAATGCGTTTTAGTGTCATGGGAGAGGTACTTAGCGGTGTGGAAATAATACAATTATATGACTGCCTTAGAAAAATCGTCAAGCAAAAGAGCTAGGTAGTTACTTGGATGCACTTTTATGGGATCAATGCGCTTAGGTGATATATTTCTAAAATCAATAATGGCTTTGAAGATGTTATTTAGTGCCACAGCCAGATCCAGCGCTAGCTAGACCTGAGTTACGGAAAGTCAGATCTGGCCAACACCTTTCAAATCATTAATAAACCGGTTAATGGAGCGTTAAGGTCGCATTGGGTCCGTAGCTTTCCCAAGATAAATGACATCACAGAAGATTTGGCGAGGAGGCAAAACGGACAGTCGGTCTCTGACCTCTGTCTGAACGGATGAAGGCTGAGGAGTGAGGAGCCAAGATGATAATTCATCATATACCGGGAAGATTGAGGCATGATATCCGACACGGACTAAGCTGACACTGATGATGTGAAAATGTGCGCGTACAGCTGTGAACCGTGAACCCCTGATGCCATATCATAGAAATAGAAAGAAATGAGCTAAATGGCATACGAATAGTATACCTAGCTCACAACTGATCTGGGTACAAATATATAGTCACGGACCTTCTTCGCATACCATTCTGCAATTGACTAGGTTATGATGTTTCAAGTCAGTTAAACCAACAAGTGATGGTCTGATAACAAGTAGTATCTGCTGGCACGATATTGCAGGCGTGCCTTCATACCCCGCCCCGTACCTTGCTGAGTGAGGCAGGGTGCGGATGGACGTTGACCGAGTAGTCGTCCCGCTTGAGCCGGTAGTCCCAGCGTGTCTCGATGTGCGGCATCTCCATGGCGTCGCAGATGCTCTGCACGTGCGCTGATGTGGAGGCGGTCTGCGGCCCGAATATGGCCGCCACGCCCTGCTCCATCAGAGCGCACACTGCCGAACGGAGGCAGGTGGACTAGTCAGTGGCGTGAAGTAGAAACGAAGCTGTGCTCGGAGTGCTGTGAGATAGAGAAATACAAATACGCCGATCGTGGTGTGTTTTTGCTCTGGTCATGGCAAATACCTGTATGACCGAAGATTGAGGGACCAGAATCTGGACCCATAGGTAAGATAAAATGAACCGGCATTTTATCCCAGCACTTGTCGTTATCGGAGCAGTTAATATTTAAAACGACCACCAGCGTCAGGCGTAAGTGTCCCACTGTTGTCGGTTCGAGATGAAGTCTGGCTTAGAACTCGGCTGTGCCAGACCAAGGGTCACGATTCACTTGGCATGCAGCAGCTGGTGACTGGCGTAACAGATGGCTCCGCTCTGGCTGAGTGGATGGCAGTTCCTTTGACGGTCGGCCGTAGGAGGCCATATAGACCAGCTCGGCCATTTGTGAGTGTCATGCCGCCGCTAAGTAAACTCAAACGGGAAACGGGCATTCATACAGCTTTCGACTGAATAATCCCCTTACGGAAAAAAGTTATGTGTGGACATAAATACTGAGCTGCAAGAAGTTCATCGAGAGATCTGCAGGAATCATGAAAGCGGAAAACTATAAAATGCGTTTTATTTTTTATAAGTAATGTGCCAGCGTATGATGGGTGATGCTTACATTTTTTCTTTACAAATTTTATTTCTCAGAAATACATAATGAATAAGAAACGCAAAAGATGGGCGAACTATTGACTTCCCTCAGGCGCCATATTGTGCTTATCTCGTAAGCAAAGTGCAGAGAGCTATCACATGTCCCCACGTCCACCAGCCAGTTCCTTCCACTTCCATAAAGTGCGCCATGCTACCACTCTTCCCCATTCCACTCTCATCAGGCCCCGGCCCCGCTCGTATTCCATGGCCAGTGTGTGCTGACCGGTCCCGGCAGGCAGACACCACTCGGCCGTCGTGACTGGGCTGCGCGCGGGCAACACAGGGGGGGGGGGGCGTGGGAGAGTATCGCCACACCAGACACCACGGCCGGCGCGCCTCACCAGCGCCACTGCCTGATGTGATGGGACGATTCCCCATTAATCTGCCTGACATGGCGCAGCGACCAGCGCGGCGGTCGTGGCGCAGTGGCGCCATATGGCGCGGGCCGCTGCACGGGCCATGTATTTACCAGTGGCATACGAGTGGTGATGTGCGTATGGTAATTGTATGATGTGTAATTGTATGAAGTATGGATGAATGTTGGCATGTTTTCGTCGTTGGGCTGTATAGCTTGTTTGTTCCTAACTGACAAACTGCGATGGCTCATTAATCTATTTCTGTTGCAATGTTAGCATTGCCTGTGACTTTGCTTCCTCCCTTCTGTTCCTGATCCCTGCCCCTCCGCTCCTGATCCCTGTCCCTGGCCATCCGTTCCTGGTCTCTGCATCTCCTCTCCATCCTTGATCTCCCTGATCATCCCTGGTCACCGTTCCGTCCCTTATCCCTGCCCCTCCCCTCCGTCCTATCGACACTGCGGAAATGAGCGGCGCACCGAGAGACGCTCGGTCGGCGCCCCTGCCGTCGGGGCGTCGGCGCCCACCGGCAGGGGGTCATCTCGGGGCGCCCCACACACAGGCCGGCCACAGAGCGGCGCCACATACGTGTCAGGTGGGATGGAGATGAACGGTGAGCAGACGGCGCCGCGGATATCGCTGGCAGTGATGGATGATGTCAATATTGTCGGTCAGTCAATGTAAGGAGTGCAATAACTGGCGTAAATGACTATAAACATAGGTACGGAGATTAAAGATCCGAAATGTTATTACGAAATATTGTTTGGTGACTGTGTTTGTAATGTATCGTTGGTATATTGCATAATTCTTAGGTGTTGTATCACTGTCAACCGTGGAAGCCGAATGGCTACCCATTTACGCTGGAGTACGAAAAACATCATCTCACGTATATTGCATAAGTAGCCTCATTTAGTTTAAATTGTTATGCAAATGACCTTTCACAGTTCATTGAACTGCGAACTATTACCACTTACCAGAATATAATAATTTGCATCAATAATTGGCGTCAGTTACTTCCAACTTACATCTACCTATTTATTCTTACATCTTACATCTACCTACATCTACCTATTTATTATACATCTACCTTCAGAGTTCATTTTGATCATGTCACATTCATAGCATCAGCTGTGCAGAGAGCGATGCCCATATGAAGGTAAGTATGAGGCAGCCTAGCGGGCTGAAATGGGACTGTCACTATGTCGAACAAGCGTTGGAAGCCGTGAATATATTCAACTCTCCTCTCCCTCTCCCAACAAGCTTCGAAATGCGAATCCTACTCACTAAAACAGCCAAGACAAACGCGTCGAGACTGTCATGTTTTTATGAACGCACTTGTGCTCGCTGCTGCTAGGTCTCACCTCGTTTGGACGCCTGGAAGCTGTCCAGTAGCGGTATCCTCTGAATGCTGGCCACCAGCCGGACATTGGGCAGTACCGTGGGATCGGCATTCACCCGATCCACGGCGTAACGAAAGGCGGCGGCCTGGCGAGCGCTGCCAGAGTCGAACAGACCCACTGCGGATGAAACAGGCTGTGTCAGACAAACTGCGGAGAGGACAAGCTGTGTCAGACCTACTGCGGACAGGACACAGGAACTGTTAGACAAACTACGGACATGATAGGGTGTCAGACAAGCTGCGAAAAGGACAGGATGTCAGACAAACTGAGGACAGGACAGGAAATGTCAGACAAACTGCGACCTCGCACATGGGAACTGTCAGTGTCACACCCACTGTGGACAGGACAGGCAGTGTGAGATTCACTGCGAACAGGACAGGGAAGTGTCAGACAAAGTGCGATCAGGACAGGCAGTGTGAGACTTACGAGTTCTTAGAAGAGAACGGACATTGTCAGATAAACTGTGAACCGGAAAAGTATAATTATACAAAATGCGCAAAGGGCAGGCCGTGGACGAAGCACAAGTATAGAGGTATTGACGAAGTGTCGTTGCTAATCTTCCTCAGGTAAATAATTGTAATTCGTGTGCGTTTCGTGCTACACTGAGGTAAAAAGATAGAAATCAAATATTTCGGCTTTATTAAGTTGTCTTGTTTGATTTTTGACAATTTTTGACCTCAGTGTAGCCAGAAACGAATACGAATTACAAATAAAGGGGTTGTAAATGGTGCGTTTTGTTTTACCTTTTGGGTAGCATTCTGACATCAACCTAAAATGTTCTCTCGGACGCCATTGAACTCTATCAGAAGCAACGAGAGCACTTGAGAGAAATAATGTGGCGATCACGATATTTTCTCAGAAGACATCATTCAGAAACTGACAGGGTAGTGGCAGCCGTATATCTTAAACTGGACAATGTCCATTCTAACAGGAAATCAGCCCGAAATCTCGCACAGATTGATACTGTACTTCACAGCGATGAAAGCTCTTTTAGTTGATGAACGGCAAATGACAGAATTTGGCTCTCGTTACAGTCCCGTAGGACATCCATATTTCGTCTGGTAGCAAAAGTAAAAATGAGTTCGTTATTGGAACCTTATGCCAAGAGTTTTCTGGTCCCATTAGTGTTTTACTTGCATAGGCCTTTTGTATCTAAGCACATTGAATCAAAAAGCAATCGCCGATTTCCATGCAACTACAGCTTTTTATGTAGGTAAGGCAGGTTGGTATCGGTCGTACAAATTTTCTGATTTGGTGTCAGGCGTCAGCTAAAAAATGAATCGTAGAGATTATCAAATAATGTCTATAACTCATGGTCGGTATTCTGGTAGTGCAGAAAATGCCAATTTTCCCCCTGAATTTCTTCCTTGTCAGATAAAATCCGCTAGTTTTATTGCATTCATAAACCCTCCTTTCCGCTTTTCTACAATGTCGACTAATATGAATTCCTTTATGAATTCTGAAAGGCATTCATCGAATCTTTTCGCGAGCATTTCTTCCTGACCATATCAGAGAGACGTGGAGAGCGGACACGCTTTTGATGTCGCCGACTCTCTCCCCGGGGCGAAATCTTGACAAAGTGACAGCCTCCTGGTCCCAGCGGTGTAGGACGCTGATGGCGGAGGCGGCGGCGGAGCGGCGGCGGCGGCGGCGGTGGCGGCGGCAGTGGTGGAGGGTGGCTGTCTCATCCACCGGCCCATCCCGGGGCGGGCGCCGGTACAGAACGGGTCGGCCGGTGGATGATCAATCACCAACTCAGCGGCCCGTCGCTGGTCCACCGTTAACTGTGGCCAGTCGAGCGTGGCGGTCGACCCCCTGCCGCGCTACTCTGGCCAATTTTCTCCGCCAAATTAGCGACCCGATAGCTGGGCCGAGAGACTGTCGCCGAACGCGCTGACGTTCGCAGCAGAAATTAGAGGTATGTGATACAATTTAGAAGAGCTTTGTGATAGGGATCCGTGTTTATTTATTTATTTATTTATTTATTTACTTCGTAGTGGCCGTCCCCTATCTATGACCGAAGTCAAAGAGGCTATTCTTGGCACTGAGTCAATAAAAGATGGTGATGAAGTGGGTAAAAGAACATCATGCTATGACATAAAAAATGCTTAAAAATCACGATAAAAGCGCACAACACAATGCACATACATATACATACATATCACACTTCGTCCGCACCAGACGTCAGTCGACGTTTCAGCTGGTTTCTAAACTCGGTGACGGTCAGATCAGTAAAGGCGGCGGGGAGAGCATTGTACAGCTCTGCGGCACGGTATGTAAACTGCCGCTTTCCCGCCGCCGTGCCGCGTATGTCAGGGAGACTCAGCAGGTTGTCACTGCGAGTGCTGCGCACATGGTTGGGCCGTTCGCGGTTCGTGAAGAACCGAGCAGCCAGAGACTCGGGCTGCCCAGTCTGACGGACCTTATGAAGCAGTGTGAGGGTGTGATGGACCGTGATTGTGAAGGTGTAAAAAAGCCGATCACTGATAACCTTCTCGCAATACGCTAAGGTATGTTTCTGTTGTATCTGCGATTCTGCATGTCATCGAGGTGCGGTTGAATGACTCCACATTAGTTCTGAGTTGGATTTGCGCTGTCCTGAATATTTAACCCATGAAAGTGGATCACTACTGTAAGGCATATTGCAGGCTGCTGGCTTGTTTCTTATTCTTTAATGTTTGCAAATCGCAATGCATGGTTAGGTATTAGGCATTGCATTTATTGGAAGATGATCTTTTGCTTCACACTGTTCTCCATGGTCATTCGTAAGCCGAAGACTGCAGCAGTTTAGCACAATGCTGTACCGCAGGGCACGCGAGTCTGGCGGCACAGTATCATTCCAGGCGCGCTACAAGTAGAGACATCTAGCGGCAAAGTTTTGTATTGCAGCCGGTAGACGCTATACCGCAGGGCACGCGAATCTGGCGGCACAGTATCCTTCCAGGAGCCCTACAAGTAGAGACATCTAACGGCAAAGTTTTGTAGTGTAGCCGGTATACCAAGTGCACTCTGCAGCGGCTACAGTACGAAGTTTTGCCGCTAGATGTCTCTACTTGTAGCGCGCCTGGAATGATACTGTGCCGCCGGACTCCCATGCCCTGCGGTACAGCATTGTGCTAAACGGCGGCAGTTTTCGGTTTACGAATATAAGTGTTACTTTAGCAGAAGTGTAGACTCTACACTCCTTGCGTTTGTAACAAAAACGGAAAAATTATCAAGGTAACGTTCATATTGATCATCGAGAGAACGTAATATGCATTACACAATCAATAAAAATAATCACGCAATCCTAATTCTGGCAGTCTTTTCTTTATTTTGCCCTTTCGATCCAGTGATTCGGTGATCTATCGTTGTCATCAGAGAGGAATAGGCGTTTATCGCTCCTTACATGGCCTAAACGTTACTTATCGCTGAGTGTTGGGAACAGCTTACTGGTGAGCCTAGCACCATTCATTTGTCAACAATGCTTATTTGTTCGCTGGTCCAGATGAAAACGACGAAATCATGCCTATAGGCTATAACTAATATTTATGAAGTAAACCTGTCTACGAAGTCCATATAGCTCACAAATGTTGATTGATATTGTATCTGTACCTAACACTGAGATCTGACATAAGCTTTTCAAATTTATTCTAGCAATCCAACCAGGCTATCCGATCTGATTCCGCCGACATTCCCTCGTCATCCACCCACGGTTTCCGTCCGTTTCCCCAGATACCCCCCCCCCCTCCCCCCGACAGTGCACTTGTGTCCGCGCCGGCGGCTGGACCGGCTCCAGAAACAGTTCGAGAGCAGAGGGACGCCCCCGGTGCGAGGCGCGCGTCCCCGACGGCGTGTCATCTCCATCGCCGCGGGGGCCGCCGGCCACCAGTCGATATAGCCGCCGGCCGGCCGGCCCGTCGGCTCCCCTCGCCGCGGCGGCCGCACTCGGCGGTCCCACAGATCACCGCGCGATCGAAGCCGGCACCGTTTTATAAACCGCCCCCGACTGCGGCCGGCCTGGCACTGCCGCGCGCCCACGGTCCCGTCCGAATAAGGACCATAAAAATTTAATTTCCCCGCGTTGTGCGTGCCGGAATTTGTGCGGCACCTAAGCCATCTCTGGCGGAAGAGGTTTGGCGCTCTCTCTATCTCTATCCTTTTCTCTCGCTCCATCTCCTCTCCAGCCCGCCGATGAGGCGCGTTGATGGCTAAAAAGCAGCCGCGAACTCCGATGTCGGTTGGACAGACAGTGTGCCCACGGGCACCGGCACCGCGCGCCAAGATGGTAGATTCTGGGACGGAAATAGGGAACATCTACCACAGATGGAAACTGCTCCAAGCTATCAAAAATCTGAACAGCAGCCAACCCAAAAAGCGATAGAATGCCAAATTCGTGAATCAAAGATAGACGCAACTGACTTGTTTGCCCTATATCATAAAATGGAATGGAACAAAAGCTTTGAAGCTAAAAGTGAAACTGAAGTGACTAAACTGACATTGAGATTGTATTGTATATAATTGCATAGGCATACAAAATCACTATAGATTATTCACTTGCTTTTCATTTATTCTCAACATTGCACAATGCCAAATAGGTGAGACAAAATTACTCAGAGACGAGCAGGAGGTCAGCTCCGCTTTTCCTCCGTTCGTCGCTGGGGTTGATATACGTCGCGCTCCGTCGCGATCGCCATTGTGCCGCCGACAGGCCTCTCCTTTGTACGGGGCGACGCCAACGACCCGCGCAAGATCGATTTCACAATTTGTCAGACACTCTCAGAAGCCTGTATGCACGGCACGTTTTTCTACCTGATACGTTATACGCCCGCTTAGCCAGGGCGCAATGCGTTGTCCAAATGTCGAGCTAAGCAATTTATTCTGACATGTGTGAATAAAACTGACTGAGCGATTTATGTTTTCGGGACGGAGTTGTATAAAAGGCGTTGTCAGGAGACGTTATTGGCATTTGTGGTGGCTATTCACAACCATCTCGGGCTAGGCGCAGAATAACAGGGCACACAGAGGACCCCCATAACCACTGCTGAGGACCGGGGGCGGCACAAAAAAACAGCCCCATTGCCGCCGCCAAAAGAGGCTGGCAGTGTGTCGTGCGGGAGCCGCCGTGTCTCGCTCATCAATGGCGCGCCGCTGCCCGCCACGGCGGAGACGCGACGCGCCCAAAAATGAGCCTCATCAGCTGCGTAAGCAGGCCGCTGGACGGCCCCGGTGATGGCCTTGTTGTGCTGGCGGCAGCTCGGACGGACGGACGGCTCGGAACAGAGAGCGGCCGCCGCGCCGCCGGAGATGCGCTAGTTTCGCGGCTGAGCGCCGTCTAATGCCTCGTGCCACGAGCGTGACGACCACGTGGTGGGGGGAGGGGCACACGGTCCCGTGCTATACGTGTGTCGCCCGGTCGGGCACCTGCCGCGTGCCAATGAATATGACCTATCAATTATATACGAGTATGGTTACGCGGCGACATATGTAAAAGGCCACAATTTAATCCATAACAAAACATTCGTTTGACATTTGTTTGTCAGATGCTATCAACATTTCCATGAATATTTTACCGTTTGTTGACTTCTTATCTCGTCAATATTGTACCATATTGGTAGCGTAATATTCTCATTTTTCATTTCTCGTGTAGCATGCGCTAGCCAATATTACGTACATCTTGTTTCCCAATAAATTTCCTTCGCTTTCACTAATGAATCACTGAATAGCTGTGCTCATGCTAAAATGGTCGTTCTTAAGTAATTGGTAGTCACTCGTCAGCCGAGTTTGCAGCTTCAACGGCCTTAAATTCTCATGATTCGAGCATATATCATCTGGATGAGGCCCCTCAGCTTCCAGCAGCCGCTTACCGCCGCACCGTACCCAACCATCGAGAGTCGGCATTCGGCCTACGAGCGAATGACCATTAATTTCATATCGCTCATTAAAGGAATATTCTTCAAATTAACAGGCTAAAGTTGATGAGTTGTCTACGAATACTCAAGTCTCTAACACCATTTAACTTACCCATATGAATAGGTTAGCAGTTTGCAAGAGCTTCACTGGTATCTGAAGTTGTCATTGTTTTGCTTCAATTCTTATTACGTTCAGCATATTAAATACGAAAACCTGACATCTAGCGATACCTTTAACATGCTCAAAAACTTTCAGGAATTGGCAGAACTTTTAAACCCAATACATTATAAGAACTGCTGTTTACGGCTCGTATTCATACTTCATAAGTGATTCCCGAAAAAGCAGAGTGTCTAGCATTTTGTTTGGCTCTGCAGTAGATTGTTCAGTTCTGGCAGCCTTAGCGTGTCGATACTCAAACAGCCACCTTTTCTCCTCCCTGCGCCGTCGCCACCCCCGTCGGTCGCTGCCGCCTATTGTCCATCTGTGTATTTCGCGCGCCGCGCGCCGCCGCAGCTCCTCCGACCCACTTCATCGCCTCGCCTGGACGCTGGCGCCTCGCCCGCGCGCCACAATCTAATTCTGACGATTTCCGCGGAAAATAAACTTTATCTCCTTAATGAGGGTGCGTGTGGAGTGGGAGGCAGGGCCGTGACATTTTTTTCGCCGACCGCCGGGCAGGCGACGATGCAGCCGAGAGCGTCCCGAGCGGCGGCGGCGCGGCGGTGCGGCAGGGCCGTCTCCAGGGCATTGTAATGACCCGCCCGGGAGCCGTGACCGGCCTGGTAACGAACCGTAACTGAGGGCTCGGCCGTCCTCGCCGAGACGACACACCACCGCAGCCCCGGTCCGGATGGCGGCCGGACAAAACAACGCAGGTCATCCCCGCACCGCCCGGCAGGCCGGACACCGGGCGCCGGCTCCGTCCGGCTGCGTATTTACAGTTGTGGACGGAGACCGCTGACGGGGCACTCGAACTGATGCGGACCTGCGCCGAACAATTTCAAAATCACCCTTTGAAACGTTTAGGCTCAATGCTCTATCCTGTTCATTGGTGCGCTCTCGGAGTTAACTTCTAGACATCAATACTGATTGGGAAAGAAACCAAAGGAATAAATAATTCCAAGAATGAAGCTTGTTTTTTTACGGTGGCTCTCATTTAATTGTTTTATTTCTAAACATTAAGATTAGCAATCGAATAATAAATCACTTAGGAGTAGGTAGTTGAATGCATTATGTCCTGCGTGTGGTCATTGTTCTCACGGAAATCATATCCTTATGAAATCATTTCCTTTGATGCTGTCTTACCAAGCGGGTCGACCTCGAAGTTTGTGCGTTAAATACCTATTGGGCCAACCATGACTCATTATCCCTTCTTAAAATCGTATGGCTTCCAAAAAATGATTGACGGAGGTCAGTTCTGACAATTCTCGCTTCTGAAATCGGCGGAAGTTGAACAATACGGTAGGTATTATAGATAAGATTATTTCGTATGGATTGTTCGCAATTAGTTTTTACTTTGATACATATAGCGCAACTTTGTGGCTGGGCTGCTGTCTGCTGGATCCACGCTTTATCAGTCACTGAGAATCCTCTTTTTTACCATTGTCACAAGTATGACAGCAATATCCATGAACTTGAACTATGTTTACCATTTGCATTGAAATCGCTTTGCTTATCGTCCAAGATTCAGCACACATGATCGTGAATTAATTGGACGCAAATGTGCCCGCTGTTGATGATACGACACTAAAAACGTCATCATAGTCTCGTCAACTGCGCTGGATCACATAATACAACAGGTCTCCTGTACTAGCTAAAATATCCTGTGTCGATTTAGGACAGTATGTATGCAAATACTGTGCGGAATGAGGCTTCACACAGGCTCGGACGGGCGGTCTGTTACTTCTTACTTGTACAGTTGAGATAAAAAATATCGACCGGGACTAGCGCAATAAAATGTAGTGACTATTCAAGAACATTCCTAATGGCATTATTGCATCCAAATTTTGAACTGACATCTATCACAGATGAGCTTCTGCGACCATTTGGGGGGGGGCATGTTTTTCTCAACTTTGCAAAACCGGTTAATCAAATATTTTTAATACACACTTCTTGCGAGCAATCATTCTTCCGTCAAGGCTCAAGCCACGGAACTTATGAGCACCCTGTTGAACAACTTTGCAAGGTAACGGACTTTGTTTCCAAACATTAGAACCCAATAAGGACCAAGAATGTAAGAACTACCGATATGCATTTCACTATTCGCAGTAATTCATTAACCCGCGCCCTGCTGGGGGGGGGGGGTGTTTGAACACCCCCCCTGTGGTTTTTCGCGAATATCTCAAAAACGGCGGCGCTCCGCGCCGCCGTTTTTGGTACACCTTATCATACATCAATTCTACACATGTTGTGAAAATTTCAGACCAAGGTCATTCAAGGTCAGGTCACCAGGTCACTTGAAGTGACCTCACCTCATAAAAAGTTTCAATGTCTGTCATAGCTACACCGAGTGACCGATCGCTTTGAAACTTTCAGCGATTGCTAAGAGCAATAACATGTACAAAATGTATATCTCAGAATTTTGATATCGATGACCTAAGGTCAGGTCAATTTTGCGACCTCCCCATTATAAGTCAATGGGAGAAAATTGAAATGCGCCTCTTTTGGACGAAAGACATTATAAACACTCCCAAACACCGAATTACAAGTGGTGTAGACACACTAAACATGAAAATGGTGTCCGTGACCCTTGTTTGTGCCCTGAGGTCATCTTAGGTCACGAATGGTATCTAACAGTTTTTCGCAAATAACTTTTGATAGAGGCATGCCAGAGCGACGAAAACGCCTTATATGTGTTCAGCTCGACGATACGGATCGACTGATATGCAACATGACCCTTTCCGGTCAGGTCATGACCTTGACCTGAGGTCAAATTTTCAAGTTGACCTTTCAAGGTCAAGTTATAGTTCATTCGATGCGTCTTGACGAGAGGAACACGATGCCGGTAAAAGTAAGCTCGTACAAGGCTTGGGTCAAAAGTTATTGCAGAAAAACTGTTTCCAAAAAAAATCGGCTATTTTTGCAGTTTTTGCCCCCTGCAGGCAAAACCGTTGACGTTAGGTCAAATCTGAGAGAATTACTCAGAAAGGGCGTTAATAGGGCTATCGAATGCACTTTTCCTCGGCGCTGTAGCTCTATTGGTTCCCGAGTTATGCGTAGGCTTCTTGGAAATTTTCGACATTCGACCTGAAAATCGGCGAAATTTTGCCTTCAATGACCTCTGGTGACCTGACCTTTGACACGACCAAAAAATTGACCGAAGTGATTTCGTCATTATTTTTTACGCTCTTTCGAACGCCTTCTTCCGCGTATCGCTACGTGGCCCAGGAGCCGAGTTACAAGGGGGGGGGTGTTCAAACACCCCCCCCCCCCCCAGCAGGGCGTGGAAATCCAGGACCCCCAGCCGGGCGCGGGTTAAAGCGAAACTGCTTTGAGTTACACTCACCGATTTTGACCTGTTTTTGGACGGCTGCCGTTGGCCCAGCCGTCAGTAGCAGCAGCAGCAGCGGCAGCGGCGGCGGCCAGCGCATGGCCGCGGCAGCGCCGACCCTGCAGTCAGCTCGGACACCGGTCCGTCCCCGTCCGTCGCCCGGCCGCGCTGGAGCGGCTCTGCCACCAGGCCCGATCCGCTCAGCCCGCCGCCCACCCGCGGCGCCAGGGAGGGTCCTCGGCGCGGCGCGCAGCGGCGGAGCAGGAAGAACACAAACAGTTTCCATTGATGCAAAAAATGCACCCATCTTCATAAACGAATATTTGTGTTCAGGAATATTTTGAAACCAAGGTACCTAGAAAGCTGAATTAAAGCTAAAATGTTGTCTATTTCAACATTTTTCGAAACACCGGCATATAATCCGGGAACCAATATAGCTACAGCGAGACAATAGAGCCAATAGAGAAAAATTTATATGTTGGGACTTCCGATCGAAGTTTGAATAGCTCCTGCATTTTTGAAGTGGTTCTTCTAAAAATTAGAAAGTAATTCAGAGCTGGGTATTGCGCCGCTTCAGTCCGCAACTCCGCAACTTGGGACTACCCTCTTGAAAGCGGAGTTACGGATCGGCTACCGAGCAAAAAAAAAAAATGCGGAGTTGCGAGTTGCGGAAGCGAAAAATTATAAAGCGCAACCGCTACCGGGACCGCCACCGATACACGGGATTGTAGCGAGATACAGGTTCCAGGACAAGTTCATCGTGTTTATCTCGCTAAGACTAATCAATTGATATGCACATGACCTTTTTGGGTCAGGTCGTGACCTAGACCTGGGGTCAAATTTTCAGTTTGACCTTTCGGTCATCTTATATAGCATTGTTGAGCTCGAGACCACGCGCCTTGATGAGAGAAATGCTATGGTGATTAAATTGTTGACCCAGCAGAAGTTATGGCCGTTATGTCAGAAGTTTGCAAGAACAAAAAAAAGTTTCGTCAATAATTGCTATTTTGGCGATTTTTGGCGCCTGGAGGCCCAACCGTCGACCTGAGGTCAAATCTGATGCCTAACTCCAGATACCTATAAATGTGCTGTAAATGGGCAATCAATTCTTTTTTTTCTGCGCCGCTCTAGCTCAACTGGTTCTCGAGTTAGAGCGTCTGAAACTGAAATTCATCGAAAGCCGGGAGAACCGGGAACATTTTTACTGTGCTGATCTCTGGTGACCTTCAAAAGGTATTACCAATCAGGCATAACCCGCGTCCTAACCCGTCCGAAACGGCTCCCCCTGTCCTTTTCCGTCGATATCTCCTAAACGGCTAAAGATATCGCCACCAAACTTTAAGGACCCCTCCGGGTATCAATTTTACACATTGTGACCAAAAATTTTTCAGAGGCTTTGATAGGTTGGCCAAAAATGACGTCAGAATGACGTCATGTTCTGCCATTTTCGACCGAAAAAAGACCTTCGCGAGAAGAGCTGTCAGGCCTACAGCTTTGAAGCTACAGAAAAATGACCAAACATAAAGGTGTAGAATTGACAGGGCTACAAAACTGCTATCTCAGATTTTTGAAATTTTTGAGTTTTGACCCCAAAAATAAAAAAGCAGCTTTTTGGATATATTTGCCAAAAAATCCAAAAAGTTTTTTGAGTTTCGAAAAAACCGGAATATGTGTGATAGTAGGTACCTACCGTCTTCTATCTACATATCAAATTTCAGATCAATATCTTGTTTTTTGGCCAAGTTATAGCGAAAAAAAAAACTGTTCAAAAATGATGACGTCAAATTTTCAAACTTTATTTTTGGCAATTCTAGACCACGTAGAGCAAAAAAAAAAGACTACCATAGGCTCCCCGTGACGAGCTGCATCGAATCGATACCCATTTTATGCAAAAATATCAACTTTGAAATTTGACCTAATTTGACCTGACCTTGACCTGACCTTTACCAAAACGTGACCTAAGCTGGCCCCAAAGGCTGCCTGACCCACATAATCGCATTTGTCATGTAAAATGGACCATAAAACATGTATCACACGACACTTTCATATTGTGACCCCCAGGTGACCCTCAGTGACCTGACCTCTGTGACCTGCCCACATAACACACCCACATGGTAACCATATGGGTTTTAGATGGGCTAGGTGGGCTCACATGGGCATGGGAAATATATGGGCTGCCCACATGGTAACCATATGGGTTTTAGGTGGGCTATATGTGGGCTTATGTGATAAGGGGAGCACATGGGCTGCCCACATGGAAACCATATGGGTTTTAGATGGGCTGGACGGGCCCACGTGGGCATAGGAAGCACATGGGCTGGAATGCATGGTAACCATATGGGCTTTAGATGGGCTAGGTGGGCTCACCTCAGCAGGGGAAATACATGGGCTGCCCACATGGAAACCATATGGTTTTCAGATGGGATAGGTGGGCTTTTGTGGACATGGGAAGTACATGGGCTGGAATGCATGGTAACCATATGGGTTTTGGATGGGCCAGGTGGGCTCACATGGGCATGGGAAATATATGGGCTGCCCACATGGTAACCATATGGGTTTTAGGTGGGCTATATGTGGGCTTATGTGATAAGGGGAGCACATGGGCTGCCCACATGGAAACCATATGGGTTTTAGGTGGGCTGGACGGGCTCACATGGGCATGGGAAATATATGGGCTGCCCACATGGTAACCATATGGGTTTTAGGTGGGCTATATGTGGGCTTATGTGATAAGGGGAGCACATGGACTGCCCACATGAGAACCATATGGGTTTTAGATGGGCTGGACGGGCTCACATGGGCATGGGAAGCACATGGGCTGGAATACATGGTAACCATATGGGCTTTAGATGGGCTAGGTGGGCTCACCTCAGCAGGGGAAATACATGGGCTGCCCACATGAAACCATATGGTTTTCAGATGGGATAGGTGGGCTTATGTGGACATGGGAAGTACATGGGCTGGAATGCATGGTAACCATATGGGTTTTGGATGGGCTAGGTGGGCTCACATGGGCATGGGAAATATATGGGCTGCCCACATGGTAACCATATGGGTTTTAGGTGGGCTATATGTGGGCTTATGTGATAAGGGGAGCACATGGGCTGCCCACATGAGAACCATATGGGTTTTAGATGGGCTGGACGGGCTCACATGGGCATGGGAAATATATGGGCTGCCCACGTGGTAACCATATGGGTTTTAGGTGCGCTATATGTGGGCTTATGTGATAAGGGGAGCACATGGGCTGCCCATATGGAAACCATATGGGCTTTAGAAAGGCTAAGTGGGCTCTGGGCATGGGAAATACATGGGCTGCCCACATGGTAACCATATGGTTTTCAGATGGGATAGGCGGGCTCATGTGGACATCAGAAGTACATGGGCTGGAAATGCCTGGTAACCATATGGGTTTTGGATGGGCTAGGTGGGCTCACATGGGCATGGGAAATATATGGGCTGACCACATGGTAACCATATGGTTTTCAGATGGGACAGGTGGGCCCATGTGGACATCAGAAGTACATGGGAGCTGGAAATGCATGGTAACGCGCGCAAACCGGAAATCCCGCCCGCCATTTGCAAACTATCTGCTCATGCGCAATGCGGTCCTTTGTTCTGGCGGGCAACTTTGCTAGTAGGTTTTAATAGTAGGATATGCTGACAACCTTTGTTTGACTTAATATGTCATCAGTAATCTAGATAACCTCATTATTTTAAATATGAAATGTAAAACGCAAGAACAAGGAAATATAAACAGTCATTTCGGGGATTATGGTGCTAGTTGATTTTGTATTTCGCTGACATTGGGTTCTGTTCTAGTATCCCTTTTTATTTTCTTTCTAAAAATATAATTTTTTGGTACTCATAAATAATAGCAATACAATAATAACAAAATTTCATTTGAGATATTATTCAAATTGCTTAGTAGGTTGTTGAAGTAACTAAATTCTACCAAATAGCACTAGGGGGCGCGCAGGGCGCGTTCAAGGCACGCAACTCACGCAGCCTACCAAGGCTATATAAACGCATCCGAGACGACGCCATTTTCTTTTTCGGCTGTGGCGCGTGCGGGTGAGCCTGGTTTACGGACGCGGGTCGCGCAGTACAAGTACAAGAAGTGTTTAAGCCTTTAGATACAAGTTTTGCATAGGTTTTGTTCAACATCGTCTCTGCAAGTGGATGGTAAGAGCCCTTCTGTGTCTTCTATCGTCTAATGTCAAAATTTGCACTCGTTTTGCACTTGTATTACCTGCATTGGCATGACAATGATGTGTGTTTGGGAATAGCGTGATCAAGATTCTTTCAGTGTGATAGATCGTGGTGTGTCACATTAGTTTGGGAGGAGGTCAAGTTGTTGAAAATAAATAATAGGTTATTGCTTCAGAAGTGAAGGATGCACTTAATGTGAATTGTGAACAAATCCCTTGTGGAATTCATTTTCTCGAATTGAGTATTGTTGCAGATTGTTATGAATGGCTTGTGGCTTTTTTTAGGTAAGTGACAAAGGCAGATAATGGACCAGTTTTAATTTTCAGGGAGTAGGTATCTTAATATTAGGTATGCCATTCTTTTGTAATGGCTCTGTTGTTGTAATGACTGAAGGAAATAGTTCACTTTTAACACGGGGTTTGGAACTGGAATAGCAGTTCCATAGCTTGAGCTGAGGCAACCACATTCATTCATTCATTCATTCGTTTATTGACCGTGGGTATGGGGGGGGGGAGCTTCAGGAGCACAAATCAGGAGCTTTTACGGCCCAACGATCACCCTAGGCAAAGATTCCATTTCTTGTCCCGAAAAAGTGCCTTGCTGATCAAATGCGTGCCTTGCTGAAGAAATACCCAAAATGCAGCCACCTCAGCCTCAGCTTGGTGTCAGCCAATCAGCATGCTACTTACAGCCAATGGGTTTGTTCTACGCAATATGATTGGTCAATGCATAATAGGGTTCCGCGTCAAACAATATTTTACATAATATAGTTCCTCCTATATTAATATATAGAAAATAATCTTGTGAAAAGGTTTTATTTTATTTGCTGATCATTTTGAGCATAAAAAATCCAAAATTCATTTAAGTGACTATCCCACATTTAACATGGGGTTTGAGTTGAGATAGCCAAGTTTGCGGTGAGGTTCAGAAACCACTATCTATCTAGGTGCAACCCCCG